CCGCCTCCTGTCCCCCAGAAACAGTCCTTCTGTCTTGTCAGGATTCAACCTCAATCTGTTAGCCGCCATCCATCCTCCAACCGCCTCCAGGCACTCACATCAACAGAAGTCTAGTGTCCAGATCAAGGTAAGTCGTAGTCCTACTCTATTCTGCCTTGGTCAGACCACACCTGGAGTTCTGTGTCCGATTCTGGGCACCACAATTTAAGAAGGATGTTGACAAGCTGGAAGGTGTGCTGAGGAGGGCGACTGAGATGATCAAAAGTCTGGAAACCAGACCATATGAGGAATGGTTGAAGGAGCTGGGTATGTTGAGCCTGGAAGAGAGGAGATTGAGGAGAAAAGAGAGCCATCTTCAAATATCTGAAGGGCTGTCACATGGAAGATGGAGCAAGCTTGAGTCCTCTTGCTCCGGATGGTAGGACTCGAACCCATGGCTTCAAGTTGCAAGAAAGAAGATTCCGACTCAACATCAGGAAGAACATTCTGACAGCAAGAGCTGCTGGACAGTGGAACAGTTTACCTTGGGAGGTGGTGGGCTCTCCTTCCTTGGAGGTATCTAAGCAGAGGTTGGTGGCCATCTGTCATGGATAATAAGAATAATAATTTATTATTTATACCCTGCCCATCTGGCTGGGTTTCCTTAGCCACTCTGGGTGGCTCCCAACTGAAACAATACAGCGTCAGACATTAAAAACTTCCCTAAACAGGGCCACCCTCAGTTGTCTTTTAAAAGTAAAATAGTTGTTTATTACCTTGACGTCTAATGGGAGGGCGTTTCACAGGGCAGGCACCACCACCGAGAAGGCCCTCTGCCTGGTTCCCTGTAACCTCACTTCTTGCAGGGAGGGAACTGCCAGAAAGCCCTCAGAGCTGGACCTCAGTGTCCGGGCTGGATGATGGGGGTAGAGACGCTCCTTCAGGTATACTGAGCCGTTTAGGGCTTTAAAGGACAGCACCAACATTTTGAATTGTGCTTGGAAACGCCCTGGGAGCCAATGTAGGTCTTTCAGGACTGGTGTTATGTGGTCTCGACAGCCACTCCAAGTCCCATCTAGCTGCTGCATTCTGGATTAGTTGTAGTTTCCGGGTCACCTTCAAAGGTAGCCCCACGTAGAGCGCATGGCAGTAGTCTAAGCGGGAGATAACCAGAGCATGCACCACTTTGGTGAGACAGTCTGTGGGCAGGGAGGGTCTCATCCTGCATACCAGATGGAGCTGGTAGACAGCCACCCTGGACACAGAATTGACCTGCACATTCATGGACAACTGTGAGTCCAAAACGACTCCCAGGCTGCACACCTGGTCCTTCAGGGGCACAGTTACCCCGTTCAGCATAACTGGATGATTTAGCGGAGATTCCTGCATTCCAGGGGGTTGGGGCTCGAAGACCCTCAGGGGTCTTTTCCGACCCTACAATTTTGCAAGTTTTTAATATTTAATGCTGTACTGTTTTAACACTTGATTGGGAGCCGCCCAGAGTGGCTGGGGAGACTCAGCCAGATAGATGGGGTATGTATAAATAAATAAATAAATAAATAAATAAATAAATAAAATATCCATTTTGAGGGGAGGTGTCCAGAACCGTGCACAGTAGTCTATGACAGCAAAAGCAAAAAGGAAAGCCATTAACAGATCCCCAGACCTCTTAAAGCAGGGATGTGAACTGCCTGGACAGCCCCACTGCAAAGCCCCTTTTCCTGCACCCCAGCCAGGGGGACACCCCGATTTTCAACGGCCACAAAGAACTAATAACTCTGGAGCCAACTTGATCTGCTCCCCAGCCACTCGACGCCAGCCTATTGTGAGAATCTGGCCGCTTGGTGCTTTTGAAATCTCCTGGCTTTCTGACTGCAGGCAGTTTCTCTCTCTCCCTTGTGAAGATCTCGGTTTAATCTGCTCTGCAACTGGGAGGGCGAAGTCTGCCTTAAATTAGCCAACTTTGCATTAGCATACCGGTGGGAAAATTCTCCCCGGCTCCAACGCCTTCCTGCTAGTCTGGATACGCATGGGATCGCCTCCACTTCAGTCGAGGCTTGCTTAATTGGGAATGGAGCAATGGGGACGTGTGGGATGGGTGCCACTTTGAGGCAACTCTCGCTACAGCCAACCAGAGACAACCAACCACACCCCAGGCCACCCCCAACCTCTCTCACCACCAAGGAAACGCAACGAGCGAATGGTAAGAGAACCCCTACAAGTAAAGGACCCCTGACAGTTAAGTCCAGTCACGAACAACTCTGGGGTTGCGGCGCTCATCTCGCTTTTCAGTGGTACCTCGGGTTAAGTACTTAATTCGTTCTGGAGGTCTGTACTTAACCTGAAACTATTCTTAACCTGAAGCACCACTTTAGCTAATGGGGCCTCCTGCTGCTGCCGCACCACCGGAGCATGATTTCTGTTCTCAACCTGAACCAAAGTTCTTAACCTGAAGCACTATTTCTGGGTTAGCAGAGTCTGTAACCTGAAGCGTATGTAACCTGAAGCATATGTAACCTGTGGTCCCACTGTACTGGCTGAGGGAGCCGGCGTTTGTCCGCAGACAGTTTTTCCGGGTCATGTGGCCAGCATGACTAAGCCGCTTCTGGTGAACCAGAGCAGCGCACGGAAATGCTGTTTACCTTCCCGCCGGAGTGGTACCTATTTATCTACTTGCACTTTCACGTGCTTTCGAACTGCTAGGCTGGCAGGAGCAGGGACCGAGCAACGGGAGCTCACCCCGTCGTCACAGGGATTCGAACCACTGACCTTCCGATTGGCAAGTCCTAGACTCAGTGATTTAAACCACACAACGCCACCTGCCATTAAACGCAAACCCCCACACATACACTAAGCATAAGAATAGAAGCATAACCACCCGACCCCACCCCACGCACCATTCCCCCTCTGCCTCCCTCTTTTCTTCCTAACATTGTATGTAACACTAATGTCTCACAACAAAGGGAGTGCAACTGTAGAAAACACAACTTGAAAAAAGAGGCAAGGCATGTGTTTTTGTACAGTAAGAAATCTTTAATATGGTGGACGCTCGGGTTGCAAACGTGATCCATGCGGGACGCACGTTCGCAACTCGTGTCTGCGAGTCTGCGCACACGCGGGTTGCGATTCAATGCTTCTGTGCATGCGCAAAGCACGATTTAGCACTTCTGTGCACGCGTGACTGCCGAAACCCGGAAGTAACCCGTTCTGGTACTTCTGGGTTTCGGCAGTCCGCAACTTGAAAAAACGCAACCTGAAGCGGACACAACATGAGGTATGACTGTATATATATATATAATATATATTTAAAGAGTTAATCAGCTGTCAGTGACTGGCTGGTTGCGGGAGCAGGGACCACTCGCACTACTGAAACTTACATTGGCCTAAGTTCTTGGTGTGCTTTTTTCTTGGTATATTTAATAATAAGAACTCCAACTTATTTAACGTTAGTATCATGGCCAAATGGTCTGAAGAAGGCTCAGAGCCTTCTTGGTGGCAGGGCAGTGATGAAGGCGAAGAGGGCACTTTCGTCATATGACCTCCATGGTTCTGAATGGCACATACTCTCACATCTGGTGGAAGTGCACTCCAATAAAAGGGTTTTCACCACATGCACATAAAGGACTTGTTCATATTACAGCTGATCATAGTGTTCCTAATCATAATATGGTCATAATCATATTGCACACCAAGATTATTATTATTATTATTATTATTACTCTCTAGGTTTACAGGATACAATGACGACATCAAGTCTAAGGGCCTCGCGGCGCATTTGCAACCTCTCACTTGACAGTGGAAAGGATCTAGATAAGCTATCCTTACCAGCACGGTACGAGTCGGACTTTAGCCCTGGCAGAGAGAATGGCACATAAAATCCCGGCTACGCAAGGAAAAGAACGGCCACGAGCATTTCATACCATCTGGCAGAACTTTATTGCATTAGCCTCCAGCAACGATTTGCAAACTGCACAACAACGGCAGTTATGGATATCTGGAAACTTCGCTGCATGTAACCTGAACTTTGGAATGTTTTATTTCTTAAGGTTATGGTGTGTCTTGTATATTGCGCCTGTGCCTTTTTCTGTGCTCCCTCCCCCCCTTGTTTTTATATTAAATTGTTTTTATTTTGAAAATTATACACACACACACATACACTTTTTTCCTAGAAACCTGATATGTCTTTGCAAAGCAAAATTCTTACTGAATTCTTACTGCCTAGAATCATAGGATTGGAAGGGACCCTGAGGATCATTTAGTCCAACCCCCTGCGATGCATAAATATGCAGCTATCCTTTACGAAGAAGAGTTTGGAACAGGGGTCTGCAACCTTTAAGACAAAAAGAGCCACTTGGACCCGTTTCCGAAGAAAAAAAAACTGGGAGCCGCAAAACCATTGCAACATTTAAAACAAATATAACAGCGTACATATAACCAATGTACATATAAATATATAAATTTATATAAATATAAATATAACCAGCGTATATGCCCCCTTTCAATGCAGTGACCAGCATACATGCCCCTTACAATGTAGCAGGCGGGCGGGCGGGAAGGTGACGTCGGGACGGTGCGTGACTAACGCACGCACTGCCCCCATGCGACGTCACAGCCAGTACAGCGCCCGCCACAGTGGGGAGTGTCGGGGCGCACGATGCGCCTCCTCCCCTCGCTAGTATCCGCCCCGGAGCCGCGGCAAAGGTGTAAAAGAGCCACATGCGGCTCTGGAGCCGCGGGTTGCAGACCCCTGGTTTGGAAGAAGAGTTTGGATTTGATATCCCGCCTTTCACTCCCTTTAAGGAGTCTCAAAGCGGCTAACATTCTCCTTTCCCTTCCTCCCTCACAACAAACACTCTGTGAGGTGAGTGGGGCTGAGAGACTTCAAGGAAGTGTGACTGGCCCAAGGTCACCCAGCAGCTGCAGGTGGAGGAGCGGGGAAGCGAACCCGGTTCCCCAGATTACGAGTCCACCGCTCTTAACCACTACACCACACTGGCTCTCAAGGATCGAAGTGGCTCTCAAGGATCTTACGAGGATCGAACCTGCAACCTTGGCATTATCAGCACTGCACTCTAACCAACTGAGCTATTCACTTGGATATTTAAGAGGAAGACCAGAGCAACCCCTTTGCAAGCAGAACATTCCAGTTTCAATCCCGGGAGACACCCCTTCCCCAAACCCCCGAAGAGCCTCTGCCTGTCAGTGAAGTCTATCCCAAGAAAGATGGAGCAATGATCAGACTTGGGAGATGATGGCTTCTTATAACATGGGGTCTTCTGCTGGGCGATAGCATCTCCCTGAACATGCAAAAGCCCTTCTGCTCCCCTCCTTGCAATTCAGCTCTTGAGAGACAGCCATATAGACTCTGCTCCTGTCTCCTCCTCCTCCTCCTCCTCCTCCTCCTCCTCCTCCTCCTCCTCTTCTTCTTCTTCTTCTTCTTCTTCTTCTTCTTCTTCTTCTTCTTCTTCTTCTTTCCTCCTCCTCCTCCTCCTCCTCCTCCTCTTCCTCCTCTTCTTCTCCTCTTCTTCTTCTTCTTCAGCAGCGATCCCTCTTAGCCAATTAAGACCCGGTGAGGGTTTGCCAAGCGTGCCTTCCTCTTAGCACATTTCTCCCTTTCGTCCTGAGTTCGAGTGTCTTCAAAGCCCATGACACCTTTGGTCAAGGCTGTTCTCCAACTGGAGCGCTCGCAGGCCAGTGTTCCCCAGTTGTCGGTGTTTATACTACATTTTTTTTTTAGATTTGCCTTGAGAGAGTCTTTGAACCTCTTTTGTTGACCGCCACCATTGCACTTTCTATTTTTCAGTTCGGAATAGTTGCTTTGGAAGACGATCATCAGGCATCCACACAACATGACCAGTCCAACAAATGTTGAAGAATCATCGCTTTGACACTGGTGATCTTTGCTTCTTCCAGTATACTGCCATTAGTTCACCTGTCTTCCCAAGTGATGTGTAAAAAAATTTTTATGGCAACAACAGCAGCAGAGGAGAACAGACAGATGCCAACAACCTTTCGTAAACTAAGCATGTCTAGGCTAAACATATAAAGCACAACCAGCGATAATAACCTGGAGATGGCAGAATTCGAACCTGTTTCTGCCTGTGCTGGAGGCTGTGCATGACACCTGTATCTCCATACTGATGAGTCAATAGACAGTACAGAAAAGGACAAGAAGTGTTTTCCACACAGCAAAACCCTCGTGTTCTGCAGAACCCTTCTTTTCTTTACGGCGTTTCTTTCTTTCTTTCTTTCTTTCTTTCTTTCTTTCTTTCTTTCTTTCTTTCTTTCGGTCAATAACCAACAGAGGAGATAGGAAGAAAATAGAGCACATAAAACATAATATAATGCGTTAAGTATACTATTAAATGTAGAGTTAGATTACCCGAAGTACTACAGTGGTACCTCGGGTTACATACGCTTCAGGTTACAGACTCCGCTAACCCAGAAATAGTGCTTCAGGTTAAGAACTTTGCTTCAGGATGAGAACAGAAATCGGGCTCCAGCGGCGCAGCAGCAGCGGGAGGCCCCATTAGCTAAAGTGGTGCTTCAGGTTAAGAACAGTTTCAGGTTAAGAACGGACCTCCGGAACGAATTAAGTACTTAACCTGAGGTACCACTGTACTTAACCCGAAGTACCACTGTATTTCTGGATTAGCGGAGTCTGTAACCTGAAGCGTCTGTAACCTGAAGCGTCTGTGACCTGAGGTACCACCATAGCTTTCAACGTTTCCCTTTTTTAAAGGGAAATCCCATTATTCCGAATAGGATTCCTCGCAAGAAAAGGAAAAGTTGTCAGCTACGGGTACCACTGTAAAGTCCAAAATGCTCCCGTGAAAGCCAGATGGCAAAACACTGCAGAACATCTGCCGGCAAGCAAAAGGCAGCCGCAAAACCCCAGAGGAAGGCAGTGTGTGTGTGTGTGTGTGGTGGCAGGGAATCTCTGTAGGAAAACGTCTGTCCGGGCCCTGCAGGGGCAGCGTGGCATGTGGCCAGCCATGCCCATTTTTTTTAAAATGATATTTATTAAAGTTTCAAAGAAAAGATTACATAAATAAAAAGGGAAAAAAAGGGAAAAAAAATACAAATACAAAATACAGAAAAAAGATAAAAAACACTTAAAAAACACATCAATCTTTCCATGCCTTACATTTCATTTCCTTGCTTCCCTGACCTCCTCACACCTCCCTTTTTTGTATTCCAGTTCTATTAATTAATTCAGCAATTCCTTTCCCTGTTTGTTTTTGTCTTAATCCTTTAACTTAATATATTATAACTTTAGATTTTCACCTGTTAACAATCCATTTTTACATACACCTTAATAACATTGCTGCTAAAATCACTTAACTTCATTCTGACATCATTCTAACATTCATTAATTTTGCAGCATTTCTGTAGATAGTCTTTAAATTTCTTCCAATCTTCTTCCACCGACTCTTCTCCCTGGTCTCGGATTCTGCCAGTCATTTCCGCCAGTTCCATATAGTCCATCACCTTCATCTGCCATTCTTCCAGGGTGGGTAAATCTTGTGTCTTCCAATACTTTGCAATAAGTATTCTTGCTGCTGTTGTAGCATACATAAAGAAAGTTCTGTCCTTCTTTGGCACCAATTGGCCGACCATGCCCAGGAGAAAGGCCTCTGGTTTCTTCAGGAAGGTATATTTATATACCTGTTTCATTTCATTATAGATCATCTCCCAGAAAGCCTTGATCATTGGGCACGTCCACCAAAGGTGAAAGAATGTACCTTCAGTTTCTTTACATTTCCAACATTTATTATCGGGCAAACGATAGATTTTTGCAAGCTTGACTGGGGTCATGTACCACCTGTATATCATTTTCATAATATTCTCCAGCCATGCCCATTTCCAGCGTCGGCCCTGCAAGCCCCTTGCGCCTTTGGGGCGACTGAGCCAACATGCAAGGAGATGTGTTGAAACGGAACCACACACAGGTGCGCAAAGCGAAGGGACCAAAGGCTCGATGGGAGGAGATAAACAGCTTGGCATATGTCGAAATGTGTGTGTGTGTGTGAATGAGCTTCAGGGCTCGGCCGCCGTGCCTTTGCCACCCTGCCCCTCCCCTGTCCTCAAAGCCGTGCCTGGCCATGCAGATTTATTTAAATTTCCCCCAGCCCTGCGATTCGCAGAGGTTATAGAAGCCAGGTGCGGACTGTTCCCTGAGACAGAGCCATCTCTCGGCTTGCTGCTCTTGTCAACTTCCAGTCTGACTTCCCTGAGGCTGGTTCTTTCCCAGCAAAGGGAAGGTGGCAAGACAGGTTGCAGCAGCAGGAGATACCCCAGCAACGCCTTCAAGAGCTCTTTTGACGTCTGGAGTTTCGGCTTTGCGGAGGGAGCAGAGACACCACAGGTAAGGACTCACCTTCAACCCAGGAATTCCAGATCTATAAAAGCGGGTAACCTGAAAGCCTTTTTTTTACACAACTTTTTTATTCAAAATTAAAACAAAACATATTATCCAGAAACAGATCATCCTTATTTCCCCCATTTTTCCTCCCTCCCCCCACAGAACCCACCCACCACCCAATTTCCCTCAGTTCCAGTCTTTGATTTCTCTAGAAATGCTGTTTTCTGCATGTTACACAGTTGTATAGATCCTCAAACTATTTAGCTGATTATTATCAATAAAAAGTTTGTGAATGTTTATTCAAAGCCAGCCAAGGAGTCCAGTTCGCTTTGTTGTGTCTTCAGATACTTTGTAAAGGGTTCCCATTCATCTTTTAAGTCACAGTTATCCTTGTCCCGTAGCTTGTATGTCAGTTTTGCCAGTTCTGCATAGTCCATCAATTTTTCTTGCCGGGATTCTTTAGTTGGGGTTCTGAAAGCCTTGTTTTGTCTGAAATCCCGCAAGGTGTCAACGCCCCCTCTACCGCTTTGGCTCTCTGCATATACTCTGTGCCACTCTGCGCATGCTCAGGGGATATCAGGGTCTGGTTGCTCTGCGGAAAGATGTTCCTTCCATCGATGTGCATGGAAAGTGATGTGCAGGTGATGGATTGGTAGTAATAATAATTTATTATTTCTACCCCGCACATCTGGCTGGGTTTCCCCAGCCACTCTGGGCAGCTTCCAACAGAATATTTAAAACACAATAATCTATTAAACATTAAAAGCTTCCCTAAACAGGTAGATGAATGCTGGTTTTATAAGCAAGGGTTGGATTTGAAAGGTGCACGTTCTTTTCAAACAACCCCCATTTTAGAAGTTGCAAGGCCATTGGGCTGTGCTTGCCTTGCTCAGAGTAGACCCATTGGAATGAGAGGGATGAAGTCAAAAGTCCGTTGCTCTCAGTGGGTCAACTCCAAAGTTCGGGCTTCATCAAATGCAACTTATTCTTACTTCTGTTCCTTGTATCTTTGCAAAGTTCAAGGGGGCAGGTCTCTGCCCCAAAAGGCTTACAAATCTAAAACGCAGCGCTCCAGGAAGCCGCAATTTAAGAGGATGGAGGCATCAAACTGTCTGGTTGCAATTTGAAACTTTTCGAAGTGTTGGAAGCCGACTCGAGTGCAGGAAAGAGTTTCAATCATGAAATGAGCAAATTGCTTTTAAAAAAACTCACAACCTCTGTATGCTTTTAAGAATCACATTCCTATATCACTTGCTACTGAGGTGACAGATGGGTTTTCATTTAAAGAAGAACCTTTCAAATTTTACCGTCCGAAATATTTCACAAACTGAAACACAGGCATCCTTTGAAATCTGCACTTCTCTGAATTTTGCAACACAATTCCTTCACCAAGTAAGGTGTTGAAAAATTGCACAAACTGGGGCAAACTGTATGTAAAAGCGCATAGACCCATAAACTTGGGAGGGACCGTGAGGGTCTTCCAGTCCAACCCCAGCATATTCGTAAAAATAACATGCAAAAAAGGGCATTATATTAGGAGAAATTGCTTTGCAAAAATATAAATATCAGCTAAAATGGCAAGCAAACATAGGTATTCTAGGATAAATGAACACCTGCTGCACCTGACTTGGCAGTAAGCGTCATTACACAACAGATGAAACATGTACAGACAGTTTCTTCTTTATGCTTCTTCTTGTACTTGTTGTTTAGTCGTTTAGTCGTGTCCGACTCCTCGTGACCCCCTGGACCAGAGCACGCCAGGCCCTCCTGTCTTCCACTGCCTCCCACAGTTTGGCCAGACTCATGTTTGTAGCTTCGAGAACACTGTCCCACCATCTTGTCCTCCGTCGTCCCCTTCTCCTTGTGCCCTCCATCTTTCCCAACTTCAGGATCTTTCCCAGGGAGTCTTCTCTTCTCATGAGGTGGCCAAAGTCTTGGAGCCTCAGCTTCAGGATCTGTCCTTCCAGTGAGCACTCAGGGCTGATTTCCTTCCGAATGGAGAGGTTTGATTTTCTTGCAGTCCATGGGACTCTCAAGAGTCTCCTCCAGCACCATAATTCAAAAGCATCAATTCTTCGGTGATCAGCCTTCTTTATGGTCCAGCTCTCACTTCCATACATCACTACTGGGAAAACCAGAGCTTTAACTATATGGACCTTTGTCGGCAAGATGCTGTCTAAGTTTGTCATTGCTTTTCTCCCAAGAAGCAGGTGTCTTTTAATTTTGTGGCTGCTTCTACAGACCCCTTAATTTTATTCTGTGCTCCCCAATTGGACCCATGGCTACTCCTGACTCCCCAGATTGTTCCAGTGCCCCCCAGGTGCCCACTTTGGGCAATACTGTTTCAAAGGATGCTTTGATTCAAGAAGAAGAAGAAGAAGAAGAAGAAGAAGAAGAAGAAGAAGAAGAAGAAGAAGAATTTCATATCAAGGTTCTTTCCAGCCTGAATGCCCCCACAGGTGCAATGCTCAGACTCTCAGCTCAGATTTTGCCAAAGGTCTTAAGGCTTATATGTATGGTTTTGTTGTTGTTGTTGTTGAGTCATTTAGTCGTGTCCGCCTCTTCCTGACCCCCTGGACCAGAGCACGCCAGGCACTCCTGTCTTCCACTGCCTCCCGCGGTTTGGTCAGACTCATGTTACTAGCTTCAAGAACACTGTCCAACCATCTTGTCCTCTGTTGTCCCCTTCTCCTTGTGCCCTCCATCTTTCCCAACATCAGGGTCTTTTCCAGGGAGTCTTCTCTTCTCATGAGGTGGCCAAAGTCTTGGAGCCTCAGCTTCAGGATCTGTCTATGTCTGGTTAGAATAGGTCAACTGAATTTGCCAGCGAGTTTCTTCTGTATTTTGTCTTCTGAAGTCTTCCACCACCCTCCAATATACTGGGCAATTTTCTATTTTAAAAACAAATTTATTTTGAATTAATGGACTATGCAGAATTAGATAAGATGACAGGAAGGATCCGAAAGCTGCGGGACCAGAGATTCTCAGAGGACTGGTGTAACTATTTGAACTATTTGAAAAGCAATTGCAATAAGCAGATTACGCTAATAGGACTGCAAGAAGTTTTGTAAGGAGGACGTTGCGAAATATTGCAATGAAGATTATGAGGAGAGTTATTAGTTAAGGATGATTAAAAGTAATAGAGAAATTAAGAAATGTAGATAAAGTGATGAACATTGAAAAATCTTCAGATGCGGTTGATGGAAGTGCAAAACATTGTGTAAAATAAGAAAATATGTTAAATGATTGTTGGAAATGATATGTTAATTTAAAAAAATAAAAAATATATTTATTTGGTTTTTCAAATTAAAGTTTTACAATCACAAACATACAACACACAACATAAAAACAAGATTCCAAAGAAACTTCTCCCTATTATTAATCATTATTAATTATATGATTAATCATTATTCATTATTAATCATTTCCTCCTGGATCTTTTATAATAATCCAAATCTTTTACCTCTCCATTACATCCAAAACCCATTATTAAACTACAAGCGTTATTCCAAATCCTACCTACAATTTTCACTGATTGCAATGGTTTTTTAAATTATAAATTCCCCCCATTCCTTATTAAAATTTCTGTCTTCCTGATTTCTGATTCTTCCGGTCATTTTTGCCATTTTGGCATAAATCCATCAATTTAATCTGCCATTCTTCTCTGGGCAGGACTTTGTCCTCTTTTATCTCTGGGCCAATAACATCTGTGCAGCTGTGGTTGCATACATAGCCTTCTCTGTTCTGTTTGGATTTCAGCACCTAATTTTCTATATTACACTTTCAGCAAAGCTATCATTCTTCCGCAACTCATCCCAGATGCCAACAACAGCATCTTTCATCCTCATCTTGAGGTCAGGGATGCTGAACTTGTTGCAGGGAAGGTTTTAAGGAGGATAATAATTTTAATTTTTATACCACACCCATATGGTTGTCTTGGCAGTGTATTATAATTATATACAGAGGGCCTTCTCGGTGGTGGCGCCAGCCCTGTGGAACACCCTCCCATCAGATGTCAAAGAAATAAACAACAACCTGATGGTTAGAAGACATATGAAGGCAGCGCTGTTAAGGGGAGCTTTTAATGACTGATGTTGTAATGTATTTTTAATCTTTGGTTGGAAGCCGCCCAAAGTGGCTGAGGAAACCCAGCCAGATGGGCAGGGTATAAATAACAAATTATTATTATTATTATTATTATTATTATTATTATTATTATACCACCTTTCCTCACATGATCTCAGGGCCATTCACAAGGTAAAACCACAAATATATAGTTAAACAAAAGCAAAAAAAGTGGCCTCCTGTATAGTCATACCTCGGGTTAAAGTTGCTTCGGGTTGAGCGTTTTCAGGTTGCGCTCCACGGCGACCCGGAAGTAATGGAATGCGTTACTTCTGGGTTTCGCCACTTGCGCATGTGCAGACGGTCAAAATGACGTCACGCGCATGTGCAGAAGCGGCGAATCGCGACCCGCGCATGCGCATGCGCAGACACGGGTTGCATTCGCTTCAGGATGTGAACGGGGCTCCGGAACGGATCCCGTTCACATCCAGAGGTACCACTGTAGTGTCCCAGGCCAGTCGGTTTAACTCATTTCTAGGTGGCAAAATTGACCAGAATTCTGACATGGTGCAACTAGTTCCCTTTACTCTAAAACACGGACGCCCAAAAAATTTACTTCGGTTTCCATTGTGGCTCTTCGAACTCGGAAAGGCCAGAGCTCGATTTCTCTTCCATCACCTCAGCTGTTTTCTTTTTAATATTGTTCTTGTTCTTGTTTTTTATTTATTTGCGTTTCTGATGTAATTCCCTATCAACAAAAGATAAACAAAAACGATGCGAAAGGAAAAGAATATCTGAAATAAAAAAAGAAGTAGCTTTTTCGGATATCAAAGAATAGACAGAAAAGAGACTTCCCACCCTTTCCTTCCATGATTCTCTTTTTCCCGCTTTTTCTGCCCCCCCCCATCTATTGCAACTACTTTTTTAAACTTTAGTTATTTCTTACACTGCTGAAACTCTTACCATGTGGCTAGGCCACCTCATCTGTTTTCAGACAGAATCCTAGAATTGTCCGACCAAAGTGGGATGGCTTCTAAAATGGATGGATTATGCAAAATCGCCTGTAAAACTAAGAGATCGAAATGATGAACTGTGGAAAATTGGAGGCATTTCCCCCCTGTTTCCATCAGAAAAATGTCGGAGGGTATGCAATATGAAATCGCGAGCAGGGTTCGAGATACGAGCGGCGGAGCAAAGACAATAAGATGGAGTTAGCGGGGTTACCAGTGAGTTGAATGCAGCAATAAAGGATAAGAATTAAGATGTCAGGGTGGGCCGCCCAACCTCTGCTTATAAACCTCCAAGGAAGGCGAGTCCACAAATGTGTGAATGATATACTGTAGGTGAAGTCAATTTGTTAAAACCTTTGAATAATCTAATAAACAATAGTAAAGGTAAAGGGACCCCAGACCATTAGGTCCAGTCGTGGCCGACTCTGGGGTTGTGGCGCTCATCTCACTTTATTGGCCGAGGGAGCCGGCGTGCAGCTTCCGGGTCATGTGGCCAGCAGGACTAAGCCGCTTCTGGCGAACCAGAGCAGCGCACGGAAACGCCATTTACCTTCCCGCCAGAGCGGTACCTATTTATCTACTTGCACTTTGACGTGCTTTCGAACTGCTAGGTTGGCAGGAGCAGGGACCGAGCAACGGGAGCTCACCCCGTCGCAGGGATTCAAACTGCCGACCTTCTGATCGGCAAGCCCAAGCAGCTCTGTGGTTTAACCCACAGCGCCACCCGCATCCCTAATAAACAATAATATCCCTTTAAAAAAGAACCGTAGAGCTGGGAGGGAATTGCGAAGGTTAACAAGTCCAACCCCTTTGCAGTGCAGGAATATTTTTGCCCCATGCCGGGCTCGAACCCACGAACCTGAGATGAAGTGTGCTCTATTGACCTAGCCATCCCACTTGGGAGGTTACAACGCACACTGGCCCGCAGGTTCAGCTGGGCACAAGGCGTTGTTCCGGCTTTCCTTTTGAAGAGCAGAATGAGCACAGTCCTATGTGCGTTTGTTGTCCCGAGGACCAGAATGGTGCAAGGCCAGTGAACATTCCCTTGAGTCAGCAGGGTTTGCTGAAATTACCGTATTTTTTGCTCTATAAGACTCACTTTTTCCCTCCTAAAAAGTAAGGGGAAATGTGTGTGTGTGTTATGGAGCGAATGCAGGCTGCACAGCTATCCCAGAAGCCAGAACAGCAAGAGGGATTGCTGCTTTCACTGCGCAGCGATCCCGTGCCTCTTGTGGTCTGGTGCGTCTTATAGAGCCAAAAATGCGGTATACATTTCAAGGGTTGAAAACATGCTTCGGACCCCATCGTTTTCATCCTTACAACAGCCTGGGAAAGCAGACCAGGCCATGTGGTCCACTGCCATGGCAGGTGGAAGGGAAACAGGACAATTGGAGGTTGCAAGAACAGATGTTCTCGGCTAAGGCATGACAGCAATCTCTCCTGGGTTGATGTTGTCACAGTCTCAGTGAGACAAGGCATGGGTGGATGTGTCAATCCCCATTTCTGATTCCCTCCCCCTCCTCCATCTTAAATCCAGTACTCCACACTTCCACATCAATCTGAGATTTTATTTTCCCTCGCGAAAATTCATCAGCACCGTTTTCTCCAAACCTTTGCAATTTTGCTCCGTGTAAACATTTTCGCAAAGCATAACGCAATGGATCTGCTATTTTGTTTTCACTCATTTCCACACGCGCTTTCACCCCGGAATATGCCTTTTTTAGACGCATCCCTTTGGCTGGATAATTTCACGGCAAAATTCGGAGAAGGGCGGATTTCAAAAGAGGCTGTGTTCGGGTTTGTGCATCTTTCTGCACAGCAGTTGCCTTTAAACGCGGACGGATTCAAATTCCTTCCCCCTCCATCTTTGAGAGTGTGAACTCTGCCCTGCTCTCCTAAGCACCTTGCAATTGGCCAGACGAAACCGACTGCATGGCAATAAAATGTGAATTGCCACCAATTTGCGCTTAGCTAGCTCTACAAAACTCGTTTACAGCCACCCCTGCCCACCGCCTTCATTACTGTGGAGAGGGAGGCAAGAGGCGTGGGAGAATCTCTTATCTCAATGCAGTGAGAGAGAGAGAGAGAGAGAGAGAGAGAGAGAGAGAGAGATTCTTGCATAATTCCAGGAATATATAATCTGAAACAACGGTTTGTCTTTTCCTTCACCGATTCCAGGTGTAAGGGAACTTCAGGCTACCAGCCTGGCCTGCAAACCTTTTCCCCAAACCATGCCCACCCACCAGGAGTGCCAGCTTTGCACCGCGACTGTGGGTGCCCAGAGCCAAATTTTGTGGGTGCCTGGCCCCTTGATGGGGATTTTGTGGGTGCTTGGGCCCACAGGGAGTTGGCACCTATGCCTCTCACCCTGCTCATCACGGCAAATGCGATGCCAGGCGTCGTTGTTGTTGAGTCGTGTCAGCCTCTTCGTGACCCCTAGACCAGAGCATGCCAGGCACTCCTGTCTTCCACTGCCTCCCGCAGTTTGGTCAAACTCATGCTGGTAGCTTTGAGAACGCTGTCCCACCATCTCGTCCTCTGTCGTCCCCTTCTCCTTGTGCCCTCCATCTTTCCCAACATCAGGGTCTTTTTCGGGGAGTCTTCTCTTCTCATGAGGTGGCCAAAGTATTGGAGCCTCAGCTTCAGAATCTGTCCTTCCAGTGAGCACTCAGGGCTGATTTCCTTCAGAATGGAGAGGTTTGATCTTCTTGCAGTCCATGGGACTCTCAAGAGTCTCCTCCAGCACCATAATTCAAAAGCATCCATTCTCTGGCGATCAGCCTTCTTTATGGTCCAGCTCTCACTTCCACTCTCACTGCCAGGAGTCAGATGGTTACAAATTGAGGAAGGGCCACAGCTCAGTGGGACAGCACCTTCCTTGCAAGCGGAAGGTGGAAGAGACTTCCCCCCAAAATCATGGTGAGCCTCTGTCAGTCAGTGTAATCAACCCTGATTTAGGTGGACCAAATGTTCAGCCTCTGCATAAGACGGCTTCCTAATGGTCTCTCTCAGGAGGTGGCGGGCTCTCCTTCGTTGGATGTTTTTAAGCAGCGGTTCGGTGGCCATCTGCCAGGGTGCTTTAGCTGAGATCCCTGTGTTGCAGGGGGTTGGATTAGAGGAACTTTGGATGTCCAATTCCAACTCTACCATTCTATGATTCTACGTTCCTACAGGTAAAGATTCCAAGGGACAACCGGGAGCTCACTTTTTGCTCATTCCCACTGGTCCAATCATCTCTTGCTCGGACCGAGGCACCGTTCCCACTGGTCCAATCATCTCTTTCTTCCCCTCTGCCTGATCCGAGACCGGCCAGGTCCATGGGACCCACCCTCTCGCACAGATTCTCTTTCTCTCCTTGCCTGCTGCCACTTCCGTCCGTCAAATTTCTCTGTCCCTATGGGCAGTTGCATGGCTTTTACCTGGGATGTTTCTAGATCCGTGCATTAAAGATGTGCTGGATACCAGTCTATTGCTAAGCTAATTTCAAGGCGTTACTGTTCAGGTCTTAAACAGCCTGCGACCTGCCTTGCCCCTCGTAAACCGGCCAAACCGCTGCACTCCTCTTCTGACCATCTCCTGGTCCCGTGTCCCTATGGAGGTAAAAAAGGTAAAGGTAAAGGACCCCTGAGGGATGCGGGTGGCGCTGTGCGTTAAACCACAGAGCCTAGGACTTGCCGATCAGAAGGTCGGCGGTTCGAATCCCTGCGACCAGGTGAGCTCCCATTGCTCGGTCCCTGCTCCTGCCAACCTAGAAGTTCGAAAGCACGTCAAAGTACAAGTAGATACAGTGGTACCTCGCAAGACGAATGCCTCGCAAGACGGAAAACTCGCAAAACGAAAGTGTTTTTGGTTTTTTGAGTTGCTTCGCAAGACGATTTTCCCTATGGGCTTGCTTCGCAAGATGGAAACGTCTTGCAAGTTTGTTTCCTTTTTCTTAAAACCGTTAATACAGTTGCAACTTGACTTCGAGGAGCAACTCATAGCACGCGGTGTGGTAGCCTTTTTTGAGGTTTTTGAAGACTTTGGTGATTTTTGAAGCTTTTCCAAAACTTTTCCGATACCGTGCTTCGCAAGATGAAAAAAAACGCAAGACGAAAAAACTCACGGAACGAATTAATTTCGTCTTGCAAGGCACCACTGTAAATAGGTACCGCTCTGGGGGGAAGGTAAACGGCATTTCCGTGCGCTGCTCTGGTTCGCCAGAAGCGGCTTAGTCCTTCTGGCCACATGACCCAGAAGCTGTACACCGGCTCCCTCGGCCAATAAAGCGAGATGAGCTCCGCAACCCCAGAGTCGGCCACGACTGGACCTAATGGTCAGGGGTCCCTTTACCTTTTCAAAGGACTCCTGACAGTTAAGTCCAGTTGCGAATGACTCTGGCAATAAAAGCCAACCTCTCAGTTAATGAAAGCCCTGCTTATCCCAAATGCTCCATGTCTCTTCTTCTAAATAGTTTGGCTTGCCTGGTATCAAACACATAGGCTTTCAAGCCTATCGTGACAGGCTTGACAAAGCAAAGTTCTGCTGAGATTGTTGAGATTGTTGACACGGCCAACACTGCATTCTCTGTTATCAGTGTTGCAGAGATGCCTCTTGCAGAAAAGGGCATTTTGCCTTTTTGGAGGATTACACCGAAAACTCCTGCCATACAGACGCCCCACTTGAAAGCTTGTGGGGGAATTAATCCGAGAATGACACGCAGTACAAATTTAGCCCTGTCATTGTTAAGAAATTGGGGAGGACAGATTTCACTTTAACCTACAATTGTCACGTCCTGTTGGACAATCCACTTGTTGTTTTTTAGTAGTGTTCGACTCTCTGTGACCCCATGAACCAGAGCATGCCTTGGAAACTCCCACTTTCTTCTCAAAAATTCTCCCTTTTTTTAATGTCCACGGAGTTTTCTTGGCAAAAGACTGGAGTGGTTTGCCAGTTCCTTCTCCAGGTGGATCACATTTAGTCTAAACTGTGGGTAGGCAAAGTAAGGCCCCGGGGGCCGGATCCGGCCCAATCACCAGACTATATTTTGGAGGGGGGGGAAATGAACGAATTCCTACGCCCCACAAATAACCCAGAGATGCATTTTAAATAAAAGCACACATTCTACTCATGTCAAAACACGCTGATTCCTGAACTGTCTGTGGGCCGGATTTAGAAGGCGATCCGGCCCCCAGGGCCTTAGGTTGCCTACCCCTGTTCTAAAGCTGTTGTCACGCGAAGAAACACTCTTTTGTTTTCATTTTGGATGCTTATCGTTAAAATGCCTAACAAAAAAAAGCTTCAGGTTTATTTAGGAATGTATATTTTAGCATTTATTTATTTTTAAGTTCCTCATAAATCATGTCCCAATTTTTTTTGATTTGGGGACCAGTCCACCACATGTGGAATAAGGTTCCTTCATTTTCTTTGCATCTTCCCGGCAGATTCTTGTACACCAGCTCAGAGCCGTCGCAGGGCGTCAAAGTGTGTGCTGCAATATTTCAGAGGGAAGGAGATATGGAAAATCTGGTTCTTTTTCTCCACTGCAACGCAACTAAGGTGTTGTGTTCTTCTTTTTTGAAAGGTGTTGCCACCATGCCTAGTATATTTGCCTACCAAAGCGCTGAAGTGGACTGGTGCGAAGAGAATTTTGCGCAGTCAGAGTACATTGCAGAATATTACAACACGGTAAGCCGCCGTTCTGGTCTGCCCTCATTTATTTCATCTTATTTATTTATTCAATAAACAAAATGTACTTGTTCACCAGGACCTGGCGAGGATGTGCTGAGAACCTTGGCTATGGTCTAGTCAAGGAGATCCAACTTTTCAGATGTTCCCTTGCAAATGAAATAAAAATTTAGGGTTCCATCGAGGCATCAGAGTTGCTTTTGCGGTCTGGGCGAGGAGGAACCAAGCGGCTCTCAGAAGCTGTACATGTTTTCTTCCATACAATACAGTGGTACCCCGGGTTAAGTACTTAATTCGTTCCGGAGGTCCGTTCTTAACCTGAAACTGTTCTTAACCTGAAGCACCACTTTAGCTAATGGGGCCTCCTGCTGCTGCCGCGCCGCCGGAGCACAATTTCTGTCCTCATCCTGAAGCAAAGTTCTTAACCCGAGGTAATACTTCTGGGTTAGCAGAGTCTGTAACCTGAAGCGTATGTAACCTGAAGCACATGTAATCCGAGGTGCCACTGTATTTTGATTTCAGAAAGGCTTTTGACAAAGTGCCCCGTGATATTCTCGCGAGGAAGCTGGTAAAATATGGGTTGAACGAGGCAACGTTTAGGTGATTGACTGACCAAACTGAAATATACTCAGAGTTGAGTGTTGATTTCATGCTCTTCATTTCAGCTCATGGTAAACAGTGTGTGAGTGCTTTCCCCCCAAAACCTCTGGCTATATAAACATTATTTTCACAATGTGATTGGCTGATTCAACTCCCCTCCTGGAGCCTGATTGGACTGTTCCTGCAGGCCAATCAGGTTGCTGATTCACTTCTTCCAGGAGCCGGATTGGGCAGCTCCTGCAGACCAATCAGGTTGCTGCCTTCTAGGATCCCACCTGTCTATTGTTCTAGGATCCAACCTCAGTGCATAACAGAAACCCAAAGTTTTCTTTGTCATCCTGGGAAAAAGTGACGAGTGAGGTGCCACAGGGTTTGTCCTGGGCCCGTTGTTGTTCAATGTCTTTATAAATGACTTGGATGAAGAATTGAGGGGCTGCTGATCAAATTTGCAGATGACACCAAACTGGGAGACGTAGCTAATGCCGCAGGAGACAGAATCAGAATTCAAAATGACCTTAATGGATCAGAGAACGGCGCAAGCTAACAAAATGAATTTCGATAGGGACAAATGTAAGCTACTCTGCTTAGGCAGGAAGAACCAGATGCACAAATATAGAATGGGGGACACCTGGCTTACTAGCAGTACATGTGAAAGGTATCTAGGGGTCTTGGTGGACCACAAGCCGAACATGGGTCCACAATGTGACGCAGCAGCGAAAAAAGCAAATGCTATTCTAGGCTGCATCAACAGAAGTCTAGTGTCCAGATTAAGAGAAGTCATGGTTCCGCTCTATTCTGCCTTGGTCAAACCACACCTGGAATACTGTGTCCAATTCTGGGCACCACAGTTTAAGAAGAATGTTGACAAGCTGGAAGGTGGGCAGAGGAGGGTGACTGAGATGATCAAGGGTCTGGAAACCAAGCCTGATGAGGAACGGTTGAAGGAGTTGGGCATGTTTAGCCTGGAAAAGAGATGGGGAGATATGATATCTCTTCTTGAAATATCTCAAGGGAAATGGGAGCAAGCTTGTTTTCTCCTGCTCAGGACTTCAACTTACAAGCAAGGAGATTCCGACTAAACTGAAGGTTCAAGCCAGACATAGGCAAACTCCAGTCCTCCAGATGTTTGGGACTACAATTCCCATCATCCCTGACCCCTGGTCCTGTTAGCTAGGGGTGATGGGGATTGTAGTCCCAAACATCTGGAGGAGAAGAAGAAGAGTTTGGATTTGATATCCCGCTTTATCACTACCCGAAGGAGTCTCAAAGCGGCTAACATTCTCCTTTCCCTTCCTCCCCCACAACAAACACTCTGTGAGGTGAGTGGGGCTGAGAGACTTCAAAGAAGTGTGACTGGCCCAAGGTCACCCAGCAGCTGCATGTGGAGGAGCGGGGAAGCGAACCCGGTTCACCAGATTACAAATCTACCGCTCTTAACCACTACACCACACTGGCTTTCTGGAGGGCCGGAGTTTGCCTATGGCTGGTTTGAGCTGAAGGTTTCCTGGGCCCGAGTCGTCGCGGCCATTTGCACCTCGAATCCGGACCGGTAGCATATTGCACCAGCCACACACGGACCGCTTCCTGCAGAAACTGAATATTCCGATTGCAAATTCCACGCCATGCCGAGGGATGGGAAATATTGCAAAGGTGCATCCAAGGTGAATAAACTCCCCTCTCCCTCAGTCCCGAAGCTCCAAATTCTGGCTCGATGCCAAAAAAGGAAGGAGGGTGTGGTGTTTGCTTCAGAACTGCTTCTCCTGGCACAGAGAAAGTGGGGCGCCCATTTAAGCAGCTGACCACCCACACACCTTCACAGAGATCCAGAAAATAAACCGGCTTTACCTGCTCAGCTTCTGGAGCTGGCTGGCTGGCGTCTGCCCCACGGCAAGGCTTGGGGAGGCGGGAAGAGGGCAGGGTCTCCAGGAGCCCCTGACTTCACCTCCTCCTCGCTGGGATCTCGCGTTTAGGCTGCAGGCACACAGCAGAGCACATTTGAAAGCATCTCCACCACAGGCCCCCCAACCCCCGCCTCCAAGCAGATAACAGGGAACTGTGATGCGCTGACGTGTTTAAACCAGAGAAAAGTCACATGAAGCATTTACTAAAGACCGGGAAAAGAAAACGACGCTTGCGACACTTGGCTTGAGGAGCGACGGTAATGTTGCTTGGGAGAAAGAGTTTTCGCTGGGTGTTATCTTGGAGTGGGTGGGTGGGTGAAATAACATTTACCGTATTTTTTGCTCTATAAGACTCACTTTTTCCCTCCTAAAAAGTAAGGGGAAATGTGTGTGCGTCTTATGGAGCGAATGCAGGCTGCGCAGCTATCCCAGAAGCCAGAACAGCAAAAAGGATGGCTGCTTTCACTGTGCAGCGATCCCTCTTGCTGTTCTGGCTTCTGAGATTCAGAATATTTTTTTTTCTTGTTTTCCTCCTCCAAAAACTAGGTGCGTCTTATGGTCTGGTGCGTCTTATAGAGCGAAAAATACGGCATATCGAGCTGACGGACAAAGAATCGAAAGTTCTCTATTTTTCTTCTTTCTCTGTTTCCTCTCTTATGTTCCCCTCTGTACATTCTATCTTTCTAGCTCCCTCATCTCCTTTTCTCTCTTTTTGTTTTTTGTACTTTTGTTTAGATTAACGTTTGTTTTGATTTTTTTTTTAAAAAAAGTTTGATAATAATCTTGACATCCCTTGACATCTTGACATCCCCCCCTAATTCTAACGAGATCTATTTTTGAAAAGGAGCTGGGATGGGTTAAAGGTGCTGGGAAATGGAGCTTTGTGAGGGATGCGGGTGGCGCTGTAGGTTAAACCACAGAGCCTAGGACTTGCCGATCAGAAGGTCGGCGGTTCGAATCCCCGCAATGACAGGGTGAGCTCCCGTTGCTCGATCCCTGCTCCTGTCAACCTAGCGGTTTGAAAGCACGTCAAAGTGCAAGTAGATAAATAGGTACCGCTCCAGCGGGAAGGTAAACGGCGTTTCCGTGCGCTGCTCTGGTTCGCCAGAAGCGGCTTAGTCCTGCTGGCCACATGACCCGGAAGCTGTACGCCGGCTCCCTCGGCCAATAAAGCGAGATGAGCGCCGCAACCACAGAGTCGGCCATGACTGGACCTAATGGTCAGGGGTCCCTTTACCATGTTTACTAAGGGGTAAACATGGCTGAAGTATACTCAGCGTTGAGTATTGATTTCATGCTCTTTATTTCAGCTCATGGTAAACAGTGAGCGAGTGCTTCCCCCCCAAAACCTCTGGCTATATACACATTATTTTCACAATGGGTCTCGTGTGATTGGCTGATTCAACTCCCCTCCTGGAGCCTGATTGGACTGTTCCTACAGGCCAATCAGGTTGCTGATTCACTTCCTCCTGGAGCCGGATTGGGCGGCTCCTGTAGACCAATCAGGTTGCTTCCTTCTAGGATCCTACCTGCCTATTGTTCTAGGATCCAAGCTCAGTAGATAGCAGTGGCATAGCGGGGTTGCCAGGACCCGGGGCTGCACAGAGGGTTGGGAGGCTGAGAATCAGACAGCATACACATGTGCATACAACCGCTTCACTGCGTCCGCATCACCGAGAAGATCACAGCCACAGAGATAAGAAGAGTCGTGCCATTGTTTGCAGAGGTCACTTCCTGGTTCGCATGGAGAAGCCATTTTGAATGGAGCCTAGCTGTATTGTAATATGGTCTGAAGCTCAACATCAAAAAACGAAGATCGTGGCCACTGGTCCCATCACCTCCTGGCAAATAGAATGGGAAGAAGTGGAGGCAGTGAGAGATTTTACTTTCTTGGGCTCCATGATCACTGTCTCCCTTCCAATTTGAAACCATACCGGACCCTGCTTAGCTTTGCAAACGCGCCAGCACTTTTATGGCTGCGCCACTGGGAGAACAAAAAAAACCCCAACGCTCCTCAAAAGTTGATTGTGAACTGATCTTAATAAATACATAATAAATAGCTAATTGTTCAATTTCGGATGGCCGCTGGAGCCACTATGGCTTGTTTCTGGAGACAGACCTTAGCAGAGCCCAATTTTCTTCTAGATATTCCCAGGCTTTGGGAACCGACTTTACTAGAAAAGATGACCCAAAAATGATGTGTTTCCGGGGGACAAATAAAAAAATGGATAGATTTGTAGAGGTCATGTTTGATTTTATTACACATGCCAGAATGTGGTCTGTCCCCTCCCTCTGCTTATCAATGGATTTGTTAATTCACTAATATTCTCTTTACGTCGCTTTTCTTTCTTTCTTCTTAACAATGCTTTTTTCCACGCAGGCGTACGCATGCCCCTAAACATTTTGCAAATCTTTGTACTTTTGTCCATTCACTGTATTTATTTTCCCCCTGGTTTGAACTATAAAATGGTGATTTTCCTGAGTCAAAATGAGAGTACCCCCTTTAAAGGGAAAAAAAGCACTGATTCTTGATAAGGGGGTGTTGCTGTTTTTTGTTTGCTTGTTTTTTTGAAGTTGATGGTTGCAACCAAGCGATTCAAAGTGTGGAACGTTCCAAATCACACATTAAAAACGAGAACGACAAGAAAACACTCTCCTTGTTCGCTGCTGTTTTGCAGATCAGCAACGTTGGTTTCTTCATCCTGCCGCCTATCATGATGTTCCTGAACCCACAGTACATCCAGTACCGACCAGTTCCCATCCCGGGTCTTACTATCATGTCAACATTGATTGGTACGTTCCCTGGGGGAATCAGAAGGGAAGGGACGCACCCTCCAGATCAAAAGAATTTATTTCTTTACGCAATCACGGCATCCCGAATTATACATACCCAGAAACGGAGAGACAGAACAATGCCAGCAAGAGGAGGAATTGCAAGTGAAATGGTAGAATTAGCAAACGTAACTTATAGAATAGGGACGCGGGTAGCACTGTGGTCTAAACCACAGAGCCTAGGACTTGCCGTTCGGAAGGTCGGCGGTTCGAATCCCCGCGACGGGGTGAGCTCCCGTTGCTCGGTCCCTGCTCCTGCCAACCTAGCAGTTCGAAAGCACGTCAAAGTGCAAGGAGATAAATAGGTACCACTCCGGCGGGAAGGTAAACAGCGTTTCCATGCGCTGCTCTGGTTCGCCAGAAGCGGCTTAGTCATGCTGGCCACATGACCCAGAAGCTGTATGCCGGCTCCCTTGGCCAATAAAGAGAGATGAGCGCTGCAACCCCAGAGTCGTCTGTGACTGAACCTAAAGGTCAGGGGTCCTTTTACCTTTAACTTATAGAATAAGTCCTTTCTTTTAGCAGATCAAGATGATCTCAGGTTCTGGCTTGCACTCCTTATAAAGACTTGAGGAATGAGATTATCACCTCTCTTTTATTGTCCATTCCGGGTCGCCCAACCACTGCCACAGTGTCCTTTCTCTCGGCAGATCAAGATGAGAAGGCGACAGCAACGGTGGCAAGGTTTTTAGCTGGGGAAATCAGAATAACACCCACTATTTGATTCGAAACCCTAAAATGTATTTTATATAATTGACTTTTTATTTCTATTCTTTGTATATCGTATCGTTGTTTTATTGCTACGGCTGATGGCTGGCGCAAGTAAAGCGAGATGAGCGCCGCAACCCCAGAGTCGTTCACAAATGGACTTAACTGTCAGGGGTCCTTTACCTTTTTTTTATATTGATAGTGAATTGGGGGGCAGGGCCAAGTGTGGGGCCCTAAGCTATAGCTTGTTTAGGTAAAGGTAAAGGGACCCCTGACCTTTAGGTTCAGTTGCAGACGACTCTGGGGTTGCAGCGCATGGAAATGCCGTTTACCTTCCCGCTGGAGCGGTACCTATTTATCTACTTGCACTTTGACGTGCTTTCGAACTGCTAGGTGGGCAGGAGCAGGGACCGAGCAATGGGAGCTCGAACCGCCGACCTTCTGATCGGCAAGCCCTAGGCTCTGTGGTTTAGACCACAGCACCACCCGCATCCCTATATAGCTTGTTTAGCTTATACGTAAATCCGGCGCTGATTCAGACTAAACATCAGAAGGAACTTTGTGGCAGTAAGAGCCTTTCAACAGTGGAAACTTTCTCTCCCGGAAGCTGCCGGGCTCTTCCTCCTTGGAGGGTTTTAAAGAGAGTTTGGATGTCCACCTGTCAGCGATGCCAAGATTCCTGCCTTGCAGAGGGTTAGAATCCTAGAACTGTAGAGTTTGAAGGGAACTCCAAGGATCATCTAGTCCAACCCCTGGCAAGGCAGGAATCTCAGCTAAAGCATCCATGACGTTTAGCCCTCGGGGTCCCTTCCAGCTCTACAATTCTGTGGTTCTACTATTCTTCTGGGAGCCCAGGGAGCCCAACGTTCTGGACTCACAGAACTGTACAGTTGCATGGGACCTCGTGGGCCATCTAGTCTGACCCCCTAAAGAAAGGACCAGCCGCAGCCCCGTGGGAGAGAAGCTGCTTTGAGTGCAGAAGGCTGCAAGCTAGATTCCCCTCTTTTCATCCTGCAGGTCTGTTCTCCGGCTACTTCCATATGACTCTCAGCTACGCAGGGCAGATGCTGGACGAACTCTCCATCCTCTGGGCAATCTCTCTCTGCTACGCTTTCTGGTTGCCTGTTCACTATTACCCATCGTTCATCAAAAACAGGTAAGTGGGGGGGAATAAGGAACTGCTGGGGCACCTGGAGAACCAGGCAGAGGGCCTTCTCGGTGGTGGCGCCCTCCCTGTGGAATGCCCTCCCATCAGATGTCAAAGGAAATAAACAACTATCTGACTTTTAGAAGACATCTGAAGGCAGCCCTGTACAGGAAAGTTTTGATGTTTTATTGTATTTTTAACATTCTGTTGGAAACCGCCCAGGGTGGCTGGGGAAACCCAGCCAGATGATGATGATGATGATGATGATAATTTATTGGTACCCCGCCCATCTGGCTGGGTTTCCCCAGCCACTCTGGGCGGCTTCCACAAAGACCAAAAATACACTAAGATATCACACATTAAAAACTTCCCTGAACAGGGCTGTCTTAAGATGTCTTCTGAATGTCAGGTGGTTGTTTATCTCTTTGACATCTGATGGGAGGGCGTTCCACAGGGCGGGTGCCACTACCGAGAAGGCCCTCTGCCTGGTTCCCTGTAGCTTTGCTTCTTGCAATGAGGGAACTGCCAGAAGGCCCTCAGCGCTGGACCTCAGCATCCGGGCAGAACGATGGGGGTGGAGACGCTCCATCAGATATACTGGACCAAGGCCGTTTAGGGCTTTAAAGGCCAGCACCAACACTTTGAATTGAATGATGGTATAAATTATTATTATTATTATTATTATTATTATTATTATTATTATGTCTCTGCAGCCCTCCAGATTGCAAATAGAACTTTTCCCAACACACTTTCTATTCCTACGAAAACAAACAAACCCCAAACCCCACATGCATAAACATTCCAATGGCTGCAGAGAGATCCAGGACTATTAAGACCAATGGGTGTCCTGGTTCAGTAAAGACAGGCTGATCTTTGCTAACTCATTCTGTCAGATCCACAGCGACTTCTCCACACACTTGGCTTCGTTTCTTCCTGCCCACGGGGAGAGGGCTCATGGAAATCTTCCCGCCTGTTCTGTAAAGGACACCTGAGCTCTTCAGCGCTCAAACTGTGTTTTTTGTTTTTGTTTTTTCTTTTGACCTACTTAGGGATCAGTTCATGTGGCTGGTGGGCGTCTTGACCGTCTTCAGCACCCTGATGTCCTTTGTGAAGCCGACCCTGAACGCTTACGCCCTCAACTCCGTCGCCTTGCACCTTTTATACTTGAGTAACCTGGAATTCAGAAAGTAAGTTGTGGGCAGAGAACCTTGCAAGCGTTGAACAGGCAATTCTAAGGGCCCCCTAGTGCAGAGTCTGCCTCCCGCTTCAGTAGCTTCACAGATAAGAATTAGCAAGCAGTTTCTATTTTAGGTAAAGGTAAAGGGACCCCTGACCATTAGCTCCAGTCGTGGCCAACTCTGGGGTTGCGGCGCTCATCTCGCTTTATTGGCCGAGGGAGCCGGCGTACAGCTTCCGGGTCATGTGGCCAGCAGGACTAAGCCGCTTCTGGCGAACCAGAGCAGCGCACGGAAATGCCGTTTACCTTCCCGCCGGAGTGGTACCTATTGATCTACTTGCACTTTGACGTGCTTTCGAACGGCTAGGTTGCCAGAAGCAGGGACCGAGCAACGGGTGCTCACCCCGTCACGGGGATTCAAACCGCCAGCCTTCTGATCGGCAAGTTCTAGGCTTGGCAAGGCCAAAGCTCTGTGGTTTAACCCACAGCGCCACCTGTAGCACCTTAGAGACCAACTAAGTTTGTTCTTGGTATGAGCTTTCGTGTGCATGCACACTTTTTCAGATACACTGAAACAGAAGTTGCCAGACCCTTATATATAGTGGGAGGGTGGGGTATTTCTCAGGAGGGTCATGGGAGATGGGTGATTGACTCAATGGGTATTGTAAACCTGTTGATGACTGTTAATGAGTGCAAGTTTACCATACCCATTGAGTCAATGCAGTCATTAACCGTAGTCAACAGGTTTTTATTCTTATCCTTAATTGCTGCATTGTACTTGACACGGGTGGTGCTGTGGGTTAAACCACAGAGCCTAGGACTTGCCGATCAGAAGGTCGGCGGTTCGAATCCCTGCGACGGGGTGAGCTCCCATTGCTCAGTCCCTGCTCCTGCCAACCTAGCAGTTCGAAAGCACGTCAAAGTGCAAGTAGATATATAGATACCGCTCTGGCGGGAAGGTAAACGGCGTTTCCGTGCACTGCTCTGGTTCGCCAGAAGCGGCTTAGTCATCTGGCCACATGACCCGGAAGCTGTACGCCGGCTCCCTCGGCCAGTAAAGCGAGATGAGCGCCGCAACCCCAGAGTCGGTCATGACTGGACCTAATGGTCAGCGGTCCCTTTACCTTTACCTTTACTTGATGCTAAAAATCCAGCTCCATTTTATTCCCCCCAGGCCTTTGGTTGATCTTATTGAAATTCGACACCCTTTTAGAATGTGGCTTTTTTTGGGGGGGGTGTATTGAGTTACTGCTTTCGGTTTGATTTTATATGTTGTGGTCTTCTTGTGAACTGCCCCAAGACCTCCCGGTCTAGGGCAGTGTATAAGTTAAATTAATAATAATAATAGGTAAAAGGTAAAGGTAAAGGACCCCAGACGGCTAAGTCCAGTCAAAGGCAACTGTGGGGTTGCAGCGCTCATCTCGCTTTCAGGCTGAGGGAGCCGGCGTTTGTCCACAGACAGCTTTCCGGGTCATGTGTCCAGCAGGACTAAACCACTTCTGGCACAATGGGACACCATGACGGAAACCAGAGTGCACGGAAGTGCCGTTTACCTTCCCGCCACAGTGGTACCTATTTATCTACCTGCACCGGCGTGCTTTCGAACTGTTAGGTTGGCAGGAGCTGGGACCGAGCAACAGGAGCTCACCCCGTTGTGATCATAGTTATAATGCCCATTTTGTCAATGTAACCCCCCCAGCCTCAGGCGAGTGCGCCAACTATTCCTGATTGCAACCTTTTCCGCAGGTGCAACAACGTCCGCGTTCACCGTCTCATCAGGACCATGGTCGTGTGGTGGTGCATCGCCATCACCTGTTGGCTGACGGATAAGTTTATGTGTGGCATCTGTCAGAGGGCCAATTTCACCTACCTTCACAGCATCTGGTAAGAAGGTCCTGCTCTTGGCTGCCCTGGAGGGCTAGACGAAATGGAACGGTCTTCATTTATTGGGTAGTGGTGTCAGAAGCAAAAGCTTTGGGGTGGTAAGCACCGCTGGTACAAGGGAGCCCATAACCTAGCCATCTTGGCCATCTCATGATGAAGCAGTTGCCTCAGGCAGCAAATGAAGAAGAATCTTTATTTGCTTTGGCCACTAGACATAAAAAGGTAAAGGGTAAAGGGACCCCTGACCATTAGGTCCAGTCGTGGCCGACTCTGGGGTTGCGGCGCTCATCTCACTTTATTGGCCGAGGGAGCCGGCGTACAGCTTCCGGGTCACGTGGCCAGCATGACTAAGCCGCTTCTGGCGAACCAGAGCAGCGCACGGAAACGCCGTTTACCTTCCCACCGGAGTGGTACCTATTTATCTACTTGCACTTTGATGTGCGTTCGACCTGCTAGGTTGGCAGGAGCAGGGACCGAGCAACGGGAGCTCACCCCGTTGCGGGGATTTGAACCACCGACCTTCTGATCAGCAAGCCCCAGGCTCTGTGATTTACATAGCAATAAAATAAAATAAAATGTACTGAAGATTCAGTGGTACCTCTGCATATGCACACCTCTAGTTGCGTATCCTTCGGGTTATGCATGCGGCAAACCCAGAAGTATTTTTCTGGGTTTCGCTGCATGCGCAGAAGCACTCTATGTGCCGCACATGCGCAGAACAGGCACCTCTGGTTGTGAATTCCTCGGGATCTGACCAGAGCTCCAGAACGGATCCCGTGTGCAACTGGAGGTACCACTGCAGAGGTAAAAACTTAACTGTAGAAAATACATTTTGGGGGTTTCATCAAATGCTTCTCAGTGGCAGCAAATGCTTCTCAGAGGTTGCTCCCAGTCTTGGGAACTCTCTCCCTGGAGAAGCCAGACAGGCTCCTTCCTTGATGTCCTTCTGCCAGGGCCTTCTCGGTGGTGGCTCCCTCCCTGTGGAACGCCCTCCCATCAGATGTCAAGGAAATAAACAACTATCTGACTTTCAGAAGACATCTGAAGGCAGTCTAGTTTAGTGAAGTTTTTAGTGTTTGATGTTTTATCGCTTTATTATTATAGTCGTACCTTGGTTCTCGAACGCCTTGGTACTCGTACGTTTTGGCTCCTGAACGCCGGAAACCTGGAAGTAAGTGTTCCGGTTTGCGAACGTTCTTCGGAAGCTGAACGTCCGACGCGGCTTCTGCTTGAGTTCAGGAATCTCCCTCTGTTGTCAAATGTTTCCGGAAGTCGGGCGAACTTCCGGAACGGATTACTTTAGAGAACCAAGGTACAACTGTATTCATATTAAGCTGGGAGCCACCCAGAGTGGCTGGGGAAGCCCAGCCTGATAGGCGGGGTATAAATTATAAATTATGATGATTATTATTATAGTGGTACCTCAGGTTACATACGCTTCAGGTTACAGACTCCGCTAACCCAGAAATAGTGCTTCAGGTTAAGAACTTTGCTTCAGGATGTGAACAGAAAACATGCTCCAGCAGCGCGGTGTCAGCGGGAGGCCCCATTAGCTAAAGTGGTGCTTCAGGTTAAGAACAGTTTCAGGTTAAGAATGGACCTCCGGAACGAATTAAGTACTTAACCCAAGGTACCACTGTATTATACCGTCATACCTCGGGTTAAAGTTGCTTCAGGTTGAGCCTTTTCGGGTTGCGCTCCATGGCGACCCAGAAGTAACGGAACGTGTTACTTCCAGGTTTCGCCGTTTGCGCATGTGCATTCGCTCAAAATGACGCCATGCGCATGCGCAGAGAATCGCAACCCGCGCACACGCAGACGCACAGATGCATTTTGCGTTCGCTTCAGGATGCAAACAGGGTTCCGGAACAGATCCCGTTCGCATCCAGAGGTACCACTGTATTTCAAAAAGTAAAAAAGCAAGACACCCCTGGCAGCCCTAGACAACATTCTTTCCTTTTTTAAAAAACTCACAGGCATCTTTGTATCGTCGTTACCATTTTCTACTGCGCCACCACGGTCGTCTACTTCGATGTCTTCTACGAACTCCCTAGCTCCGAGCCCGACGTGGTTTACTGGCCCAGCGAGGGTAGCTTCTTTGCGCTGCCGTACATCAACCTCCCAAAATTCAAGAAGCAGTGCTAAGGGACTGCGAGACCGCTGAGGATAACAGGAGCCCGGCACTGATCCTACGGGTTCGACCCATTACGACGACTGAGCCCTATGCTTGTTTGGCCGGCGAAAGGCTTCGCGCCGCCAAACCCTTGTTACCTGGGAGACCGCGCATGCAAGTAGCTTTGTCGCATGGCTTGTCGCCCAACCCTGTTGCGCAGCGAGTTTTCCCGCCAGCCCGGCCATACTGAACGGGATGCCTCCGTTATGCAACACTGAAACTTGCCCGTTCCCCAGAGAATGGCGGACACCGTATTTAAGCTATTTATAGAGGACGTGTGGAGGGAATGAGAGAACGAACGGATCTCTCGCTTTATGGACGTTCTGCGCATGTTCACCACTGCCTTGCTCCAACCTGTATTAAACTGCACTTTGAAAGAAAGAAATCGGTGTGTTCATTTGTACCAAAATGTTGTTTGCTCTCAAAACGATGCGTTTTAAAACACAACTTAGTCTCCAAAAAAAGAGAGAGGGCATTCTGATACTTTTTCATTTTTTCAGCACCATAGATGTGCAAAATCTGATGTATAGTTCTGGTTCGGTCTGGACATTAATCTGAGAGATGTAGATCATACCTGCTGCAGGGCTGGTGTTTCACAAGCTGGTGTTTTGACACAATAATTGCACGGAATAAATCCATGGTGGGTTTGTTCTGATTTGTTCATTGCTATAACAACAACAACAACAACAATTTATTATTTATACCCCACCTGTCTGATTGGGCTTCCCCAGCCACTCTGTTGGTGGCTCCCAACAGAATATTAAAAACACGACAACACATCAAACATTAAAAACTTCCCTAAATTTTCCCCATCACTCCTACCTTACTTTACCTTTACAGACAATACCATCCCAGGGTGAAACAATGACCAGATGGTTTCCTGTACAACTTAAGAAAAGAAGACTTCACATGCTCAGGGGCACTTTGCCGAAAGTTGTTGTAGTTGTTGTTTTAAATAAAATATAATGACTTCTTCCTACTCAAGAAAAAAAAAAACAAATTCTGACTTAGGTACAGTGGTACCTCGGGTTACATACACTTCAGGTTACATACGCTTCAGGTTACAGACTCCGCTAACCCAGAAATAGTACCTCGGGTTAAGAACTTTGCTTCAGGATGAGAAGAGAAATAGTGGTCCGGCATAGCGGCGGCAGCAGGAGGCCCCATTAGCTAAAGTGGTGCTTCAGGTTAAGAACAGTTTCAGGTTAAGAACGGACCTCCGGAATGAATTAAGTACTTAACCCGAGGTACCACTGTATCAGAATTTTGCAAAGGTAAAGGGAACAAGCTCACGCTCATTTTTATTTCCATCCCCCACCACCATACTCATTCCCAACTCTCCCTCTCGCATCTCTGAAGGATAGCTCAGTCGGCAAAAGCACGAGACTCTTCATGTCGGCGAGGTTGCGGGTTCGATTCCTGCACTGCAGGGGGTGGGTTTAGATGACCGCGGGGGTCCCCCTCCAACTCTACAATTCCAATGCCCCTTCTCTGCCTCAGAACTTGAGTGGGCCAAGCTGGAACGCTTTCCCGAGTAACCATCCAAACAGAACTTTTTCTCCGTGGCGACGGCTCCAGGAAGTCAGTCCTCGGGCAAGTGCCCCTAGGCAAAAGGGGTCCAGATGGGCAGACTGCCCTTCAGCTCAACGGACGGATTATGCAGCAACCGAAACTGTTTTACCCCCAACATGAGACGTACACCCCTCGGCCTTTAGAGCGACCAGACGGACAGTCCAACCGGCCCTTCCCGGCTTTTGTTCTCCCTGAAAACCTTGCCTCCGTAGGTAGGATCGGTTTACGCCAGCGGGGTTTTCTTACCTCGTTTTTTTCTGGGATGAGGCCAACCCCACATCTAAGAATGACAGCCCATATGGCAAGTCCCCCATGGGGCTGCTTGGCTTGTTGGCTCAACAGCATATTATGGGAAGACAGGTTTCCCCCTTACAACTTCCTGTAATACTAATTTTACACCCCATATTATTGCAAGGGCAGGGATACGGGTGGCGCTGTGGGTTAAACCACAGAGCCTAGGACTTGCCGATCAGAAGGTCAGCGGTCCGAATCCCCGCAATGACGGGGTGAGCTCCCGTTGCTCGGTCCCTGCTCCTGCCAACCTAGAAGTTCGAAAGCACGTCAAAGTGCAAGCAGATAAATAGGTACCACTCCGGCGGGAAGGTAAACGGCATTTCCGTGCGCTGCTCTGGTTCACCAGAAGCGGCTTAGTCCTGCTGGCCACATGACCCGGAAGCTGTACGCCGGCTCCCTCGGCCAATAAAGCAACCCCAGAGTTGGTCACGACTGGACCTAACGGTCAGGGGTCCCTTTACCTTTATTATTGCGAGGAGGTAACCTGTCCTTCGGTCGCGGCCTCCCCATCCCAAGCCAACCTCAGTCCCTATTTTCCTTTCCCTTCTCTCACATCGCTAGCAATGGCTCCTGTGCCCTCGCAGGCCTCTTTCCCCCCTTGGTGTTCATATTTTGAGGATAAGTGTTCTCGCACATGGCTGGAGCAACATTGCTGAAACATGCGCCATCTTGGTGCGGGAGGAAGTGTGCTGCCGCCACCGCAGCGCAGCACATTCCTTCAGACCCATGGCTTTATTGGGGTGGGGAATCAGAATTGGGTCTTTGTGCGTGTGTGAATTCCACATGGAATAGTGCCCCAATATCTAGCTGTTGCCGAAATTCGGTCAAGCAGCACAGCTACTACGAACCGTGCCACAAAATTGTGCACAGATGCTCAGCAGCTTTCGGGTGCACAGAGCGTCCAAGAGCAAAGGGCTGTGGACTTGCTTCTGAGCTGTTGCAAAACTCATGGAAGGAAAAAGAAGGAACCCTCAATGCAAAACACACACACACACACAGAAGGGCTCACCGAAAAGGCACAATGGATTTGAGTTTCAGGAAGGCAGACTACAAAAGGTACAGTCAAACCTTGGTTGTCAAACGGAATCCGTTCCGGAAGACTGTTTGCCTTCCGAAATGTTCGACAACTGAGGTGCGGCTTCCGATTGGTTGCAAGAGCTTCTTGTACTCAAGCGGAAGCTGCGCCGGACGTTCGGCTTCCGGAAAACGTCTGAAAACTGGAACCGAAACATTCCAAAACGGAGCCATTTGAGAATTGATGTTTTGACTGTATAGTATAGCAAACTGACGCAGGTGGCGCTGTGAGTTAAACCACAGAGCCTAGGGCTTGCCGATCAGAATCGGAAGCCACGATTTGGTTTCTGAACGTTCAACCTCCGAGGTACGGCTGTATTTTCACCCGAGTAATGTTGGAGGGCATGGCATTGTTGCTAAGGGGTGAAACCCAAAGGGGTTGCTCAGCCCTTCGGAGCCCAACCGGAAGTAGAGGAGGAGATTTCCAGGAGACAGAGCGGGAGAAGCGACGCAGCCAGCAAAAGCAGAGGGTAGAGCATGAATTTTTCTGTGTGTTGACGTTACAGGGACACCCAGTTTGTACCACCCCCCCAGCCAAGAGAAAGAGCTATTTGCAACACCCCCGGCAGGTAACGCTTACGTGGTGCGTAGAAAGAAGCAACTCTCGCGGGCGCGTGGGTGGGCCTTTGCGGATTGTGGCCTGTAAATCTCAACTCGGGACAGGGCGGGACGATGCCTGGCTAGGTTTCCGACGGACTAAAGCTGAGATTTGGTCGGCAGCTGTTGCTATAAGAAAACTGAGCCGATTTCCGTTCCGCCACCTGCTGCCAAGTAATGGAATTCATCACTTCAAAGTACACAAGCATGATTAGTTTTGATTTTGCTTGCCGTTGGGATGGGACACAAAAGCCCATCTGCTGCACATGCAGGAATAATAATAATAATAATAATAATAATAATAATAATTTATTTATTTATTTATATCCCGCCCTCCCCAGCCGAAGCCGGGCTCAGAGCGGCTAACAACAGTAAAATGATACAACATTCTAAAATCATTTCATTATAAAATCAGTTCAAATCAGATTAATGGCAACCATTGGGCTAGAGTTCTGTGGGGATTACCAAAGGAGGGGGTCAGGCTGTGTCAAAGGCCTGGCGGAACAGCTCTGTCTTGCAGGCCCTGTGGAAAGATGTCAAGTCCCGCAGGGCCCTAGTCTCTTGTGACAGAGCGTTCCACCAGATTGGGGCCACAGCCGAAAAGGCCCTGGCTCTGGTTGAGGCCAGCCTAACCTCTCTGTGGCCCGGGACCTCCAAGATGTTTTTGTTTGAAGACCGTAAGGTTCTCCTTGGGACATACCAGGAGAGGCGGTCCCATGGGTACGAGGGTCCTAGGCAGTATAGGGCTTTAAAGGAAGCCCCGGGTTCGAATCTCTCGAGGTAGGGAACAGACTCCTTCCTTGAAACGCTGCAAAGTTGTTACCAGTCAGTGAAGACAAACACTAAGCTAGCTGGACTTAAGGCCTGGCTCAGAATAAGGCTGTTTCCCAGTGTTAGAAACTCAGATATATAAGCTATGCGTCAAATGGCTCCTTAAACCAAGGTTGCAGTCACCAAGATGGAACGCCCAGAGTTGCCATTTTGGGGCAAGATGGCTCAAAAGCAGCGGTTCTCAACCTGTGGGTCCCCAGATGTTGTTGGACTACAACTCACATCATCCCTGAGCTCTGGCCTTGCTAGCTGGGGGGATGGGAGTTGTAGTCCAACAACATCTGGGGACCCACAGCTTGAGAAAGGCGGCTCTAAAGTCTTATTTTTCAAAGGATGGACTGGCTGTGATTGATTCTCAGATAAACATCTGGCTAGTTCAGCTGACAAACCTAGACAGCATCTTAAAAAGCAGAGACATCACCTTGCCAACAAAGGTCCGTATAGTTAAAGCTATGGTTTTCCCAGTAGTGATGTATGGAAGTGAGAGCTGGACCATAAAGAAGGCTGATCGCCAAAGAATGGATGCTTTTGAATTCTGGTGCTGGAGGAGACTCTTGAGAGTCCCATGGACTGCAAGAAGATCAAACCTATCCATTCTTAAGGAAATCAGCCCTGAGCGCTCACTGGAAGGACAGATCCTGAAGCTGAGGCTCCAAGACTTTGGCCACCTCATGAGAAGAGAAGACTCCCTGGGAAAGACCCTGATGTTGGGAAAGATGGAGGGCACAAGGAGAAGGGGACGGCAGAGGACGAGATGGTGGGACAGTGTTCTCGAAGCTAGCAGCATGAGTTTGACCAAACTGCGGGAGGCAGTGGAAGACAGGAGTGCCTGGTGTGCTCTGGTCCAGGGGGTCACGAAGAGGCGGACACGACTAAATGACTAAACAACAAGAACAAGAAGAAGCATAAAGAAAGAAGAAACTGTCTGTACATGTTTCATCTGTTGTGTAATGACGCTTACTGCCAAGTCAGGTGCAGCAGGTGCACATTTATCCTAGAATCCCTATGTTTGCTTGCCATTTTAGCTGATATTTATATTTTTGCAAAGCAATTTCTCCTAATATAATGCCCTTTTTTGCATGTTATTTTTATGAATATGCTGGGGTTGGACAACAAAGTTCAGCTGACAGCCTTGAGCTAGGTTAAGAACTTTGAGAACTTAAAGAAGGAAAGTCACTTGATGCAGGGACAGTCTATATATATATTGGCCCATTCCGACCTCTTTTTCTTAATGGCGACACGGAACATTCATGACGTAAGAATAATCTTCACAACTGTGAGCAGGGCATTGTTCACTGCTCCTGCAGTTTGGAAGAGAGATTCTCGCAGCAGAGTTATCACAATGGTGACTGTGCCAAGCACATTAAAACTTGGCTAGATTTTGACATCTTCCCTCCTCCACCTTTAGGCAAGCATTCCACACAAAAATACTTTGGCTAGAATAAATCACAGACACTTAGCTTTGCAAATAAGTGAGCATTTTACACGCACAGTTTCAGAAGTTACAGAAAACAAGTCTCCGTCCGCTGGCAGTAAAGTAAGGAAGAAAAAGGTTCCAAATGGCTTTAAAAGAAAGAAGTTGTTTCTTTCAAAAGAATATTGCAAGCTTTGTGTTATGCAAGCTGTAAAAATCTCCTTTAGAGAGATTTTATTCACGTGGTTATCCTTCAGCTGGGAGCCATTCTGCGTGGCTCCTTTCTTCCAGGAAGACACAGAGAGAGAGAGGAAGGAAGGGAGGGAGAGAGGATGCAAAGGCTGCCAGCCACCCACTGGCAACTTGAGCTCAGGGCTCAGCTTAACCCTTTCATGCATGCAAGTGTAAGTCAATAGCTGTATATTACAACAGGAATTACTCTTTGAGCTCCTCCTCCTGATCTGGCTCCTCCAGGACACCTCCATGGGACTCATCACCATAGCTATGTTGTGCTCACCAGTGTAGATACAACATAAGAAGATGCACACAGACCCTCTGCACACAACGTACAGAAAATCACTACATGCAAATAGTGCTTAGAGCTGAAAAGCCAGCATTGGATAGCCCTATTTGCTGCCCACCTGAAAATGCCCCAAAATTCTAGGTTTTTTCTTGATTTCATCTTCGTAAAACATCTTCAGTAACTTAGCCCAATACCGCAGTCGGCGGGTTTTTGCACAGAAACCATAGGATATCAGCCTTGATAGAAGCTAGTTCCATATAGCTTAGTATTGTTCACACTGACTGGCAGAGACTCTCCGGGGTTTCAGGCAGGGGATGCCCCTGGCTGAGGTTCGGGGAGGTGGCAGGAGGGCTCTTAGACCCATCGGAGCACAGCGCCCCCTCCCTAAGCCCGGCAGAAGCTTCCTGGACTTTGCGAAGTGGGCGCCAGGCTTCAATACTTTAATACAATGGTACCTTGGTTCTCAAACTTAATCCGTTCCGGAATTCTGTTCCAAAACCAAATTGTTCCAAAACCAAGGCGCGCTTTCCCATAGAAAGTAATGCAAAATGGATTAATCTGCTCCAGACTTTAAAAACACGCACCCTAAAACAGCAATTTAATGAGATTTTTACTATCTAACGAGACCATTGATCCATATAATGAAAGCAATAAACAATGTACTGCGGTCACACAATAAATCACTAGCTGAACTGGGTTCCACACAGTCACCAAAACAAAAACAAAAAAGAGCCGCTGAAACAAAAACGCAAAATAAATGGCAAAAACAGACAGACTTCAGTGTAACACTTAAAATGGAAGTGTGGCGCTCAAATTGGAAGCATAGCACTCAACTCAGAAGTGTGACACTCAAGCATAACACTCAAAATACTGGCCAATGGATCATCAATTGCGGATTTTTATATACAGTGGTACCTAGGTTCTCAAACTTAATCCGTTCTGTAAGTCTGCTCCAAAACCAAAGCGTTCCAAAACCAAGGCGCGCTTTCCCATAGAAAGTAATGCAAAACGGATTAATCCGTGCCAGACTTTTAAAAACAACAATTTGACGTGAATTTTACTATCTAACAAGACCACGGATCCATAAAATGAAAGCAATAAACAATGTACTGCGGCCACACAATCAGTCAGTCAGTAGCTGAACTGGGTTCCACACAGTCACAAAGAGAGAGCCGCAAAAACAAAAACGCAAAATAAATAGCAAAAACAGACAAACGTCAGCAAAAACAGACAACACTCAAAACGGAGCATGTTCAGCTTCCGAAAAAAGTTCGCAAACTGGAACACTTACTTCCGGGTTTGCAGTGTTTGGGTTCCAAGTTGTTTGAGTACCAAGGCGTCTGAGAACCAAGGTACTGTACCACTGTACTCTAATTTATCGGGAATATTTAGAGGAGGAGCCCAGTCCCTCTAGGCCACTGACCGCACACCACTGCTGGGGATTGTGTCTCTGGGAGTGGGAGCTGGGAGGTCGCCTAACAACTCTGAGCAGCAGTAGGGGTGCGCCATGGCCATTTACCTTTCCCGCCCCGACCTGGCTGCAGTGATCCATGCGACGGTCACCTCCAGGCTTGACTACTGTAATTCGCTCTACGCGGGGCTGCCCTTGAAGCTGTCCCAGAAACTCCAGCGGGTGCAGAATGCTGCAGCGAGGCTCCTCACGGGGTCTCTGCCATGGGAGCATATTCATCCAGTGCTTTTCCAGCTGCATTCGCTCCCGGTGGAGTACAGGGTCAGATTTAAGGTGCTGCTTTTGACCTTTAAAGCCCTTCACGGCCTAGGACCCTCGTACCTACGGGACCGCCTCTCCCGGTATGCCCCTCGGAGGACCTTAACGTCCATCAGTAGCAACACCTTAGAGGTCCTGGGCCCTAAGGAAGTCAGATTAGCTTCAACCAGAGCCAGGGCCTTTTCAACACTGGCCCCGGCCTGGTGGAAAGCTCTGCCTCATGAGACCAGGGCCCTGCGGGATCTGATTTCTTTCCGCAGGGCTTATAAGACAGAGTTGTTCTGCCTGGCCTTTGGCTTGGAATCAATTTGATTCCCTCCCCCTCTTTTTTCCTTTCTCCTCCTGTGATGAGGCTGCATTTTAATACAGTGGTGCCTCGCATGACGAAAAGAATCCGTTCCGCGAGTCTCTTCGTCTTGCGGTTTTTTCGTCTTGCGAAGCAAGCCCATTAGCGGTTTAGGGGATTAGCGCTATTAGCGGCTTAGCGGATCAGCTGATAAGCGGCTTAGTGGCTTAACGGATCAGCTGTTAAGCGGCTTAGCGACTTGGGGAAAAGGGGGGGGGAGGGAAAAAACCCCGCAGGAACTAGCAAGACATTTTCGTCTTGCGAAGCAAGCCCATAGGAAATTCGTTTTGCGAAGCACCTCCAAAATGGAAAACCCTTTCGTCTAGCGGGTTTTCCGTCTTGCGAGGCATTCGTCTTGCGGGGCACCGCTGTATATTAATCTTGTTTTTTAAGTTGTATTTCAATCAACTTGTTTTTATTATTGCTTGTTAGCTGCCCTGAGCCCGGCCTTGGCTGGGGAGGGCAGGGTATAAATAAAAATTATTATTATTATTATTATTATTATTATTATTATTATTTGAAGTGGGATGATGGGATGACGGAGTGCAAGATGGAACCAGGCACTGCTCTCCATTCTCCATCCAGACAAGCAGGAGGCGTCACCAGAGGACAGCTTCTAGTCTTGTGTGGGCTGGACAGAGCGCCTAAGACCATAGAGAGAGGGACTGGGGGGCTGCGCCAAGGTTCTGCCCCTCAACTAATTAGTAATAATAATAATAATTTATTATTTATACCCCACCCATCTGGTTGGGTTTCCCCAGCCACTCTGGGCGGCTCCCAACAGAATATTAAAACCACATTAAAACCTCAAACTTAAAAAACCTCCCTGAACAGATGCCTTCTAAAAGTCAGGTAGTTGTTTATTTCCCTAACATCTGACGGGAGGGCGTTCCACAGGGAGGGCGCCACCACCGAGAAGACCCTCTGCCTGGTTCCCTGTAACCTCACTTCTCGCAGGGAGGGAACCGCCAGAAGGCCCTCAGAGCTGGACCTCAGTGTCCGGGATGGACGATGGGGATGGAGATGCTCCTTCAGGTATACTGGGCAGAGGCTGTTTAGGGCTTTAAAGGTCAGCAGCAACATTTGGAATTGTGTTCGGAAAGGTACTGGGAGCTAAAGTAGGCTTTTCTGGATGGGTGTTAAATGGTCCCGGCAGCCACTCCCAGTCGCCAGTCTAGCTGCCGCATTCTGGATTAGTTGCAGTTTCTGGGTCATCTTCAAAGGGAGCCCCACATAGAGTGCATGGCAGTAGTCCAAGCGGGAGATAACTAGAGCATGCACCACTCTGGCAAGACAGTCTGCGGGCAGGGAGGGTCTCATCCTGCGTACCAGACGGAGCTGGGAGACAGCTGCCCTGGACACAGAATGGACCTGTGCCTCCATGGACAGCAGTGAGTCCAAAATGACTCCCAGGCCGCGCTCCTGGTCTTACAGGGGCACAGTGACCCCATTCAGGACCAGGGATCCCCCCACACCTGCCCGCTGCAGTCAAAGGAAGTGGCAGCCAGCCTTGCCTTGGTAGATTTGAGCAGGACACACGTTGGAGGGTGCTCCTTGTCCGACCCTCATTTTCCTCTCTCCTCGCCCCCTGCCAGGCTTCCACATGGCTCCGTGCGGTTGCTTCTTCGACCCCCGGATCTACCGCATTGAGTGGGCTACGGCCAACTTCGTCCAGCCCTCCGTGTACAAACTCTCTGGTGCGCCGGGCCCGCAAAACACCTACCTGCTGGACGGCCAGAAATACCTCAAGAGCCCTGTCCAGCCGGTTGCATACCCGCCCTATCAGCCGGTCGCCAGCAACCCCCCGTTCGTCTTGCCCTTCTTCAAGCCCGAGGGGCCCTCGACCCACTTGGCGGACCACATGGGCTTCGTGGGGAGCCCTGCTCACAGCTCCCCCTTTGCAGAGGTGGTCTCTCTCCACAGCGAGGGCCCGGGGCAAAGCAAGGAGCGTAAGCTTCTCTCCACGCTCGCTGGGCTGAACCCAAGCGAGCGGCCAGCCCTGGCAGCGGCCTATGAACCCCTGAAAGACTGCCACAACTTGGCCTTCCAAGCTTTCAAGGACTTCCAAGCGGACGAGGCAGACGACGTCCGGAACCCAGATTTTGCAGAGGACCCTACAGCCCTGCCAAACACCTCTCCTGAAGACCACCAGGCCATCCTCAGTGCACCGACTGCAGACATCATGCCCGAAGCGGAGTCTTGCATGGACCTGGAGAGCATCATCGCGGCTGGGAACGCATTGATAGAGGAGGAGGAGGCGTCCTTCAACCTCCCGGAAAAGGTCCTCTTAGAAGATGCCATGAAGTTGTTTGACTGCTCCCCGGTGAACTCAGACACCGAGGCCTCGTTGGACGGCTTGGGCAACGGACGCCACAGCCGGCACTGGGGAGACAGCCTGAGGGACAGTTGCTTCTCTGGCGAGGATTCAACCAGTGACATCCGGTCCCTCAACTTGCCCGACGAGCTGTTATCTTTCGATTACAGCGTGCCAGAAATCCTCAGTGCAGTGACGAGCTTGGACTACCTCTACGACGTGAACGCTTTCGGGGAGGAGTCGCAGTGGGAGGCCCGGCCGCCCTCGCAGCCCCCCCTGCAGCACGAGTCCCACGTGGGCCTCGAGGAGAAAGCCAAGAAAAACAAGCCTGCGGCCGGCCAGTCCAAGGCGGCGTCCGTGCAGGGACGCGGCGGTGAACCCCAGGGGCAGGATTCCACCTCACTGGGAATCTGACCAGTGCATCTAACTGGACAGGGGGTTGTGCCACTAGATCAAGGATGGGGACAGAGTTCCTGCCATTTTGTCTATTAAAAAGAGAGAGAGAGCTTTTTAGAACTCGAACTGTGTGCCTGTCTCTCCAGGAGGACTCGCTATGTATCTTTGCAAAGTTAAAACTGCATGGAAACCTGGTTTTAGGTCGCGCAGGTAGAACTGTAGTCGGTGGGGGGAGTCAAGGTCTTTGTCGTGTTCAGACTACAGTGGTACCTTGGTTGTCAAACGGTTTGGTTTCCAAACAAATTGGCTCCCAGAAGCCGCAAACCTCACTGGGTGTTCCAGTTTGCAAACATTTTTTGGAAGCCAAACGTCTGATGTGACTTCCAATTGAGTACCGGAAGCTCCTGCAGCCAATTGGAAGCCGCGCCTTGGTTTCTGAACGGTTTTGGGAGTCGAATGGACTCCTGGAACGGATTAAGTTTGACAACCAAGGTACCGCTGTATGTGTGAAGTTGGGACTTGGGAATAACTCACAAGGTGTCAAGAGAAGTTAACTCTTTATTCAAAGAATCCAAAACAGTGCAGGCCTAGTGGTCCCAGCAACACTTCCCAGTAAATCTTTTCCCAATGAGGCAGTTGCGAGGACTGCCGTTCTCTAAGGCTCCTCCTCATCCAATTCCTTCCCAAGCAATCTGAGACGTCTCCATCTTGCCTGCCTCTGCTCTGTGCTTTTCATACCTCTTCTGGTTCTGGGAGACCACGAGGAGGGGAGCTGGTTGCAGCAGGAGAGGGAGACCCCCTGGCTTCTTCAGCAACCTGCCTCATCTCTGCCTCTTGGCCTCCCTCCTGTTTCAGCTTCTGCCGCCAAGTCTGGACTTCTGTCTGCCACAGACTCTCCCTGCTCCTTAAAACCTGTTGCCCTGTTGCCCCGTCAGATTCTGACACCACCTCCTCCTTCCTTGGAATGTCAAAAGCTGTTTCGTTCCCCTCCACCCTTGCCCTCCTTCTACGCCCCCACCCACCCAAACGCACATCCATTCGTCATTTTGTCTTTGTCTCACCTCTGTTTGTTGTGGTACCCCAAGCAAGAGTTCGCTTTTTATTAGCACCAGCAGGCTCTGCACAGGGGTGTCAGGCCTATTTAATCTCCAGCAGATCTTGCCCCCATGAAGCAGTTGCTGAAACCTTCCAACACTCATCTAAGTCTCCTCCTCTCCAGGGTTTCCCCCAAGCAATCTAAGACAGTGCCCACATGAAGCTAACCTTTCCTCTGCCCTTTTCATCCCTCTCCTGGTTCTGGGAGACCAGAAGGAAGGGGAGCTTGTTGCAGCAGGACGGGGAGACACCCAAGATTCTTCACCAGCCTGTTTCTCAGCCTCCTTCCTCTCCAGCCTCTGCTTGCACCTCTGATTCTGCACTGCTCTCTGCCACAGACTCTTCCCGCTCACTAAATCCTGTCACCTCTCCTGCTTCTGCTCCCTCTGACCACTCACCAATCCCCGGGCTCTGAGTCTTCTTCCCTCGGACGTTCCCCAGCTGGTTCCTAACGCCACTTCTCTGTACCCAGCCAGTTTGTGACGCTACAGCTCCCTGTATAATAGGCCAAGGGTTGTGTGTTCCAAACGCACACTTGGTGTGCTGGTCCCGTGAGTTACCCAAGAGGCGAGGTCCAAGTCTGCTACCCCCTACCCGGCTGAATACAAGGACTAGGAAAGGATGTTGGTTTGCTAGTCAAATGCCTCTTGACACAACAGGGAAGGTAACATTCTATAAAATTGTAAGCAGTAAGAGGAAGGGAATGGGAAAAATAGGTGGGGGTTACAGAGCGGGGGCACACAATTTTAAGCTTAAGTTACAGCAGGAATAGGCTGGAGCACCTCCTACCACATCCGCCCTGAAATCTACGGGAAATAGGGCAGCATATACTGGTAAATTGAATAATCTCAGTTGTCACAGCTAATGGTTAGGGAGGACGGGAGCGGTATTATGACTTCAGGAGGACCACATATACCCTAGCTTCAAACTTTGTTGTTGTCGTTTAGTCCTGTCCGCCTCTTCGTGACCCCCTGGACCAGAGCACGCCAGGCACTCCTGTCTTCCACTGCCTCCCGCAGTTTGGTCAAACTCATGCTGGTAGCTTCGAGAACACTGTCCAGCCATCTCGTCCTCCGTCGTCCCCTTCTCCTTGTGCCCTCCATCTTCCCCAACACTAGGCATTGGTATTTAGTGCACAGGTCAGTTGTGTATGTAGAAAAGGCTCCATTTTTATTTCATTCACTTTCTAGTTAACTGTGCAAGTTATGGTTCCTAGCCAAAATGCATGAATTAGGAGGTTATATTGGGACGCGGGTGGCGCTGTGGGTTAAACCACAGACTAGGTCTTGCCAATCAGAAGGTTGGCGGTTCGAATCCCCGTGACGGGGTGAGCTCCCGTTGCTCGGTCCCTGCTCCTGCCAACCTAGCAGTTCAAAAGCACGTCAAAGTGCAAGTAGATAAATAGGTACCATTCCAGTGGGAAGGTAAATGGCGTTTCTGTGTGCTGCTCTGGTTCGCCAGAAGTCATGCTGGCCACATGACCCGGAAGCTGTACGCTGGCTCCCTCAGCCAGTAAAGCGAGATGAGCACCGCAACACCAGAGTCAGCCACGACTGGACCTAATGGTCAGGGGTCCCTTTACCTTTATTGGCATCAAAACTTTCCCCAGAAACTGTCTTTACCCGATGGTGGCCTGCTCCCCAACCCTTCCTGCTCCCTCAGTGAGAAATGTCTCAATGCCTTCGGAAGAAGAAGAAAAAGAAGAGTTTGGATTTGATATCCCGCTTTATCACTACCCAAAGGAGTCTCAAAGCGGCTAACATTCTCCTTTCCCTTCCTTCCTCACAACAAACACTCTGTGACGTATGTGGGGCTGAGAGACTTCAGAGAAATGTGACTGGCCCAAGGTCACCCAGCAGCTGCATGTGGAGGAGCGGAGACGCGAACCCGGTTCCCCAGATTACGAATCTACCGCTCTTAACCACTACACCACACTGGCTCTCTTCGGAATTTGGTTTCGGAAGAAGCCCACACTTCATGCCAGCCAATGGCTCAACAGGGGCCATGAAGGAAAACTGGCACAGTGCAAGATCTGTGGCAAACAGAAGAGGCCACAGTTTTTAAGTCCCAGCTTCTCACATGGCCCGCCTGCAGCCAGAAGCAGCTTAGGTCCGTGCCCAAAAAAGTGCTTCATGGAAGCGGAAAAGACTTCCCATCAGCCACAGGGGCACATTTCATTGGGGCAACTTTGTGTGTGAGGGGTGGGGTGGGAGGAGGACAAGAGACAGAAGTGGCCAGACTTCTGTAAGTTTTACTTTCTTACGTTGGGTCACACCTGCATCATGCATTTAAAGCACATGGCTTTCCCTATCCCCAGAAATCCTGGGGACCGTAGTTTAAGAGTGCTGGGAATTTGTAGCTCTGCAAGGATCCTTTGTGGTTCATGGTGCAGGTGTAATAATAATAATTTATTATTTATACCCCGCCCATCTGGCTGGGTCTCCCCAGCCACTCTGGGTGGCTCCCAACAGAATAAAAAGGCAATAAAACATAAAACTTTAAAAACTTCCCTAAGCAGGGCTGCCTTCAGATGTCTTCTAAAAGTCAGGTAGTTGTTTATTTCCTTGAAATCTGATGGGAGGGCGTTCCACGGGGTGGGCGCCACCACCGAGAAGGCCCTATGGCTGGTTCTCTGTAACCCCAGTTCTCGCAGTGAGGGAACCGCCAGAAGGCCCTTGGAGCTGGACCTCCGTGTCCGGGCTGGACGATGGGGGTGGAGACGCTCCTTCAGGTATACTGGGCCATTTAGGACTTTAAAGGCCAGCACCAAGACTTTGGATTGTGCCTGGAAGCGTACTGGGAGCCAATGTAGATCTTTCAGGACCGGTGTTATATGGTCTCGGCGGCCGCTCCCAGTCACTAGTTTAGCTGCCACATTCTGAATTAGTTGCAGTTTCCAGGTCACCCTCAAAGGTAGCCCCATGTAGAGAGCATTGCAGTAGTCCAAGCGGGAGATAACCAGAGCATGCACCACTCTGGTGAGACAGTCTGTGGGCAGAGAGGGTCTCTTCCTGCGTACCAGATGGAGCTGATAAACAGCCGCCCTGGACACAGAACTGACCTGCGCCTCCATGGACAGCAGTGAGTCCAAAGCGACTCCCAGGCTGCACACCTGGTCCTTCAGGGGCATAGTTGCCCCATTCAGGACCAGGGAGTCCTCTACACCTGCCCACCTCCTGTCCCCCCAAAACAGCACTTCTGTCTTGTTAAGATTCAACCTCGATCTGTTGCCGCCATCCATCCTCCAACCACCTTTCTCTTCAATCTCTCTCCCCCTGCTACCGCCAGTGGGTATTGCCTTTTCCTTCAAGACAGGACCAGCCTCAACCAAAGAGTGCCCCGCCCTCTGCTCAGCTGCCAAGACCCTCACTTTAAAAACTGCACAATTCCCAGCTTTGATGCGTTCAGCCTGAGCTGGTTGTGGGACCCCCAAGAACGACACCCGTCTCACTTGCAACACCTCAGTGCGCAGAATGGGGGCGCAATGCACATCCGGCCAGCGGGGCGGGCGAAATCCCTTCCACCACGGAGCAATTTAAAAGAAGAACCACAACAGGCTGTGTGCCACATTGTAAATTTATTTGGCAAGTAGGGGGAAGCACGGGGGGGCAGACCAGAGGCCCCCCCAACTTCTGCCTCCCCACGAGGCGCAGTGGAAAGGAAAGGGGTCTTTCAGGGGGGCAAGCAGAGCTGCATCACAGTGGTAATCTAGGGAACCCTAGAGAAGGCTGGGTTTGGGGCTGTCACAGCCAACCAAGCACCCGGTCTCCGCGGGTTCCGCAATCCATTCAAAGAGTCAGTTAAGGCCAAGAGCACGAGGATACGAGGGAGAGGGGAATTGAGAGACAGACAGACAGACAGACAGACAGAAAGCTCCACGTTCAGGGCAGAAGGGACCAGGCACCCCCCCATCTGAAGGGAAGAGCTTGCCGCTGATTCCCTTTGCCGCAACTCGGCCAGCTTCTGCCCGTGCAGCTGACCAGGCAGCCGCCAGGGACCCCGTCTGTGAAGACAAGTAAACGTTAAGAGGAGCTAAGAGGCACTCGGATTGTGGAGGAGGTGGAAACCCAGCCTTTGGGGGTTTCCAGAAAGCTTTGGAAACTTTTGCTTCCGGAGTTGGAACGTGACGGGAGTTGGGCGTCTCCCGCCGTGCCAACTCTTATTAGATCTCTTGCAGCGAGGGGCCGGGATCGCTGCGTTCACGCTTCACGAGGGGCTCGCCGGCGCACCGGGAATCCGCCTCCGCCTCGCTGCCCAGGTCGCTGATGTCGTCTGCAGGGAGAGAGGAGAGACAGAAGTCACAGGGCTGTGTCCAGCAGGAGTCGCGACTCGGAGCAGGCCCACTGGAAGGACTGGGCACGGCTGACTTCGGTCCACTCATTCTAGCAGGTTCACTCCAAGTTGAGCGTAGCTGAATACAAGCCGCAGGGTCCGGGTTGCAAGACCCTGCAGCTGCCACCTCCCCCCTTTTCTCCAATGACCCAACGGCCCCACCCACCCCAAAACGGTTTATCAACGTATTGTTTTCTGCAAGCGCCTATAATTCATGTACTGTGAATTGAGAAGCAACGCATTGGAGAACCAACAGCTAATCCACTTTTTGTTGTGTCCGGGAAGCATCCTGGCAATAGTTACTATGACTTGCATTAATTGCTTTGATGGATTGGTTGTTCGTCCAGCAATTGCTGAGGGTTGGACTCTACAACCCCATGATTCCATATGCTATTGTGTCGGACATTATGGCGGTTGTCCGTCAAGGGCACCGCAGTTCTCGTGAGCTGCTTTGAGCTCAGCCTTTGTTGCTGGAGAAGCGGGATAAAAAGGTAAAGGGACCCCTGCCCATTAGGTCCAGTCGTGGCCGACTCTGGGGTTGCGGCGCTCATCTCGCTTTATTGACCAAGGGAGCCGGCGTACAGCTTCCGGGTCATGTGGCCAGCAGGACTAAGCTGCTTCTGGAGAACCAGAGCAGTGCACGGAAACGCCGTTTACCTTCCCGCCGGAGTGGTACCTATTTATCTACTTGCACTTTGACGTGCTTTCGAACTGCTAGGTTGGCAGGAGCAGGGACCGAGCAACGGGAGCTCACCCCGTCGCGGGGATTCGAACCGCCGACCTTCTGATCGGCAAGTCCTAGGCACTGTGGTTTAACCCACAGCGCCACCCGCAAATATTTAATCAACTCAGCCCCAACCCCCATGACCGGAAGGAGCAAAGAGAAAAGTAGATCAGAGGCAAAAAATACCTTTATCGAGCAAGGCTGGAGACATGGAGGCGAGGTCGCTGAACTGCAAGAGAAAACAGGCGGGGGGCATTTGGTTGTGAGCGAATCTGGAGAAGCCCCCCCCTGCTTTGCTCATCAATTCCCCACTGCTCCCTTGTTAACCCCCCCCCCGAGCTGTGGAGCGTCCAAAGCTGCTCGTGGGTCAAAGCTCTTGTTCTGATGCACAAACGCCCTGAGCGATTCGGGTCCGGCGTACTTTCAGGACTGCCTGAGGCCAAGCAGCTTGATCTCTGAGACCAGTGCCGGATTAAACCCTTTGGCGGTCAAAATCACGGGGGGCTCCCTCGCAAGTTATCTCCCGATACTTTTTATTTTATTTTACTGACTGACAATTCTAATAAGCCAATTTTATTACACAAATCAAACAGCACTTATTTTGATCTGTTGTCGGAGTGGGAGGGCCCTAGGTAAAGGTAAAAAAGGTAAAGGACCCCTGGACGGTTAAGTCCAGTCAGAGGTGACTATGGGGTTGCAGCGCTCATCTTGCTTTCAGGCCGAGGTAGCTGGCGTTTGTCCGCAGACGGCTTTCCAGGTCATGTGGCCAGCAGGACTAAACCGCTTCTGGTGCAGTGGAAACCAGAGTGCACAAAAACACCGTTTACCTTCCGACCAGAGTGGTACCTATTTATCTACTTGCACTGGCGTGCTTTTGAATTGCTAGGTTGGCAGGAGCTGGGACAGAGCAAAGGGGATTCAAAGCACCGACCTTCTGATCAGCAAGCCCAAGAGGCTCGGTGGTTTAGACCACAGCACCACCCGCTCCTAAGCTAAACCCATATAACTCGTAGCAAAGTCATTCTTTTCTCAGGCGGTTTAGAAACTTCAGCTGGTGCAGGATTCAGCGGGCAGACTGCTCACCGGGGCAAGGTAGTTCAAGCCTATTGCAACAACCCTCTGGGTTCGTGCAGCCCTGTGGGTGCACCAGGGGCAACTTCCTAGTCTTTGTCTCCTCTCGGAGGAGGCTCAACCCACCCTCACCTCTCCCATCACAGCGATGGGCGTCTCCCCCGTCGCTTGAGCCACGCGATGCTCCACCAGGTAGAACATGTACTCGTCGTACAGCAGGCGGATCAGGTGAAAGGAGCCGAAGCTGGCAGCGCTGCGCAGGGTGAGGTCTCGGATCACCATGGAGCTGTCGAGGGACAACACACACAAAACCCGCTATCAACGCGATGCAGAGTTAACTTGCTGCAGCACGCAGGGGGTCGGAAGGAAAGCAGCCGGGGGTTTGACCCCGGGTGGCAACAGGGCCTGACCTGTAGAAGGACCACTTCAGCAAGAATTGCCTGGCTGCCTTTGGGAAGCCGGCCCCTCCCTCGTGATGCTTCAGGACCTGTGTCACCACGTTGTCCAGCCAGCTGGCCCACTGGTCCAAAGAGCTCTGCTGCTGGAGGGTCAGCTTGAAATCTTGCTCCAGTTTCTGCACCAGGCCCTCCTCGCACTGGCACACCCACGAGGCTTGCTCCTGGACCGGCGAAAGAGAGGGAGAGAGAGAGAGAAAGAAAGAAAGAAAGAAAGAGAGAGAGGTGTACATATACAGTCATACCTCGGGTTTAAGTTGCTTCAGGTTGAGCGTTTTCGGGTTGCGCTCTGCAGCGACCTGGAAGTAACGGAACGCGTTACTTCCGGGTTTCGCTGCTCGTGCAGACGGTCAAAATAACGTCACGCGCATGTGCAGAAGCGGCAAATTGCGACCCACGCAGACGTGGGTTGCGTTTGCTTCAGGATGCGAACAGGTCTCCGGAACGGATCCCGTTCATATCCAGAGGTACCACTGTAATAAATAGTAAACTTTTACGTGTATCCTGCCCTCCCCAGCCGAGACCGGGCTCAGGGTGGCGAACATCAAATATAAACATTGATTTAAAATCAAACAATACTTAAATCTCCTCTTAAAAACGAGTCAGGGTAAAAATTAAAATCTGAATAAGATGGCTTTCCGCAGGATTTGGGCTGGGAACCGTAAATGCTCATCAGGAAGTCCCGGAAGACTTCCAGGCACAGCACTAGTCGCCTTGCGCAAAAGGATGTGTGGCCACGGTTTGAGGGCCACCTGTCATGGATGCCTTTTTTAGCTGAGATGATGATGCTTTATTGAATTTATATACTACCCCATACCCAGGAGTCTGAGGGCGGTTCACAGAATAAAACCAAGATATAAAACCACAAAATACATAATAAAAATGGAAACAAGCCAATAGCCCCCTCCCCACAAACAAACCAAATTTTAAAAGGGCATAGGATGTCAATCAGACCAATCAAAGGCATGGTTAAAAAGGAAAGAGGCGGTCCTTGAGGTATTGCGGTCCTGAGTCATTTAAGGCTTTATAGGTCAGAACCAGCACTTTGAATTGGGCCCGGAAACTAACTGGTAGCCAGTGCAGTCGTACCAGGATCGGTGTAAGATGGTCTTGCAACCTGGCCGCTGACTTGTGCACCAGCTGAAGTTTCCGAACCGTCTTCAGAGGCCGCCCTGCGTATAACGCATTGCAGTAATCTAACCTTGAGGTTACCAGAGCATAGACAACAGTAGTTAGGCCATCTCTGTCCAGATAGGGGCGTAACTGGGCCAGCAGCCGAAGCTGATGGAAGGCACGCCAGGCCACTGAAGCTCATTGGACAGAGCAGAGGCAGCAGAGGACACAGAAGAAAAGCTTTGCACTTCCTCGCTTTGCTGCACAGAATTGAGGAACTGTTGAGTCGGAAGAGACCCTGAGAGTCATCCAGCCCAGCCCCGTACAATGCAAGAATCTCAACGTACGGCCCCCAACCCAATTTGATATGGGACCTTCATGGAAGAATGAGCAAGCTAGGAATCCCCACACTGGAGGGTAGGACCCGAAACAAGGGCTTCAAGTTACAAGAAAGGAGATTCCAATTCAACATCAGGAAGAACTTTCTGACATTAAGAGCAGTTCCATAGTGGAACGGTTTCCCTCGGAAGGTGGTGGACTCTCCTTCCTTGGAGGTTCTTAAGCGTAAGACGACAGTAGTTAGGCTATCCCTGTCCAGATAGGGGCGTAGGTGGGCCACCAGCCCAAGCTCTATGGCAATGAGACCACCTGAGCCTCGAGCGACAGCAAAGGATCCAGGGGGTTGGCCCAGATTACCCTTGGCGTCCCTTCCAGCACTACGATTCTATGATGCTGTGCTGCTCCGGCTCACCTGGACGTTAGCAAAATCCACCCGGTTGAGGTCGCTGAGCATCTGGTTGATCTGCGAGGTGTTCTGGAGGACGGCGCGAGCCGCCTGCGCCAGGTGGTTGAGGGAGGTGTACCTGCGGAGAGTCTGTGCAAAGGCGCTCACCACACCCACCTGGTGTGTTCGGGAGGTGGTGACAGGGATTGGGGAGGAGAGAGAGAAACAAAAAGTGAGGTCAAACTCGGAGAACATGAAGCAGAGAGTGGATGAAATGCAAGAGATGTGGGGTTGTGCTTCATTTATTTGTTAAATTTATACAAAGGTAAATATAAAAATATTGGGGGGGCACGGGTGGCGCTGTGGTCTAAACCACTGAGCCTCTTGGGCTTGCCAATCAGAAGGTCGGCAGTTTGAATCCACGCAATGACGGGGTGAGCTCCCGTTGCTCGGTCTCAGCTCCTGCCAACCTAGCAGTTCAAAAGCACGCCAAAAAGTGCAAGTAGATAAATAGGTACCACTTTGGTGGGAAGGTAAATGGCGTTTCCATGCGCTGCTCTGGTTTGCCAGAAGTGGCTTAGTCATGCTGGCCACATGACCCGGAAGCTGTACGCCGACTCCCTCGGCCAATAAAGCAAGATGAGCGCTGCAACCCCAGAGTCGGCCACGACTGGACCTAATGGTCAGGGGTCCCTTTACCTTTACCTTAAATATGGGGTTGGGCTTCATTTATTTGTTAAATTTATACAAAGGTAAATATAAAAATATGGGGGGACACGCGGGTGGTGCTGTGGTCTAAACCACAGGGCTTGCTGATCAGAAGGTCAGCGGTTCGAATCCCCGTGACGGGGTGAGCTCCCGTTGCTCGGTCCCTGCTCCTGCCAACCTAGCAGTTCGAAAGCACGCCAAAAGTGCAAGTAGATAAATAGGCACCGCTGTGGCAGGAAGGTAAACTGTTTTCTCTTTTTGAAACTTCGAAAAAAAGTTTTTGGGGGTTTTTTAAAGGAAATTTGTGCTGCCGGAAAATCCTCTTTCAAAAACCCCTGGAAATCGCCAAGGGTTTGGATAACTGAGGGTAGGCTCTGAGGAACCAGGGACCGGTTCTAAATGCAGCTGCCCCAAAGCTGTTCAGACTGTAAGGAAGGAAAGGGATGCAACTTGCTGTATCCGCTGCTTACCTTTGTCTGGACGATCTGCTGGGGGAAGTCGCTCATGGCGTTTATTAGCCAGCCTTCCAAACTTTTGGCGAAGTTGCGGATGGCCTGGGTCAACGTGCCTGCGGGGACAAAGCGAGATCTAGACAGAACAGCCTCGTCAGGCTGGCAAAACCGTCACAGCACCCCACATCCCCCCCCTTTAAATTCTAAAGTTTCGCCCAAGAAAGCAAAATCTGCAAGATCAACGATTAGCAAGGGAGGAAACGAGGCCAGGATGCTGCCAGTGAAGTCACAAGAGAAGAAGAGATATAGAATCCTTCTGAATAATGCAGGGGGTGGGGGGGCGGTGAACTTTAATTCAGCCAAAGAATATGAAAATGCAATCCAAGTAAATACTAAGGTATAGGTAAGGGGACCCCTGACCATTAGGTCCAGTCGTGACCGACTCTGGGGTTGCGGCGCTCATCTCGCTTTATTGGCCGAGGGAGCCGGCGTACAGTCATGTGGCCAGCATGACTAAGCCGCTTCTGGCGAACCAGAGCAGCGCACAGAAACGTCGTTTACCTTCTCACCTATTTATCTACTTGCACTTTGAGGTGCTTTCGAACTGCTAGGTTGGCAGGAGCAGGGACCGAGCAACGGGAGCTCACCCCGTCATTGCGGGGATGCGAACCGCCGACCTTCTGATCGGCAAGCCCTAGGCTCTGTGGTTTAACCCACAGCGCCATCCACGCCCCGAACGCCACCCGCGTCCCGTAGATACTAAAATGTAGTAGATACTAAAATGCAGTAAATTCATTGCCACGTATTGTAGGGTTACCAGACGTCCCCGTTTCCCGGGAACAGTCCCTGGATTTGTGAGTAGGTCCCCGGAACAAATTCCATCCCCGGAATGTCCCCAGATTTCATCTAATGTCCCCAGGAAATGCAGCAGTGGCAGTCTCAGCAGCCCGGAGCAGTTGGCTCTGGCTGGCTTCAGGAGCTGCTCGGAAGTCCCCATTTGATGGTGGTGCAGGGACTCTCAGATTCAGCTTCCGGGTTGCCTCCACCTTCCCGGACCCCAGCAACTAAGCTGTGAAGGGAGGCTTCATGTTGCCTTTCAGAGCTTGTGTGCAAGCAGGAGGAGGCAGGGATCTCTCAGTCAGGCAATGGGAAGCCTCCCTTCCCAGCTGAGGGATCCCCACCTCCTCCTGCTTGCACGCAAGTAGGAATGGGATTGGGGCTGCTCTGATGGGAAGGGAAGCATTGCGCTGCCCAAGCCTCACCACCGCTGCTCTCGGCCCTCCTTCTCCGCCTTCCATGCCTGACCCACCGCACACCGCTTCCCCACCACCACCACCAAAGAACCAACAATTCAGGGGCTGCCGAGGCTCATGGAGAAAGGAGATAGAAGCTTCGGAGGAAGGGGAAACATGGTGGTTGAGGTCAGGGCGGCGGCAGCCCCTCTGCCATCGCTGCAGCATCAATGTCCCAAACGTGTTTTATTTATTTATTTCTACCTACGGGACCGCCTCTCCTGGCATGTCCCACAGAGGAACTTACGGTCTTCAAATAAAAACATCTTGAAGGTCCCAGGCCTCAGAGAGGTTAGGCTGGCCTCAACTAGAGCCAGGGCTTTTTCGGCTGTGGCTCCGATCTGGTGGAACGCTCTGTCACAAGAGACTAGGGCCCTGCGGGACTTGACATCTTTCCGCAGGGCCTGCAAGACAGAGCTGTTCCACCAGGCCTTTGGTCAGGGCGCAGCCTGACTCCCTCCTCTGGCAATCTGCACAGAATTTTGCTTAACGGTTGCCATCAATTTGATTTGAATTAATTTTATAATGGAATGTTTTTAGAATGTGGGATTATTTTATTGTTGTTAGCCGCCCTGAGCCCGGCTTCGGCTGGGGAGGGCGGGATATAAATAAATTATTATTATTATTATTATTATTATTATTATTATTATTAAAGTGTCCCCGGATTCATTGAAAAAAATCTGGTAACCTTAAGTATTGGCCATTGACCTGAACAGGTAAGCCTGTTTGGTTTTTTTAGTATTTTAGCAATTGCATCTGTTTAGGTTACATTTTTGATATTCTCAGGCTGGATTAAACCCTGGAATAGGGTTTCGCCCATTCATTCCTTTGCAAAAGAAAAAAGAAAAGAGAAAATCACCGGCAGCATTTTACTTCTTCGCACAGCACAGAGTTAAACTGTGGAATTTGCTCCCAGAAGAGTGGGGGACAGGCTTAAAAGAGGGTCAGGCCAATTTGGGGAGGATGCGGCTTCCGGTAGCTACTGGCCACAACAGCTGTGGTCTCTCTCTGCTGCCGGAGGAAGTACCGTATTTTTTGCTCTGTAAGACTCACTTTTTCCCTCCTGAAAAGCAAGGGGAAATGTGTGTGCGTCTTATGGAGCGAATGCAGGCTGCGCAGCTATCCCAGAAGCCAGAACAGCAAGAAGGATTGCTGCTTTCACTGCGCAGCGATCCCTCTTGCTGTTCTGGTTTTTGAGATTCAGAATATTTTTTTTCTTGTTTTCCTCCTCGAAAAACTAGGTGCGTCTTGTGGTCTGGTGCATCTTATAGAGCGAAAAATACGGTATTCCAGATGTTGGAAACTGCAGGAGGGAGCTCAGGTTTTAGAATCATAGAACCGGAAGGGATCATTTCTGCAATGCAGGAATATGCAGCTGTCTCGTACGGGAATCGAACCTGTAACCTCGGCGTCATCAGCACCACGCTCTAACCAACTGAGCTATCCAGGATCTCTTATATGGAAGCTCTCATATTATATACTGAGTCTAGTGGGGACCACCTATCTCAGTACTGTCCACTCTGACTGGCAGAAGCTCTCTAAGGTTTCAGGCAGGAGCTTACTACACCCCCGATCCCGCCCCAGACAGCCTGAGGATTGGGATGTTCTGCATGCGCCGAGGGCCTTCTGGCGGTTCCCTCGCTACAAGAAGTGAGGTTACAGGGAACCAGGCAGGGGGCCTTCTCGGTGGTGGCGCCCGCCCTGTGGAACGCCCTCCCACCAGATGCCAAGGCAATAAGCAACTATTTTACTTTTAAAACACATCTGAAGGCGGCCCTGTTTAGGGAAGTTTTTTTTAATGTTTGATGCTGTATTGTGTTTTTAATATTCGGTTGGAAGCCGCCCAGAGTGGCTGGGGAAATCCAGCCAGATGGGCAGGGTATAAATAAATAAATTATTATTATTAGTTACAGGTAGGTAGCTGTGTTGGTCTGCCATAAGGTAAAGGTAAAGGTACACCTGCCCATATTGGCCAGTCGTGTCCGACTCTAGGGTTGTGCGCTCATCTCGCTCAAGACGCCAGGAGCCAGCGCTGTCCAGAGACACTTCCAGGTCACATGGCCAGCGTGACGAAGCTGCATCTGGCGAGCCAGCGCAGCACACGGAAACGCCATTTACCTTCCCGCTATAAAGCGGTACCTACTTATCTACTTGCACTTAAGGGTGCTTTCGAACTGCTAGGTGGGCAGGAGCTGGGACCGAACGACGGGAGCTCCCCCCGCCGCGGGGATTCGAACCGCTGACCTTACGATCAGCAAGTCCTAGGCACTGAGGTTTTACCCACAGCGCCACCCGCCACAGTCGAAACAAAATAAAAAAAATTCCTTCTAGTAGCACCGTAAAGGTAAAGGGACCCCTGACCATTAGGTCCAGTCGTGACCGACTCTGGGGTTGCGGCGCTCATCTCGCTTTGTCGGCCGAGGGAGCCGGCAAACAGCTTCCGGGTCATGTGGCCAGCAGGACTAAGCCACTTCTGGCAAACCAGAGCAGCGCACGGAAACGCCGTTTGCCTTCCCGCCAGAGTGGTACTTATTTATCTACTTGGACTTTGACGTGCTTTTGAACTGCTAGGTTGGCAGGAGCAGGGACCAAGCAACGGGAGCTCACCCCGTCATTGCGGGGATTCGAACTGCCGACCTTCCGATCAGCAAGCCCTAGGCTCTGTGGTTTAACTCACAGCGCCACCTGCGTCCCTTAGTAGCACCTTAGAGACCAACTAAGTTTGTTATTGGTATGAGTTTTCATGTGCATGGTATCTGAAGAAGTGTGCATGCACATGAAAGCTAATACTAATACTAATACTAATAATTATGGAAGGCTGATGCTCTGCCTCCTTAAGGAGCCGGAAATGTCCCTTGCACAGGGTGAAAATAATTTAGGCACTTTAAGCAGATGAAAAGAGCAAGAAGGAGCCTTGAGAGAAAGGGAGAGGGAGGGAGACAGAGAGAGATGGATTTAGCAGCGTCCTCCCCACTCTGTACTCACTGGGAACAGGCCGGAGAACATCTGGGATGAGGATCTCCACAAGCGTCTGGTACAAGATGTGGTCGCAGCCTCGCATCCATTTCATGATGGGGACGTATTTGCACATGGCGATCAGCTTGTGCCTTGGGACAAGGGCGTCGCAGGGCTCTTCGCTGTGGGGAGGGACAAGGGCAAGGGTCAGCAGCCCCTCGGCTACCGAAATTTGAAACACAGGGGGCACTCAGGGTGGAGGAAGGCAGGTAAAGGACCCCTGGGTGGTTAAGTCCAGTCAAAGGTGACTATGGGGTTGCGGCGCTCATCTCGCTTTCAGGCCAAGGGAGAAGACGTTTGTCCGCAGACAGGTTTCTGGGTAGTGTGGCCAGCAGGGATAGACCGCTTCTGGCGCAACGGGACACCGTGACGGAAGCCAGAGCACACAGAAACGCCATTTACCTTCCCGCTGCAGTGGTCCCTATTTATCTACTTGCGCTGGCGTGCTTTCAAACTGCTAGGTTGGCAGGAGCTGGGACAGAGCAACGGGAGCTCACTCCGTTGCGGGGATTCGAACTGCCAACCTTCCGATCGGCAAGCCCAAGAGACTCGGTGGTTTAGACCACAGCGCCACCCGCGTCCCATGAAGGCAGGAAGGGGGACAACAGAGAAGAACTAGCTAGGGATGCCAGGCAGCTTTTTGAGCTAGTGCTGGAGCGAGGAAGGAAGGGGATTCACAGTGAGAAGCCGCACCCACAATGATATCCTTGCAAAACATAGTCTGCACATTAGGATTGCAACTTTTTGACGCCCCCCCCCCAAAAATCCAATTTCCTGTATCATAAAGGGATGAACTCCTGCTTAGAAACACTGAAAAAGGGACTAATTCTTCTCCGTTGTGAAAAAAGGTCACCCCAAAATGAAAAGTTTGAATCACTGTACAGTGGTACCTTGGTTTACAACCATAATCGGTTCCGGAGGTCCGTTTGTAAACCAAAACAGGTTGTAAACCAAGGCATGCTTACGCGATTGGGTCTCCAAAAACAATTTGTTCGTAATAAAAAAAATATGGGTTGTAATCCAAAAAAAGGTTGCAAACCAGGACACACACTTCCGGGTTTGACGTGTTTGTAATCCAAAACATATGTAAACCAGACTGTTTGCAAACCAAGGTACCACTGTATATGTAACTCGATGAAAATGACTTCAAGAACTTGTCAGAAATATTGAAACCATACGCAACCTTCATTTATTCTAAGCCATAAAAAGTGATGTACTATGTGAAAACATTGGCAGCATTAAGATAAATTCAACAGTGCAACTAAGTTTTGATGGGTGCAATAATGGAATACTGAATGGTTTAGATTTTCTAAAATACGCAGGGATTTATGATATGGAAAATGAACCATGGAAAGAGAAGAGGGGAAGTCACTGATATCTTAAAGATGTTTAAGTGAGTATTTTAAATTGTAAAACTGAAAATTTAATTAACAAATTAAATATTATCTGTACAAAGCGTCGTACGTGTCTTAGAAAATCTGCAAGCTCTGTTTTTCCTGTATTATAATACACAATTATGATTATCGTGCATAATTACATAATGCATTATGCAGTTACATACACAAAAATCGATTCATTGATTTCGGGGTGACCTTCCCCCCCAAAAAAAGATTTAGAAGCGACAGTTCATTCCTTTGTTTTCAGGCCAAAGTTCGTCTAACTAAGCTGCAGGAACATGAGGTTGTTAAAAAGAAGAAGTTATAACCGTATTGCACAAAGCGGCAATGTAACGATTCACTCATTCCGTCAACGCACTTTTAAGGCCAAGGGCGGGGAATTCTCATGGCCAGCTGAGGTCACGGCTGCCACGACACGTAATGCAAAATACAAGCATTTTGCAAACTTCAGCCGGGAAGCTTCGGTTTCATTATTTATTGAGGGGGTGGGGAGATGATAAACTGCTTATCTATCAAGTTCTTACAGACACAGTGTTGGATTTTCCTTTGCTCAGGAGGCACACAAACCGTGTGGCCGTCAGTTTTTGTCTGTGAGATGAAGTAGGGAATCTACTCTTCTTTAATGTGTAGAATTTTCAACGAAATTCTTTTTGTTGTTGTTGTGGGGAAGGAAGGTTGCGCAGCGTGGTGTCTTACCTGGAAGGGACGGCAGCAGAGGCCGATTCGCTCGAGTGGGACTCCGAGTTCCAGAAAGACTGCCATAGCTTCTCGATGTAAGGGAACTGTAGGCTCATCACGACATCCACGTTCGCCTGGGGAGAGAGAGGGAAATGTAGCGCGGCAAAGCCCAGAAATGGAAGCAAGAAGAGATTACGACGAAAGAAGAATGGCAAACAAAATTTAAAATCACCTCGCAATGCCGCCTGTAGAGGACCTGAAGAGTCTTGACGTCGCTCGCGTCGATTCCCTCCTGCAGGAGCACGTTTTCCAGGTCGAGGGCTGGGAAAGCAGGGAGGATGTGGGTGACGTCTGCAGGGCAGGGAGAAAACGTTAGGGGGAAGGAAGAAAATTTTGGCATCTGGTGGATTTTTTTTGGGGGGGGGGGGAACTATTATTATTATTATTATTATTACTAGAATTTATATGCTACCCTATACCCAGAGGTACCAGAGGTACCAGGGTGGTTCACAGAAAATCAAAATATAAAGCCACAAAATACCGTATTTTTTGCACCATAACACTCACTTTTTTCCTCCTAGAAAGTAAGGGGAAATGTCTGTGCGTGTTATGGAGGGAATGCCTGGGGGTGGCGGGGGGGATCTGCTGCAGTCGTGAGCAGAGGATCCATGGTTCCCCTTCCTTCCCTCCTCCGTGGTTACAAAGCATGGATCCACATGGATCCTCAGGATTTTTGCATTGGGCTACTCCAAACTCACTGTCAGATCACATGTCTGTGGCCACAGCATGAACCACAAAAATCATATAGCCACTATTTCGTTTGGAATATTTTTTTTCTTGTTTTCCTCCTCTAAAAACTACGTGCGTGTTATGGTCTGGTGCGTGTTATAGAGCGAAAAATACGGTATATAATCAAAATAAAGACAACAACCCAATAACAGCCCCCCAAACCCCACATTTTAAAAGGGCATGGGATGTCAATCAAATTAACTAAAGGCCTGGTTAAAAAGGAACGTTTTTGCCTGGCGCCTAAAGGTGTATAATGAAGGCGCCAGGCGAACTTCCCTGGGGAGAGCATTCCACGGATGGGGAGCCACTGCAGAGAAGGCCCCGTTCTCATGTTGCCACCCTCTGGACTTCTCATATTAACGTTTGTTTTTTTACCCTAAAGTTTGAAAGCAACTGAGATGAGAGGTGCCTCTATCTATACTGTAGGCACCCTATATATAGAAAGGAGCAAACCAGCAATATTTTAGGGAGCAGGCTAGCAGGCGGGGCCCATTACTTACATCATAGGAACCTAGACAACACAGAACACTGTTGCTGTATGTAGGTTTTATTTTATTCGTTTTTTATCTTCTATTTTGGAAATGAACATCCTTTAAATTTTCTGGGGGCCCCCAAGAGAGTAGGGCCCTAAGCTATAGCTTGTTTAGCTTATACGTAAATCCGACGCTGTATATACGCACATATATTTATTTATACAGACACACACACATCATTATTGATTCCCTAATCACAGAATTACGGAGTTGGAAGGGACACCCAAGGATCATCGAGTCTGACCCCCCACAATGCACGAATATGCAGCCGTCCCATACAGGGATCGAACCTGCAACCCTGGCATTAGTTAGCTCCTCACCAATGAACTGCTGGTGGTGCTGGCTCTGCGCAGCAACGGATTGCTCGGGCGTGGAGTGAAGGCTGCTGTTCGAACCGGCCTCCGCCAGGCCGTCCAACTTCTGCGAAGGTCTGTACCTGCAGTTGGGAGGGACAAAAGCGTCAAACTGAGACCTCCATTTCTTCAACGCCGCTCCAAATCTCTTCATCGCTTTGGATTATTGCTTTTTTTAAAGGATCTGATCTCTTTCCGCAGGGCCTGAAAGACAGAGTTGTTCTGCCTGGCCTTTGGCTTGGAGCCAGTTTGATTCCCTCCCCCTCTTTCTTTTTTCCTTTCTCCTCCTGTGATGAGGCTGCATTTTAGTGTTTCAATATTTTAATGTTGTATTTTAATCTTGTTTTTAAGTTGTATTCATTCGACTTGTTTTTATTATTGCTTGCTAGCCGCCCTGGGCCCGGCCTTGGCTGGGGAGGGCGGGGTATAAATAAAAATTATTATTATTATTATTATTATTATTATTATTATTATTAAAGTCACGGCAGACATCTGTTGCAGCATTTTGAGCTGGCATTTCTCCTAATGACACACACTTCTTTTTCTGCAAGCATCGCTAGCGCAGTGCATTCCTGCATGCAGTTTTCGCTAACGCACACGTTTTTAGACACCTCAAGCACGTCGTTCGGTTGGGAAAACGGCAACATTCAAAGTGCGTATTTCGAACGACGGCTGCATCTTGGTTTGAGCCCTGCTTCTGAGCAAATGGTTAAAATGTGAGCTCAGGCGGCCTTCTTGGCCAGTGGCTACAACCACGAACACACAAAAAACCCCAGAGTTTTGCTATGTTTCTTCTCAGGAATTGAGAAGACAAGAAATTTTAAAAAAATGTTTACAATGTAGATACTAAACCATTGTAAACAGGCCAAAATATTAGCAGGATTTTAAACACACTTGTAACGTTAACAGAATGTATAGCTAATCTAGGAAGATGGAAAATTGGAGAAGTATCGATATGCGACAACGGCCGCGAGAGTTCTAATAGCACAAGGATGGAAGACTGAAGAAACCCCAACTAAAGAATCATGGCAAGAAAAATTGATAGACTATGCAGAACCGGCAAAATTGACATATAAACTACAGGACAAAGATAACTGTGACTTTAAAGATGAATGGGAACCCTTTACAAAGTATCTGAAGACGCAACAAAGCGAACTGGACTCCTTGGCTGGCTTTGCATAAACATTCACAAACTTTTTATTGATAATAATCAGCTAAATAGTTTGAGGATCTATACAACTGTGTAACATGCAGAAAACAGCATTCTTAGAGAAACCAAAGACTGGAACTGAGGGAAGTCGGGGGGTGGGGGTGGGGGTGGGTGGGTTTTGTGGGGGAGGGTGGGGGAGGGAGGAAAAATGGGGGTGGTGGAATAAGGATGATATGTTTCTGGATAATATGTTTTAATTTTGAATAAAAAAAGTTTTAAAAAATATATTAGCCGGATTTTGAACACACTTGTAATGTTAACAGAATGTATAGATAATCTAGGAAGATGGAAAATTGGAGAAGTATCGATATGCAGTTGAAAACAGGACCCGTGGAAGGGATGGGGAGAAGTCAGGAGATTCAAAGTAATCTCAGTAATTAGATTTGGAAATGGTTTTGTTGTATGTTTATATTTTTGGAAAATCAAATACCTTTGTTTCTGGTGGATGGGCTGCTGCCTCATCGCCATATACTGAGCATCTTCCTGCAAGCGGTTGAGCGGGGAGTCTGGCTTGAGGCGGATCCCGTAGTAATGGTATTTGGAATTTCCCCTGAGAGGGAGAAGATCGGTTAAGTAAAAACAACCACCCAACCAGCAACTTGCAAGGTTTTTCATGTCGCCAGGCTCTGCGTTTGAAGTCTCAGAGCACCCTTCGTAGAAAGTTCTGCTATACCAAGTCAGACCCCTTGGCCCATGTTGACTGGCAATGGTTTCACGGGCTGGCAGGCGCTCTCCGGAATTTCAATCAGGACGGAGTTTCCAGCGCTACCTGGCAGCGGCTCTGTGGCATTTCGGACACAGAAGTGCTTTCTTCCATTGTATTATTATTACAATGGTTGCCATCAATTTGATTTGAACTGGTTTCATAACGAATTGATTTTAGAATGCTGTATTATTTTACTGTTGTTAGCCACTCTGAGCCCAGCTTCGGCTGGGGAGAGCGGGATATAAATAAAATTTTATTATTATTATTATTTTATTATATTATATGCTGGCTGAGAGCCTCCCTGGCAGCGCACTGTCTCTACAGAGTGGTGCATGCTCTGGTTATCTCCTGCTTGGACTACTGCAATGCGCTCTACGTGGGGCTACCTTTGAAGGTGACCCGGAAACTGCAACTAATCCAGAATGCGGCAGCTGGACTGGTGACTGGGGGCGGCCGCCGAGACCACATAACACCAGTCTTGAAAGACCTACATTGGCTCCCAGGACGTTTCCGGGCACAACTAAAAGTGTTGGTGTTGACCTTGAAAGCCCTAACAGCGTTGGCCCAGTATACCTGGAGGAGCGTCTTCACCCCCATCATTCACTGAGGTCCAGCTCTGAGGGCCTTCTGGCGGTTCCCTCCCTGCGAGAAGTGAGGTTACAGGGAACCAGGCAGAGGGCCTTCTCGGTGGTGGCGCCCACCCTCTGGAACACCCTCCCACCAGATGTCAAGGAAATAAACAACTATCTGACTTTTAGAAGACATCTGAAGGCAGCCCTGTTAAGGGAAGCTTTTAACGTTTGATGTTTTATCACTTTATTATTAGTAGTGGTAGTAATATTCTGTTGGGAGCCACCCAGAGTGGCTGGGGAAACCCAGCCAGATGGGTGGTGTATAAATAACAAATTATTATTATTGTTGTTATTATTATTATTATTATTATTATTAGCAATTGTCCTTCCTTAACCCTCCCCACCCCAGCAGGATTCTAGTCCTCAGGCTCAAAAATCAAAGGGCTGGCTTTAAATAATGAAGGAATAGGTTTCTGTCCAGTCAGTTTGAAACGGGACCCAAAATCCACTTTTATTTCCTTTTCCAAGGGAACATTTCTATAATGCTTTAACATGAGCTCTTGAGCCAAAACCCAGCTGCATAAACAAGTGCTCAAAGCTCTCTCCCTTATCAGTCCATGAAGGCTGGTAATGACGGATGGCCTTGTCCGTTCCAAAGCGGAACAGGGATGACACGCCTGGGCCTTATCTTACATCCTGACCACAGACCTAGTCCAGGAACAGCGCCAGGAGTTGGTGACCTTCTTACCCCAAGATAAGAGTGCCGGAACAGGAATACCCTTATATGGTCAGAAGTACAGGAAGGAAAACTTTTATGGTTAAGAGCAGGAACATCTGTGATGTCAACTTACGTGTATAATCTTACGTGTCTGCACTCCTGGGGAAGGGGGGAGAGGGTGCCTGGAGGATATATATACTGCATGAAATTTCTCATTTCTTTGGACTTGCTGTGGACTGACCACGCAAATGCCTTTCTGCTGCTCCGGAGAGCAGAAATAAAGAACTCTTTCTCTGAACGAACCCTCGGTGTCATTTCACTTCCTTCCTCCCGTCCGGTAGCAACACAGAGCCCACCAATCGGTAAAGTCTAATAAGGCTACAATAAGAACGCTGGAAGTAGCCTTACGCCAAGTCAGATAATTGGGTCCATCAAGCTGGGCACTGCAAATACTGCCTTTTTGCAGCTCTCATGGGGTCTTTCGCGGCCCTGCCTAGAGACAATGGGGGCTGCACAGGCTTGGAGTGTATGCCCTCCAGTGCTGAGCTGCAGTCCCTGGAAATAAAGCTAAGTTTCCAGTCCTCAGGGTTTTGAAGGGAGATTGGGCCCGGTGTTTGCAGACGCCTCTCTTTTTTTGAATTTTATTACCGTATTTTTCGCTCTATAAGACGCACCAGACCATAAGACGCACCTAGTTTTTGGAGGAGGAAAACAAGAAGAAAAAAATACTGAATCTCAGAAGCCAGAACAACAAGAGGGATCACTGTGCAGCGAAAGCAGCAATCCCTCTTGCTGTTCTGGCTTCTGGGATAGCTGCGCAGCCTGCATTCACTCCATAAGACGCACACACATTTCCCCTTACTTTTTAGGAGGGAAAAAGTGAGTCTTATAGAGCAAAAAATACGGTAATTTTCAACACAAATATACAATTTCTTATCCAAATTCTCACAAATTTATCTCATTTAGGACTTCCTTCAGCTTCTCTGACAATCATCCATATTTATCTCTCAATTACACATTTCTTATGTTTAATATTGCTGTTAGTCTTCCCTTCCCCTAACTATTTCTTTTTAACAATATATCTCCAATTTCACAGTGCTTCTTGAAACCCCACTAGCGTTGTTTGAACATCACATATACTTTTCAGATATTCCGTAAATTTTCCCTGCAGAGGCCTCTTAAGCCCCCACTGCTGCAACCGCGCCTGCCCTGCAAACCTTGTGCCAAGCCGACGGGTCCTCAGTCCCATGAAGACGGAGCGGATCAGCTTCCCGAAGGACGCGGCGTTCACGGGGTCCAGCTTATGCTCTTGGCAGTGGCGCAGGTAATGGTTATAGAGAGAGCTGCGGGGCAGGCTGACCCCTTCGGCCGTCTCGTAGTTGTCCAGCAGCCACTGAAGCTGCAGATTTCATTTTTTAAAGGGAGAGAAGGGGGAAGAGAGAATTTAAGAGGGTTTTGCATGCTGGGTCCCGCTCGTTCGCACGCGCACAGCTCCCACAAAGGACGCAATTGGAACCAAACGTAAAAGAGAGTACTAGGGTAGCTCAGTTGGTTAGAGCGTGGTGCTGATGACCCCAAGGTTGTGGGTTCGATCCCTGTATGGGGCAGATAATATTCCTGCGTTGCAGGGGGTTGGGATAGATGATCCACAGGGGGCCTTCCAACTCTACAAATCTATGATTCGATTCTATGAACGTCTCCCCCTTACCACCAAGCAAACGCGCAAAAGGCAGCTGTCGTCTTTTGCAAACCGCTTTGAGGGGTGTATAAATTTCATGCTGGAGAACAGCCTTTGCCAAAGGCGTCATGGGCCTTGAAGACGCTCGAACTCAGGACGCAAGGGAGAAACGTGCTAGGAGGAAGGCACGCTTGGCAAATCCACACCATGATCAGCTCCCGCCCAGAAACCAATGTCCCCACTGCAGAAGGACATGGGGATCCAGAATTGGCCTCCACAGTCACTTACGGACTCACTGTTAAAACCGTGTTTATGGAAGGCAATCTTACTCGGCTACGAGGGATGGCCGAAGAAATTTCATGCAATAAAATAAATTCTACTACGGTCTGATCGCAGGTCCCCAAAATGGTTGGGTAGGCCAATTTTTTCTGTTGTTGCAAGGGACGAAACCTGAATTTGTTGTGGGAAAGCCACTTCCACAATAAACACAGGAGGTGGGGTTGCGGGCGTCACGCCCCTTCCCCACATTCGTGGGGGCTGGCTACAGCCCCCGCGATACCTAAGGGAATCCCCGCCCGTGTCATACCCCGGGCCAGCCAATCGGGGCTCCGGGGGCGGGGCCTCAGCTATTTAAACCTGCCGCAGCCGAGGCTCCTCCTCTTTTCCTCCGCTGCTGCAGCAGTTAGGCATTGGTAGGGGTACTGGCCTGTTGTTATGCAGATGATGGGGGGGGAAGGTAGCGCCATCACCTTCCCCCAAATCAAAGGGTAGTCCGGTAAAGGATTCCGGGGGGCGTGGCCTTGTCCTAAGCCTAGGGAGGTATGGGCCCACGGCACGCCCCCACGCGGTGACGCCCGGGGGAAAGCCTAGTTGACGTGCCTCAGCAGGACTCCTCCCCCTGGTGATTAACCCTTCCGGCTTCTAGGCAGTTAGTAGTTAGGACCAATGCCTAAGCCAATACCGCTCAATTCCTGTAATCAATAAAGTTGTGGCCTAATTCGACCCATTGACCTGAATTCTTGTGTCCTGTGTCTTTCTTTCATTGGGGGGAGGCGGGAACTCGCCACGCAAAACGGCAGCTTCGCGGTGGAGCAAGTACGATCTTGAGTGCAGACGCATCCAACTGGGCCCACGAAACCATTCACGGCCAGACTAAAACCTCACACGCCCCCCCCCCGCGCCCCCCAACTCATGCACCGATGAAGCAGAGAACCTCAACCCTGCCAGGTGCTGATTTGCCAGCGTTTCATGCAGGAAACATGCTGGCGACGGGCTGGCCTCTCTACCCACTGTTCAACTTTGCCAGTTGGGGGGGGGGCACCTGCAGGGACGGAGGAAGGGAGATGAAGATCTGGGCTGCCAGATCTTCCCCAGCCCCGGCCTAACATGCTAGGCTTCAGACAGGCCTAAGTTCAGAGTCTGCTTGATAAGACACACGCTGCAATACACCGCAGCTCTTTCCTGCCCCGCAACTGTTTGCGTTGCTCCCTGCTCTTCCTCCCCTGAACCCAACAGCTGAGAGAAGCTACCAAAAGCTCTGTGAAGGGCTAAGGAGCATGCAGTTAACTTGGCAGGTAGCAAGAAGGGGCACCACTTCAGGACAGGACAGAAAGAGGAGCCAAGCGGAGGCAGATCTGCTGCGACGGAAGACAGGGAAGGCTGCGGATAAGGGGAGCGCTTCTGGAAGGAGCAGTGGACCAGAAGTAAAGCTTTGAAGGTGACTCGGAAGCTACAACTAATCCAGAATGCGGCAGGTAGACTGGGGACTGGGAGTGGCCGCTGAGACCATATAACACCGGTCTTGAAAGACCTACATTGGCTCCCAGTACGTTTCGGAGCACAATTCAAAGTGTTGGTGCTGACCTTTCAAATCCATAAACAGCCTCGGCCCAGTATCCCTGAAGGAGCGTCTCCACCCCCATCGTTCAGCTCTGAGGGCCTTCTGGTGGTTCCCTCCCTGCGGGAAGTGAGGTTGCAGGGAACCAGGCAGAGGGCCTTCTCGGTGGTGGCGCCTGCCCTGTGGAACGCCCTCCCGTCAGATGTCAAAGGAGATAAACAACTGCGCGACTTTCCGGAGACATCTGAAGGCAGCCAGGAAGTTTTAAATGTTTTATATTTGCTGTTTTTCTATTATGTTGGAAGCCGCCCAGAGTGGCTGGGGAATAAATAAGAATATTATTATTATTTGCTGTGTTTTTATTATGTTGGAAGCCGCCCAAAGGTGCTGGGGCAACCCTGTCAGGTGGGCGGGGTACAAGTAATTTTTTTAAAAGGTAAAGGTAAAAGACTCCTGGACGGTTAAGTCCAGTCAAAGGCGGCACTCATCTCGCTTACAGGCCAAGGGAGCCGGCATTTGTCCACAGACAGCTTTCCGGGTCATGTGGCCAGCAGGACTAAACCGCTTCTGGCACAATGGAACACTGTGATTGTCCAGAGTGCATGGAGACGCCGTTTACCTTCCCTCCGTAGTGGTACCTATTTATCTACTTGCCCTGGTGTGCTTTCGAACTGCTAGGTTGGCAGGAGCTGGGACAGAGCAACAGGAGCTCACCCCGTCGCGGGGATTCGAACCGCTGACCTTCTGATCGGCAAGCCCAAGAGGCGCAGTGGTTTAGACCCCAGCGCCACCAGCGCTCCTGGTACAAGTGATTGATCGGTACCCAGCAGCACATACAAAGCAGTTAATATGCCACACAAGCTTAATGTTTGTGGGCGTCAATGGGCTGCTTGGCCATTGCTGTGTCTTAGGCAGCCTGCCATCACACATGCAGAAGGTCCAAGATTTCAACCTTTAGGATCCCCAGTAGGGTTGAGAGGGAGACCCCTACATGAAACCCTGGAGAGCCGCTGCCAGCCAGTGCAGAAAACACTGAACTAAATGATTCAACAGCCTGGCTTGTCCATAGTAGCACCCCACCACTTCCTTTCAAATCAGCCCTTCGTTCGGAAGCACAGGGGCTAAAACAGGGGGCTTAGTTTATAGGGGGGAAACTGCAGCTCAGTGGCCAAGTTCACACATGGAAGGTCCTTGGCATCTCTACAATTCTACGATTGTATGACCCGCTCTGCCCAAAACTGAGGTCCAGCGCCGAGGGCCTTCTGGCGGTTCCCTCGCTGCGAGAAGCAAAGCTACAGGGAACCAGGCAGAGGGCCTTCTCGGTGGTGGCACCCGCCTTGTGGAACGCCCTCCCACCAGATGTCAAAGAGAAAAATAACTACCAAACTTTCAGAAGACATCTGAAGGCAGCCCTGTTTAGGGAAAATGTTTAATAGGTTACTGTATTTTAGTGTTTTGTTGGAAGCCGCCCAGAGTGGCTGGGGAAACCCAGCCAGATGGGCGGGGTATAAATAATAAATTATTATTATTATTATTATTATTAACCCTGCAGAGCGGCTGCCAGTCAGTGCAGACAAGGTAGATGGATCTGATTAGGTACAATTTTCCTATATTGCATTTCAGGAGTGGGGAAGTTTCCCAGCAGATGGCGTGGTCCTTTCTGACCTATCTGTCTCTGCTGCCTTGCCTTGTGATGTGTGCGCCTCACAAGCTCAAAACCGGGGAGCACATTTACCGTATTTTTTGCTCTATTAGACGCACTTTTCCCCTCCTAAAAAGGGGAAATGTGTGTGCGTCTTATGGAGCGAATGCAGGCTGCGCAGCTATCCCAGAAGCCAGAACGTGAAGAGGGATTGCTGCTTTCACTGCACAGCGATCGCTCTTGCTGTTCTGGCTTCTGAGATTCAGAATATTATTTTCTTGTTTTCCTCCTCCAAAAACTAGGTGCGTCTTGTGGTCTGGTGCGTCTTATAGAGGGGAAAATACGGTGATTGGTGGATCTGTGGATGCCAGGGGGTCCGTTGCACCATTCGCGGAACAAAAACTACCCTAGAAACGTCAACGTTTTCAAAAGCAGGGGGCGCACGGCTTGGCTTCTGGAAAAGAGCGGGGTCCGCAGTACTTCGCTAATTGGGAACCACGGATTTAATGAATCGTTTACAGGGCTGAGGTTTGCTCCTGGCAACCGGCGGTGGGGGAGATACGCGCTTGTGCTCGGCTTGTGCTTCGCTGCAGTAAATGGGATTCTGAAAAGCGCGCAGAAGCTGGAAAACAGGGCGCCGGGGCAGGGGGTGGGTTGTCTACGGAGGAGCCAGGCAGGTGGGAGGCAAACTTACATGGCTGTTGAGCAAGCTGCTTTTGTGCGACGTTATGCCTTCATTTTTTTGGAGGTTTTCAATCGCCATTTCAAGCTGGAAAAGGGGCGGCAGCGAGGCCAGAGAGAGAGAGAAAAAAGAAGGGAAATCAGACATTCGGCAAACAGCCGGGGGGGGGGGACCCGCCTGAGCCACCGTGAAGCCCTTCCCTCAAACAGGCAAAGTGAGGCATGGGATCAGGCGCAGGAATGTTACATGGGGGGTGGGGGTGGAAGGCATGCAAAAGAAGCCACACAGTGCAGGTGGTATTTTTTTGGGGGGGAGGGGGTGCGGAAGAGAAAGAAGCAGCCCCTTGCGCTGCAAATATAGGTTTATCAGGGGTCTACCCCCTCACTGATTTAGAAGTCACATATCAAAACAGGAAGGCAGTGGCGACTTGGGGGTTGAAAGCAGAAAGGGTTTCCTTGGACCCAGTGGAATTAATGGGCCCAAATTGGCCATGCTCATCCATTTCAATGGGTTCATCTAAAACCAGCATTGGATATCAGTCTTTCGGTCTCTGCCCTTTTTCACGCGAAAAAGGAATCTGCCATCACCCCCCCCCTTAAGTCTTCTCTTCTTCAGTATTGCTCAGCTCCTTCAACTTTTCCCCAAAGCAGTCCGATCATAGCTGTCAACAGTCCCTTATATGGCGGGAAAGTCCCTTATCCCAGCGCCGTGTCCCGCTGCTGTCCCTTATTGATGATGTCCCTTACATTTCCCGGGTTTCAAAGGAAGCAGCTCCTCTCCCTCCCTCCCTGCCGGCCAGGGAGGAGGGAGGCTCCAGCTGTGTTGCTTGGTTGTGTTGCTCACCCAATAAGGAGTCTAAGAACGACTGGGGGGTGGAGCTTGCATGCCTTGTGCCAATCAAATCGGCAGCGTTGCCTGGGGACTCGCCTTTGCTCAGCACTTCCCAGCGGAGAGGAGACAGTGGTTTTCCTTGCTGCATCCCCTTTGCCAGGTTGCTGCGCTGTGGGAACCACCGCTTGAGGCTTCGTTTGGCTGCTGGTTGACTAAAATCCCTTATTTTGGCTGCTGATCCCTTATTTTTGAGGCTGCTGGTCCCTTATTTTCAAATCTGTGAGTTGACAGCTATGAGTCCGATCTGCACAGCTTTAAAGCCTTTTATTTCTCCCATCTTAAGGGGAGGTATATAAAAGGCTCAATGCACCGGATGTAAATGCAAAATTTGGCAGCACCCCATGTGAGACAGAAGAGTTGTTTTTAGGCCCACCCCAAGACACACACCTGAGTCCCAAATGTCCATTTATCTACTGCAGCAGAGATGCTCAACTTCTGTACTTCTACTCCCATTGGAAGCTGATCCACTACGTAAATGGGGCACTTGCCCCCCAACTTGAACCGTGTGATGCAGCGGCAGAAAAAGCTAATGCTATTTACAGAAGTACAGAGTCCAGATCAGGGCTTAAAGGTAAAGGTACCCCTGACTGTTAGGTCCAGTCGTGGACGACTCTGGGGTTGCGCGCTCATCTCACTCTATAGGCCAAGGGAGCTGGCGTTTGTCCGCAGACAAGTTTTGTCATGTGGCCAGCATGACTAAGCCGCTTCTGGCGATCCAGAGCAGCACACAGAAGTGCCGTTTACCTTCCCGCCAGAGTGGTACTTATTTATCTACTTGCACTCTGACGTACTTTCGAACTGCTAGGTGGGCGGGAGCAGGGACCGAGCAACAGGAGCTCACCCCGTCGCAGGGATTCAAACCGCCAACCTTCTGATCGGCAAGTCCTAGGCTCTGTGGTTTAACCCACAGCGCCACCCGCGTCTACATGAGCCGGTAGCAGACAGATGAGTGTAAAGTAAAAGACAAAGGACCCCTGGAAGGTTAAGTCCAGTCAAAGGCAACTATGGGGTTGCAGCGCTCATCTTGCTTTTAGGCTGACGGAGCTGGTGTTTGTCCACGAACCTTCTGATCGGCAAGCCCAAGAGGCTCAGTGGTTTAGACCACAGCGCCACCCACGTCCCTGCCCTCCTATTACTCAGCAGTGACACAGATGGGGAAGAACCCTAGACCAGGGGTAGGCAAACTAAGGCCCGGGGGCCGGATGCGGCCCAAATCGCCTTCTCAATCCAGCCCGCGGACGGTCCGGGAATCAGCGTGTTTTTACATGAGTAGAATGTGTGCTTTTATTTAAAATGCATCTCTGGGTTATTTGTGGGGCGTAGAAATTCATTCATATTTTTTCTCTCCAAAATATAGTCCGGCCCACCACCTGCTCTGAGGGACGGTGGACTGGCCCACGGCTGAAAAAGGTTGCTGACCCCTGCCCTAGTGCTGAGTTGACTCCACCTGCCACCAACTCTGGCTCTAGCTACGGGTTCCGCCCTGCTAGTCCCAATGTCCAGCAATCACCGCCACCTTCCCAAGTACGTTTCCGAGCACCATTCAAAGTGTTGGCGCTGACCTTTAAAGCCCTAAACGGCCCAGTATACCTGAAGGAGCGTCTCCACCCCCATCGTTCTGCCCGGACACTGAGATCCAGCTCCAAGGGCCTTCTGGCTGTTCTCTCATTGCGAGAAGCAAAGCTACAGGGAACCAGACAGAGGGCCTTCTTGGTAGTGGCTCCCGCCCTGTGGAACGCCCTCCCATCAGATGTCAAAGAGATAAACAACTACCTGACATTCAGAAGACATCTGAAGGCAGCCCTGTTCAGGGAAGTTTTTAATATGTAACGCTGTACTGTTTTTAACACTTGATTGGGAGCCACCCAGAGTGGCTGGGGAAACTCAGCCAGATGGGCGGGGTATAAATAATAAATTATTATTATTATTCGCTTGCAGGTGCCTGAAACACCCTGCCCCCCCTTCTCAGAATGCACCTCAATGTGACTTCAGGGAGGCGGCGGCGGCAAGCCCCGACGTACCGTGGCTGGGGAGGAGCGCGAGGTGTGCGAGAGGGCGTGCCTGGCGCTCTCCATGCCGCTGTGGATGAGGTAGGCTCCCGAGCTGGACACGATCTGGCTTCCCCCGATGTCCATCGCGATGCCCACCATGCTGTGCGAGGGTATGGTGGTGGGCGACGAGGGCCCCGTGCTCACCTGAGAGCTGCCTCCCTGCGCTTCGAAGTAGGAGGAGGCGCTGCTGGGGGCGTAGATCTGAGCTTCCGTGTTGTAGGAATAAGCGGCACGTCTGCCAGAAGACCGGGGTTGGTGGGGGGGAGAGACAGGAGACAAAGTGACAAGGGGTTTAGTTACGAACACACGCAGTCAGGCCTTCCGAGAGGGTCCGTGAAGACCTAAGGGTTTGAAAGTACAGTCATACCTCGGGTTGCAAACGCTGCGGGTTACGTCTTTTCAGGTTGCGTCCCGCAGCGACCCAGAAGTACGGGAAAGGGTTACTTCCGGGTTTCGCCGCTCGCACATGCACAGACATGCAAAATGATGTCACGCGCATGAGCAGAAGTTTTTGGGTTTTTTTTTTACTGTTTTATTAAATTTGCTTAGTAACATAACATTATTATATGTATTCTATAAAACAAAGAATACAAAACAAAATTCATTCGTACTACAATGCATAACTACATAACATTAATATATATGGTTTCTGAAAAAAGGCTTACATAACAAAATCAATTCAAAATACCATCCGGTTTACTCCCCCACCCTTCCCTTCCCCCTCCAGCCCTCCCCCCCGGTCAGGCCTTCCTTCTTCATATCTTTATCCATGTACACAGTCTGTTCATTCGAGCTTGTATGTTAGGCTTGGCTTCCTCTCTTTCTATCCAGTCCCTGTAAAATGCCCATTTATTTGTAATTCTTTGGCATTTATTTTCCTATCTATCCTCTGCCACTATTTGTGCGAATATTTCTGATTGTACGTATTCAAAAACATAATCATTCCATTTTTCCATATTCCATTTGGCCTTTCCTTTCCATCCCCAAGCAATAACTGCCATTCCACGCATGAGCAGAAGTGGCGAATTGCCACCCGCGCGTACGCAGACATCGGTTGCGTTCCATTCAGGTTGCGAACGGGGCTCTGGAATGGATCCCATTCGCAACCAGAAGTACCACTGTACTTGCCCCAAAATAACAGAGCCCTTTCTGTTGGGGATAATTCAATATCTCAATATATCATCCAAAGTCCCTATCATGATCTTGCTTCCATAATTTTTGACCTGGCACTATATTGCAAATCAGGGTGTGTGTTTGTGTGTGCTATGCAAAAATCACGATACTGGGGAGAAAAACCATGAAGCATGTACATAGTTTCATCCTTGGTCCAGACATTGTGATATATCGGTATACTGTGATATTAAGCTGGTGATAATATCACAAAGTTGAAAACCAAATATTGCCCTGGGAAATGATCTATAATGAATTAGAAAAAATGTTTAAAAGTACTCCCCCCCCTTCTCTCTGTGAAGAAGCACTTTCTTTTATCTGTCCTGAATTCTCCCACCCCTGCATTCATTATCTTATACACCTTGATCGTGTCTCCTCTTAATCGCCTTCTCTCTAAACTAAAAAGCTATCCTGAGCTCCTCCGGGGGGGGGGGGGAGGAAAAAGCCGAACATAACCCGCTCCCTTAAAATTCCACAGGCACTCACACCCATTCCGTCCTACCGTATGTCTGTCCCAGCAGCGATATCGTAAAAGCCAGTTTTTGTAAGGTTGCAAATTTAAGCCGCCATTTAACTTTTCATGGTCGGAATTTGGGGAAAACAGTGAAGCTTATATTCAGGCCAATATGGTAACTGGGAAGGGAAGGGATACTTACATGGTCCCATTGGTATAGACAGCTTCTCCTCCTTCGACGTACTGGACTTGAGCTGGATAGACATGCTGTACCGTTTGCACCTAAGAGAAAGGCACGGAGATGGGAGCAGCCATGAAATCTTGCCACTGCGTCTCTACAACAGAATCAGCATCCCACCAGCTCCCTGGGCTGCGAGGCGCAACGGAGGGGAAAACAGTCTCATGTCCCTGCACCCAAGCTGAGCAAAAGCTTCTCCCACGACACATTTCTAAGACCAGCAAAGCAACTGAGAAGGTGGAAGAGGAGTTCAGGGAGCAGGGGGAATCTTTTAACAATTCTATGCTATGTGGAAAGAACCTTTTACTGAGGGTGAAAGAGGAGAGCGCAAAATATGGTCTGAAGCTCAACATCAAAAAAACGAAGATCATGGCCACTGGTCCCATCACCTCCTGGCAAATAGAAAGGGAAGGAATGGAGGCAGTGAGAGATTTTACTTTCTTGGGCTCCATGATCACTGCAGATGGTGACAGCAGCCACGAAATTAAAAGACACCTGCTTCTTGGGAGAAAAGCAATGACAAACCTAGACAGCATCTTAAAAAGCAGAGACATCACCTTGCTGACAAAGGTCCGTATAGTAAAAGCCATGGCTTTCCCAGTAGTGATGTATGGAAGTGAGAGCTGGACCATAAAGAAGGCTGATCGCCGAAGAACGGATGCTTTTGAATTATGGTGCTGGAGGAGACTCTTGAGAGTCCCATGGACTGCAAGAAGATCAAACCTCTCCATTCGGAAGGAAATCAGCCCTGAGTGCTCACTGGAAGGACAGATCCTGAAGCTGACGCTCCAAGACTTTGGCCACCTCATGAGAAGAGAAGACTCCCTGGAAAAGACCCTGATGGTGGGAAAGATGGAGGGCGCAAGGAGAAGGGGACGACAGAGGACGAGGTGGTTGGATAGTGTTCTCAAAGCTACCAGCATGAGTTTGACCAAACTGCGGGAGGCAGTGGAAGACAGGAGTGCCTGGCGTGCTCTGGTCCAGGGGGTCACGAAGAGGAGGACACGACTAAACGACTCAACAACAACAACAACAACAACAACATGCTATGTGGACAAATAAAAACGATAGACTGTGTGCTTCTCCAGTGCCTATACTATAGAGACATTCGTATTAGCCTTGTTATGAGAATTATAAGATCTAAGATATAAAATAAATGTTCATAAATGGACCAGGCAATCACATATATAAATATATAAACCACATGTCTGAAACAGTACAGGAAAACAGTCCCAAAGCCATTCTGACTCTTTCAGTGACCTCAAATATTCCTCTGCAGTTTGGATGGGAATGGGAAAAGCCTCCCCATTGTCTCTGTGCTCACAAATCCAGCCTTAAGGGCACATTTGGGTATGAATAGGGTTAAGGAAATCAGCCCTGAGTGCTCACTGGAAGGAGAGATCCTGAAGCTGAGGCTCCAGTACTTTGGCCACCTCAGGAGAAGAGAAGAGTCCCTGGAAAAGACCCTGATGCTGGGAAAGATGGAGGGCACAAGGAGAAGGGGACGACAGAGGACGAGATGGTGGGACAGTGTTCTCGAAGCTACCAGCGTGAGTTTGACCAAACTGCGGGAGGCAGTGGAAGACAGGAGTGCCTGGCGTGCTCTGGTCCAGGGGGTCACGAAGACTAAACGACTAAACGACTGAAAAACAACAAGGGTGAGCCTGTGACCTGGACTCAGTAATTAAGTATTTATCATCACAAAATAAAAAAGAATTCCTTCTGGTAGCACATTAGAGACCAACTAAGTTTGTTATTGGTATGAGCTTTCGTGTGCATGCACACTTCTTCACAAAAGCTCATACCAATAACAAACTTAGCTGGTCTCTAAGGTGCTACTTGAAGGAATTTTTTATTTTGTTTCGACTACGGCAGACCAACACGGCTACCTGCCTGTAACTATCATCACAAAAGAATGGCCAGGCTGCCCAGGTAAACCCATTAACAGGTTTCCTGCCAAACAGGATTCTGCTGTAGACCGCCCCTTCTGTGACCTATGTACGATGTTTTTGGGGGTGGGTCTTGAGCTACATGGCGGCAATTTCAAAAGTCTATATAAGAGCTTGCGCACCAATGTTCTGGGTTCATCCTCCCTCCTGCGTGGGGCAGTGAACACCCTGTTGCAACTGTTCAGGATTTTAGATTCGTGTATGTGCATGCATGGTGACGTATTGTTTTAAATAAATAAATATTGCTCATGGTTGGTTAACACGGGGCGGGGAGGTTTTAAAAAAACAACAACCGGGACTGCATTTTGTATTTTTATCAAGCTTGCAAATTGCCCAGAGGTTTTAAGTTGACGGGCAGTCTATACACTCAAGATAAATAAATGAACACAGAAGAATTACCAAATCCCGGCTGCAAATCAACAATGGCAACTGAGCAGTTCTATGCAGTTTGCAAGAGTTTTAATGACTGCTCTGGGACTTCTCCTGTTCAAGTGGCTTTGCCGTCGGTTTGTGAGCTGTGCAAATAAGATTATACCACTTTGCATTTTATTTTTAAGAATTCAAATAATTTTATTTTCATTTACATAAATGTTAAAAAACACACAACTGACTTAGTTAAGAGACCGATATTGCTGACCCACTGTGCAAAAGAGCTGGATAGGTTTTACACCTCCTGTGGCATCCAATACCCAGAATTTTCTGGGACACAGAGACTCTGCCTACCAACTCTTTCTGCCTATCCAGTAGACTCTACAAAATAATATTCACAGGCACAAAGACTACTTGATTTGGGCTTGTTTTGGGTGGAGTTGGACAGAAAGCAGTAACGACAGGACAGGAATAGCCACATGGGGGCACTGGGAGCTGTATTAAGAGTCTCTGGCAATTTTCAGAGCTTGCCTTTTGGAGTCAGTATGGCTGAGGGTTACTGCCAACCAACTTTCCCCCACTGGTACTCACTTAAAGGATGTTGTATTCAGACAGGCATTACATGCTTGGTTTGGGGGGCGGGAAGTGCTGGCTCTTGTGGTTTTTGACTTAAGGCAGCCTTCCTCAACCAAGTGCCGCCTGTATGTTTTGGACTACAAGTCCCATCATCCCTGGCCATGTAGGCTGGGGCTGATGGGATTTGTGGTCCAACAACGTTTGAAGATCACCACGTTGGGGAGGGTGTTTCCTGATTTGACTTTGCGCGATTTATGTGTTGCAAACTTTGAGGATGCCAATCAAACACCAGGTCATAAATAATCTATAGATACATGTGTCAACTAATTCAGAGCAGGCCTGCATTTGCTAGGTGACTTCCAGAATTATCAAAAGAAGAGAGAATTCATTACAAGAAAATCCTGCCGCTTCGGATTTATGTTTTGAAAAATGTGTCTACTCAGAAGTATGTGCCCCTGACTTCAATGGTACTTACTCCCAAGTAAGGTTTTTAAGGTGCTGTAAAGGACCCCTGACCAATTGGCCCAGTCGTGGCTGATTCTGGGGTTGCGGCGCTCATCTCGCTTTATTGGCCGCATGTGGCCAGCATGACGAAGCCGCTTCTGGCGAACCAGAGCAGTGCACGGAAACACCATTTACCTTCCCGCCAGAGCGGTACCTATTTATCTACTTGCACTTTGACGTGCTTTCGAACTGCTAGGTTGGTAGGAGCAGGGACCGAGCAACGGGAGCTCACCCCGTCGCGGGGATTCGAACCGCCGACCTTCTGATCGGCAAGCCCTAGGCTCTGTTGTTTAACCCACAGCACCACCTGCGTCTTAAGGTGCTGAGTAGGACCTTTTTGGTTGAAATTCATCTGGAAATTTTTCTTTTTTCTTTAATTGTATAGCAACACCACTTAAGCTTAGAGAATGATGCTCGTCTGAATGCAGTGCGTCCAGTTAACGTATCTGTATAATCGTACCTTGGTTTTCGAACAGCTCAGTTCACGAACAAATTGGAACTCAGGCACCGCAAACCCGGAAATAGGTGTTCCGGTTTGCAAACTTTGCCTTGGAAGCCAAAAATCCGGTGCAGCTTCCGATTGGCTGCAGGACGCTCCTGCAGCCAATCGAAAGTTGCATCTTAGTTCCTGAACGTTTCAGAAGTTGAATGGACTTCTGGAACGCTTCTGTTTGAAAACCAAGGTACGACTGTGTCCTGAACTTGCATGTTTATAAAAAGTTTTTTTTTAAATTGCAGCTAATCTGTGGCTCAGGAAATCAGCCCTGACTGCTCACTGGAAGGACAGATCCTGAAGCTGAGGCTCCAATACTTTGGCCACCTCATGAGAAGAGAAGACTGCCTGGAAAAGACCCTGATGTTGGGAAAGATGGAGGGCACAAGGAGAAGGGGACGACAGAGGACGAGATGGTGGGACAGTGTTCTCGAAGCTACCAGCATGAGTTTGACCAAACTGCGGGAGGCAGTGGAAGACAGGCGTGCTCTGGTCCAGGGGGTCACGAAGAGCCGGACACGACTAAACGACTAAACAACAACAACAACAGCAATAATCTGTGGCTCTAAAAGGGGCAGAGAGAGATAGACTAAGAAAGGAACTAATGCTTTTCCCATTTACAAACACTTCCCTGTTTGGGTCCCCAGAGGCAATCTTCCTTCGATGAGAAGTTTGTGTTCAAGACAGAATGCAGCTAGTCTAAACTTGTCCACAGCTGTTTTATGGAAGCATGCCTCAAAACTCAAGAGGTGTGTTTTTTAAATTTAAATTTAAGGTTATATTATGTTCTTACGCTATTATCCCCAAACTAAGACATTTGAAAGGGACGTGGGTGGCGCTGTGGGTTAAACCACAGAGCCTAGGACTTGCTGATCAGAAGGTCGGCGGTTTGAATCCCTGCGACGGGGTGAGCTCCCGTTGCTCGGTCCCTGCTCCTGCCAACCTAGCAGTTCGAAAGCACGTCAAAGTGCAAGTAGATAAATAGGTACCACTCCGGCGGGAAGGTAAACGGCGTTTCCGTGCACTGCTCTGGTTCGCCAGAAGCGGCTTAGTCCTGCTGGCCACATGACCCGGAAGCTGTACGCCGGCTCCCTCGGCCAATAAAGCGAGATGAGCGCCGCAACCCCAGAGTCGGTCACGACTGGACCTAATGGTCAGGGGTCCCTTTACCTTTTACTAAGACATCTGATGGTGTGATATGGTCTATTCTTTTCCGTTTGACTTTTTTTCTGAAGCCAGCACAGGGTTCAGCTGAAGTCTGGGAGCAACCTGGTCTCTGTTGCAAAACGGATATTACCTGCTGTGGAACCTGCTGGACTCTGGGGACGGACAGCTGTTGCATTTGCGCCCCTTTCGGAGTGGAGCCTGTCGCCTGCACCAAAACCCTCTGGAAGACAAACAAACAAACACGGAATCACCCTTTCTGATGCCTTTACATTTACAAAAGCACCTCTCTGCTGACATCCCTCGAGGCGGTGTTCAACACGCATATAAACCCTACCAGGAAACACATTGGAATCTAGCAATAAGCCAAAAATTAAAACAGCCTGCAAGCGGCTCGCTGTGTCCAACAGAGGCTGCCGCTGAACACTTGGCAAACACTGAAGAATACACACGAAACCCTGGTTCTTTCCGGACATCACCAGTAAACGATGGTTTTAAAACCATCGCTTGTGCTTTCATACATAAAAGCCAGGCCATGGTTTAGAAATTGCTGTTTCCCACCCACTCCCCACTCCCATTTCTATAAGGCAGGGGCCTCTGGAAGCAGAGTCAGGGTTATAACCGTGGCTTGCCAAATGAGAAAGCACACTAAACCGTGGTTTGCAAACCCATTTCATGCCATGTAGAGCCACTGCACATCGGAGGTACAGCCACGCCACGAGAAAACTATTTTGGTGTTTTCGGATGCCACAAGACAATAGCCGACAGCCGCATCGGACGTTCGGCTTCCGAAAAACGTTCGAAAACCGGAACACTCATTCCAGGTTTTCGGCGTTCGGGAGCAGATTTTTTCGGCAACTGAGCCATTCCAGAACCAAGGTTCCACCGTCACTGCAAATTTCGAAGGATGGCTGTGTTTCAGTTTGCGTGTTTCTTCCAGGGAGTGCAAATTCAATAGGCTTGCCTTTGAATGTGAACATGAATCTAATTTCTCCTCCACCCTTTGTCCTGCCTGCTGCAGGCCCTACAACTTGCCCCATCCATATAGACCACGGGTTGTCAACCTGGTCCCTACCGCCCACTAGTGGGCGTTTCAGGATTCTGGGTGGGCGGTGTGGGGTTCTACGGCACAAGATGAATCCTCCTTCCATCAAGCACTGGAGGGCGGTAAGGAACTTTCACCATCAAGAAAGATGCATTAGTGGGCAGTAGGTATAAAAAGGTTGACTACCCTTCTCAGTGATGGCTCCGACCTGGTGGAATGCTCTGTCCCATGAGACCAGGGCCCTGCAGGATTTAACTTCCTTCCACCGGCCTGTAAGACAGAGCTATTCCACCTGGCCTTTAATTAGAATTCAGCCTGATCTTTTATTCCCCTTCCTTCCCTTTTTATGAAGATTACCCGCTCTCGTATCCCACAGCTAATTCTCCCCTGGTCTCCTCGCTGGCCCAAATAGCACTAATTTAGCCAGCTAGCCCTGGTGATCATCTAATGTTTGTTGGATGGATTTCCCCCCTAAATTGAATTTTGAATTGTGAATTCACATTTTATACTGCATTTTACGCTGGTTTTTTGTTGCATCAATTAAGTGTTTTAAATTTGTTGTCAGCCGCCCTGAGCCCGGTTTTCTGAACCGGGAAGGGCGGGGTATAAATAAAAAATTATTTATTGCCCCTGGTATAGACGGTTCGCGAGGTTTGTGAACACAGAGGGACAGGTGAACAGACAAGAGACAGACTGCATAGGGGACTGTGGACCTCATAGGGGACTGTGGACCTCAACAGATGCCCTGTGGTACCCATTCCTGATACTAGCTTGGTGGTGGTGGGAGGCAGCAAGCAGATAAGACCGCCCTCTCCCTGCCCAAAGGCTCGGAGTTGAAGGAAGCAAGAAAGCATCGCTTGGGAGAGGAGAGCGGATGGAGGGGTTACCTGCTGGGATGCTGGCACCGGCTGGACCACAGGGGCCTGGACCGATGCCGACGTTCGCAGCGCCACAGGAGTCGTGGAATCTGAGCCGCCCTCGGACTCCTGCATGCCTGACTCTAGGAGAGAGAGGATGATGGGGTTGGGGAGGGAACAAAGACACAGTTTTTAATTAACGGCAGAAGCTAAGGGTGCATGCTGGTTTCTCGGTGGGCCAGCAGCCATGGCAAGCAATTTCTATTTGCGTTATTACATTCGGCACAACAAGGGGAAGTTCGGCCGCAAGTATCTCGAGTTCGAGTTCCGCCCTGACGGGAAACCGAGATATGCAAATAACAGCAATTATTTTAAAAATGATGTCGTGATCAGAAAAGAAGCCTACGTACACAACTGTGTGATGGAAGAGATCGACGACAGGGAAATAACGAAAGAAGATGATGCCTTATGCCATGGGTAGGCAAACGAAGGCCCGGGGGCCGGATGCGGCCCAATCGCCTTCTCAATCCAGCCCACAGACGGTCCAGGAATCAGCATGTTTTTACATGAGTAGAATGTGTCCTTTTATTTAAAATGCATCTCTGGATAATAATAATACCATTACTGTCAATGTACAACCTGTGTACAATGAAATTAACAATTAATTACAATGAAATTATTTGTGGGGCATAGGAATTTGTTCTCCCCCCCCAAAAAAAATATAGTTCGGTCCCCCACAAGGTCTGAGGGACAGTGGACCGGCCTCTTGATGGAAAAGATTGCTGACCCCTGTGGCTTATGCCCTCCTCCAGACAGAGTTGGCCGGCCGGAGCTTGAAATTGTAGCTGGTGGTGGACACATCTCTTTTACCGCATCAAAAATTGGTTCTCTTATTGATGTAAATCAGTCCAAGGATCCAGAAGGTATTTTACTGCCTTGTCCAGGACCTCAAGTGTCTCGTCTTCAGTCTCATTGGATTACACTTCAAGATTAAGCCAATTTCAATTGTACGGATCAAAATTTGTACCGTCAAGTTACTTTCGGTGGAGTCACTTTCCATTCCTTATCTCTCATTGGTTTTATGTGTGTCAGATTTTTTTACAGAGTGAATTTAAAGGTAAAGGGACCCCTGACCATTAGGTCCAGTCATTACCGACTCTGGGGTTGCGGCGCTCATCTCGCTTTACTGGCTGAGGGAGCCGGCGTACAGCTTCCGGGTCATGTGGCCAGCATGATTAAGCCACTTCTGGCGAACCAGAGCAGCGCACGGAAACGCCGTTTACCTTCCCACTGGAGCAGTACCTATTTATCTACTTGCACTTTGACGTGCTTTCAAACTGCTAGGTTGGCAGGAGCAGGGACCGAGCAACGGGAGCTCACCCCGTTGCGGGATTCGAACCACCGAACTTCTGATCGGCAAGTCCTTGGCTCTGTGGTTTAACCCACAGTGCCACCCGCGTCCCTAAAGTGAATTTAACAAATGCTTAAAAGCTAAAACAAACATCAGAAGCTAATTCCATCCAGTGGCACATTGTCAGTGGACTAGGGAAACTAGGCTAGCCCCCATATGTTCCCCTGGAGCGTCCTTCCGAAAGCCTTGGGAAGCTTCTGCCCAGCTTAGGGAGGGAGGCGCAATGATCACACTCGCGACGTCGCAACATCATGTACACATCATTCCCCCAATTGCACTTGCAAGCTGGCGCCTCTGGCCCTAACAGTTCCCCTATGCAAAATTTCACTGCATGCAAAAATGGTGGAAAAACCGCCCCAGCAAAGTCTATAGATGCACAGAACCAGCAGGCATGCCAGGGCCTTCTATCCAAAGTTCAACATTTTCACAATAAGCCCTTTCCCTGTCTACCCCAGATTCAGCAAGGGTCTCTCTCGGATGGACAAGTTTCAAATCCATCCACTGAACTGTTTTCTAACTGCAAGATGTGGCACGTACTCTACTTTCTCGTTGTAATGGCAAGATGCAGTTCACCCAAATTACCTTTAATGTATAGCCACGACTGTGGTCCTACAACTTATTTATCCTATTTTGCAGCTGAGGCTGAGATAGACAGATAGTAACAGTGATAATAATAATATTTTTTACTATTTATACCCCGCCCATCTGACTGTGTTGCCCCAGCCACTCTAGGAGGCTTTCCAACGTCTATGAAAACATAATAAAACATCAAACTTTTAAAAAAAATTCTATGATGAAAATACAAACTTTTTTATAAAAGAATGGAAACTGTTTATTGAATATTTACAGATAAATTGTAAGCAGACAGAAACAATGGCAGGATTGTTGTTGTAGCCTGCAGTTTCGTAAGAGTATATATTTGAAGAAGATGAATAAATGAACCAATTAAGTTAATTTGGATATGCAGAAGATATTGAAAATAAAATTTAAGGAACCGCAGAAGGTGGGCGAAGGAAGTCAGGCTTTGAAAGGTCAGATTGTAAAATCAGCAAAATCTATAAATCTGAAAGTATTAAAAAAAATAAATTTAAAAAAATACGGACGCCCTAAGGAAAAGCGGGACATTCCAGGATCGAATCAGAAACTGGGATAGCTTCTGCACATCCAGGACTGTCCCTGGAAAATAGGGACACTTGATCTAGAATAGTTAGTCCAGATCCTTTTAAACATTTATAGTGCTTCTCTGTGTAAATTAGAGTTGTACCTTGGATCCCGAACACCTTGCGAGTTGAACGTTTTGGCTCCCGAAAACCGGGAAGTGAATATTCCAGTTTGCGAACGTTCTTTGGAACCTGAATGTCTGAAGGGCTTCCGATTGGCTGCAGGAGCTTCCTGCAGCCAACCGGAAGCCGTGCTTTGGTTTCTGAACGTTTTGGAAGTCGAACAGACTTCCGGAACGGATTCTGTTCGACTTCCAAGGTACGGCTGTATGTTCAGCCTCCGCTGTTTCCAGCGTCTCCCCCCACCCCATTGTCGGAGGCTAGAAACCACAGGAGGAGAGACAGTTTGCACTCTTCCCATCTAGTTGGCCCCTGTGAGAATGGGATGATGTACTAGATCATGGGTAGGCAAACTAAGGCCTGGGGGCCGGATCTGGCCAAATTGCCTTCTGGCCCAATTGCCTTCCACCTGGTGCGCAGGATGAGACCCTCCCTGCCCGCAGACTGCCTGGCCAGAGTGGTGCATGCTCTGGTTATCTCCCGCTTGGGCTACTGCAATGCGCTCTACGTGGGGCTACCTTTGAAGGTGACCCAGAAACTGCAATTACCGTATTTTTCGCTCTATAGGACACACTTTTCCCCCTCCAAAAATTAAGGGGAAATGTGTGTGCGTCCTATGGAGCGAATGCAGGCTCCTTGGCTTCAGCGATAGCAACGCGAAGCCACCAAAGCGCAGAGGAAGCGCTCCCTCCGCACTCCAGAGGCTTCACGTTGCTTTCGCTGAAGCCTGGAGAGCGAGAGGGGTCGGTGCGCACTGACCCCTCTCGCTCTCCAGGCTTCAGGGATAGCTGCCTGAAGCCTTTGGAGAGCAGTGCGAGTTCCCGCTGCGCTCCGCAGGCTTCAGGTTCAGCAAGACTCTCCTGGCTTCAGCAGAGAGGGAGAGCTGCGCAGCGCCCCTTCAGCCAATCAGGAGGAGAAATGGAAGGGGCTCCATTTTTCCTGCCGCTTCGCTGAAGGGGTGCTGACCAGAGAGGGGGAGAATTTTTTTCCCTTGTTCTCTCCCTCTAAAACAAGGTGCGTCCTGTGGTCCGATGCGTCCTATAGAGTGAAAAATACGGTAATCCAGAATGCGGCAGCTAGACTCGTGGCCGCCGGGACCACATAACACCAGCCCTGAGAGACCTTCATTGGCTCCCAGTACGTTTCCGAGCACAAATCAAAGTGTTGGTGCTGACCTTTAAAACCCTAAACGGCCTCGGTCCTGTATACCTGAAGGAGCGTCTCCACCCACCCCCATCGTTCAGCCCAGACACTGAGGTCCAGCTCCGAGGGCCTTCTGGCGGTTCCCTCATTGCGAGAAGTGAGGTTACAGGGAACCAGATACAGGGCCTTCTTGGTAGTGGCGCCCACCTTGTGGAACACCCTCCCTTCAGATGTGAAGAGAATAAGCAGCTATCCTATCTTTAAAAGACATCTGAAGTCAGCCCTGTTCAGGGAAGTTTTTAATAGTTAACGCTGTACTGTTTTTAACACTTGATTGGGAGCCGCCCAGAGTGGCTGGGGAAACTCAGCCAGATGTACGGGGTATAAATAATAATAAATAATTATTATTATTATTATTATTATTACTAAATCCGGCCTGTGGACGGTCTGGGAATCAGCGTGTTTTCACATGAGTAGAATGTGCCCTTTTATTTAAAATGCATCTCTGGGTTATTTGTGGGGCATAGGAATTCGTTCATTTCCCCCCTCCAAAAAAACAATACAGTCCGGCCCCCCACAAGGTCTGAGGGACAGTGGACCGGCCCCCTGCTGAAAAAGTCTGCTGACCCCTGGACTAGATGGACCTCATTCGGCAGTGAAATTCTGCTCTTAACTGAAGCCACGCGGAAGCACTTGCCAATCAAAAACAAAACGTAACCACTCCCCCCCCCCATTTTTTTCTTTTAGCCATCCCATGGAGTTATACTAAAGTGGGTTTCCATAATGCAGGAATGCTGATGGAAAGAGAGTCGCAAATAGACACCGCCTCTTGCGTCACTGACGAGCAAACTCTGACTCGCAAGCAAACTAGGCAGACACTCCGGACAGATGGAGTCCCTAGAAACCGTCTCTATTTACCCTGCGCTGGGCTCGGTATCTAGGCAGAGAGCATGCAACAGGAAAAGGAACTATTTGGAAAGAGGGGAGGGGAGGCCAGAGAAGCAAGGAACCAACTTCTGGGTTCTATTTCTGGGGTTAACATGTGCCGTGACCCTGGAGAAGCCAAACAGCGTTTAGAAAACGGGCTCTTGTCCCCCAGTCCCTGTAGCAGGAAACCCCACTCCCCATCATTCAGTTTGTACAAACTTCACACACACTCACACACTACATATGCTACACTTCTGTTATAAATTCATAGAAAATCAACCATACATCGGATTTGCACTGTTCCACTTTTATTTTACTCCATGAAGGACGGACTACAAAATGGGGAAGGTTTGATACAGGCCAGGCCAGCACATCCACAGGAGCCCTGCCCAGTTGCTATGCCAACCCTGATGGTCCTAGACAGAAGACAATCAAGATTACAAAGAACTTGCATATGGGAGTGGATTCAGCATGGACTGGAACAAAGGACAATGATCAGATCTTCCCTCAGGGGGCAGGAAACTGCGACTACCTTTCGTCTTCAGAAAATGACTCATGGGGAGGAGGAGAAGGGAACCAGCCAGGTGACAGGACACTCAGGTTACCACCACAACTCCTCCCTCAACCCCTCCTTTCTGTAATGTATGCATGATGTTTCTGGGGGTGGGCTTGACCTACAGGGTGGCAATTTCAAAAGTCTTTATAAGGCCTTGCACACCATTTTTCTGGGTCCTTCCTCTCTCCTGCAAGTGAGGGGAACACCCTGTTGCAACAGTTCAATAAAGGCCAAGCCTACAAGCTGCTGTTTTGCTCCAAGTTATCCTGGTTGGTGTCTTTGTTTTTGTCCAAGGGAGCCCTCGGATTTTTTCCGGTAGCATCCCCCGGATCGCTGGTGTTTTCAGAATCAAACAGTGGGTCACAAGGGTGGTTTGGATTGCTCCGTGTTTTTGGAAGAAAAGGCAGAAAGAGAAGGGAGGGAAACAGAGGAAAAAGGGGAAGGAGGATCGGATCTAAAGGAGGAGGGGCACAGCTTTCTTTCCAAGTGGCGCCAAGGTAGAGGTTTCGAAAGGTCTGCTACATGAATAAAGAAACTTGATTAATTCAAGTAGATTCCTGCCATCATCCGCCCCCACAAGTCAAGGAGATAAGTCGCTATACAACCTTTGGAAGACATCTGATGGCAGCCCCGTACAGGTGAAACTCGGAAAATTAGAATATCGTGGAAAAGTTCATTTATTTCAGTAATTCACCTTAAAAGGTGAAACTAATACATGAGATACTCATGGCATGCAAAGCGAGATATGTCAAGCCTTTATTTGTTATAATTGTGATGATCATGGCGTACAGCTGATGAAAAGCCCAGAGGTCCAATACTGGTCTATTTGCAATCCTTGTTTTGCTGATTTCATTTAATATTCTAATTTTCTGAGACTGTTAATTTGGGGTTTTCATCAGCTGTATGCCATGATCACCACAATTATCACAAATCAAGGCTTGACATATCTCGCTTTGCATGTCATGAGTCTATCTCATATATTAGTTTCACCTTTTAAGTTGAATTACTGAAATGAATGAACTTTTCCACGATATTCTAATTTTCCGAGTTTCACCTGTATAAGGATTTTTTAAAAAATGTTTAATGTTTTATTATGTTTTTATATAGGTTGGAAGCTGCCCAGAGTGGCTGGGGCAACCCACTCAGATAGGCAGGGTAATAATAATAATAATAATAATAATAATAATAATAATATTTCTGGAATAGGGTGTCCCTATTTTCATCGGAGAAATGTTGGAGGGTATGTGGGTTGTATCCAACCTCTCTGCCTCTTCTCTAGCTCCCCTGTGTAGAGAGGACAGAGAGAATCGTGCACATTTGTGGAGAAACAAGCCTACTGCCCAGAAGTGAAATTGATGTTTGTCGCCCCGCCCACTTTTTGTCCCTGGCTCCGCCCACCACTGGAATGTGGCCCCTGGAAGTTTGCGCAGAAGATAATGCGGCCCTCGAGCTGATAAAGGTTCTGCACCCGTCCTTTGCAGGCTGAGGCAGTGCCTGGACCTTAGGAAGACAGTCTAAATTTTTGTCATTGCAGAGACCCCAGTCTTTAGTACAGCCCTGCGGATTTTAGTAAGAGAATGCAATTCAACCAAGTAATCTGACATTTGTAATCTAAAGGACAGCATCCCATTAGGTAATAATTCAGAGCTGACCTACTAAAATTAATGGAAGTCAAATTACTTAAGTCTAGTGATTTCAATGGGGCTTCTCTGAGTATTAGTATTGGGAACCACCAAAAGTCTTCTTTAAAAACAGCAACCCTATTTGATGTTAGGTTAGATTTCCTTACTTCAGTTCTGCTCACCGGGGGTTTTCTTAATGGCCAATGCCTAAAACATGGGTAGGCAAACTAAGGCCCGGGGGCCGAATCCGGCCCAATCGCCTTCTAAATCCGGCCTGCGGATGGTCTGGGAATCAGCGTGTTTTCACATGAGTAGAATGTGTCCTTTTATTTAAAATGCGTCTCTGGGTTATTTGTGGGGCATAGGAATTTGTTCATTTCCCCCCCCCCTCAAAATATAGTCCGGCCCCCCACAAGGTCTGAGGGACAGTGGACCGGCCGCCTACTGAAAAAGTTTGCTGACCCCTGGCCTAAAGCATCAAACTGCACCTAAGCATCATTAGGAATTTATGGCTGAAGAGCGGCAGAGATATACAAGTCAAGAAAACATCTCCACCTCTGCCGTGATCTCAAGAGGTGGTTTCAGGCAACCTTCAGACCCCACCCCAGATCTCCAATAAAGGGGAGAAGAATGTTGGCTCGGTTTACATCAAAGTTCGAAATTCACCAGGCGCATTTTGTGCCTGGCTATCGGGATGCAGGTGGCGCTGTGGGTTAAACCACAGAGCCTAGGACTTGCTGATCAGAAGGTTGGCGGTTCGAATCCCCGCAATGACGGGGTGAGCTCCCGTTGCTCGGTCCCTGCTCCTGCCAACCTAGCAGTTCGAAAGCACGTCAAAGTGCAAGTAGATAAATAGGTACCGCTCCGGCGGGAAGGTTAATGGCGTTTCCGTGCGCTGCTCTGCGAGATGAGAGCCGCAACCCCAGAGTCGGCCACGTCTGGACCTAATGGTCAGGGGTCCAGGGGTCACCATATACTTTTACAGCTTATGGCTTTCTCAAAGAGGTATCCTGGGAACTATAGTTTGCAGAGCAGCAATTCCTGGCTCCCAGGATTCTTCGGAGGAAAACGTGAGCTTTAAACGCAGTGTGTGCACACAACTCTATTTCTCTGGGGCCTAACGAGTCTTTATTTTTATTTTTTAAATTAAAAACAAACTGGGAGAAGCCCATTTTCAGTCCACCTGCGTATCGTAAGCAATTTGGCGCTGCTTTCCTCTGCCCTGTCCACCATTCCTTTTGTGTCATGTCTTTTTTTTGGGGGGGGGGGGGGGTTAAAAGACCAGGGGCAGGGACTGTCATTTGTAAGACGCTCTGGAGCATTCTGGCTGATGGACAAGACAGAAATGCTTTGAATAAATAAATACACCAATTATTGTTATTGTGATCATTATTATTATTTTTAGCCTCCGCAAACTCTGCCTGCCCCTCGCCTGCCACTTCACAGCCCTGGTAGCGTGAAGATTTTGCTAAGTCAGGCATGAAGCCCGGCTCATATAACGACAATGAAAGCACAACTCTTTACAATCCCAAAAGATGTCACGTGGCTTTTAAAGTCTCGTTGCGGAACTCAAAAACATTTCCTCTGTTTTCCATTCAGCAAAAGGCTCCCCCCGCCGGCACATATACACACACTTTCATACACACAAACCGCCGCCAAAGAGGGGACTTTGCAAAGCACTTTTCACTTAGTAAGAAATCAAGTAAGGGCCAGTGGAAGGGAGGAAGGGAGAAGCCCCCTTGCAGAACGGCTGCTGTCGGCTCCAAGAGCCCCGTTTTGCAGCTGTTCCTGAAAGAACAGGCGAACCCTGCACTTAAGAGCAGACCCAGAAAAAAATCATTTTATTTTAGGGGCCGAAAAGTGGCTTGCACACTTCTCCGCCTCCTCCTTTAAGCCCCACAACCAGCCTGCGAGGTAGGTTAGGCTGAGGGAGGCAGTGACCGCCCCCCCCCCAAGTTCATGCCCCACGAGCTTTGTGGCCAAGTGGGGGAATTCGAACCCTGGTCTCTCCCCCCCCCCAGGATATAGTCCAGCGCTCTAACCACTGCACCACACTGCCTCTGGTCATTTGCCCCAGGTCAGCCCTGCCCATCAACTTCATCGGGTCCACTCTTGAGTATGACCAATGTTGGACGCAACTCTTTTTTCTTTTAAACAGCCCCCCCCCCCCAAAAAAAATTCCTCCTCCTTTCCTGAACATTGGTTTTTAAGGAAGATCGGGTTCGCGGGGTGCTTGGCTTGCATCTGTTGCTCTTTTTGAAAAACAAGCAGCATTAGAAAAAATAAACTAAAATAAAACAGCTCCATTTCAATTACTATAGAGAAGAAATGATTATTTTCCTTCTCCCTCTCTCTGCAACCCTCTCCCCCCGCCCCTGCCATCTGCCCTGGAACGATTGACAAATCAGCCTGACATATTTAGTGTGTTTTTAATGGGAGGAGGGAGGAGGGAGAGTCGTGGTGAGAGGGGGGGTGGCATTGTTTAGTTTGGGAAGCATTCTATCCGTTGCCGGGCAACCGGCCCCTGGAAACGGGAGTGGACTGCGTCACCCGGGGCAACCGTTGTTACTCAATAAACAATGCAGGGACCGGTGCAAACTCAGCCAGCGCTCCCGTTATTAATTGAACATCTGCATGTGCTTCTATCTCTACCCCCCCCAACACACCCCCACGATTAAAACTGGAAGAAAGCAGATAGGACTTTGAGGCTGGAGTTCGGGAGCGATTATCTCGGTGCCCGGGCGGCTGGCTCAAATTGATAATATTGTTGAATCCTCAAATGCACAAGTTCTCGTGTTGTTGTTTTTCCAGGGGATGTAGGGGGGGGCTTAAGCTCCTCCACCACCCCGTAATCCCGGGTGCCACCGGGGTGGTGGAGGAGATTAAGGCCCTTCCACGAGAGATCGCTGCTTTCGTTCCCTCCCCCCGGCGGTTTCAAAACTGCTGCAAAACAAAACTTTTGCTCTGCCTGAATCTTTCCAGAAAAGCCCCTGCGAAAAGATGGGCAGGCCTGACCTGCAAGAACGGCAGCTGCGATGCACGAAATCTACCAGCCCCTCCCCAAAAAACAAATCTGAAGTGACCTGCAAGAATTTCACCAACAGCCTCTTCTCAGAAGCATAACTACCAGGGAGCTGGGGCAGGAGGCGCCGGAAAAGGACGTAATGGTGCAGAACAAAAAGGGGGTGTGTGTGGTTACATCCAAGTGATCATTATTTATAGTATTATAATATGGGACGCGGGTGGCGCTGTGGGTTAAACCACAGAGCCTAGGACTTGCCGATCGGAAGGTCGGCGGTTCGAATCCCCGCAATGACGGGGTGAGCTCCCGTTGCTCGGTCCCTGCTCCTGCCCACCTAGCAGTTCGAAAGCACGTCAAAGTGCAAGTAGATAAATAGGTACCGCTCTGGCGGGAAGGTAAACGGCGTTTCTGTGCGCTGCTCTGGTTCGCCAGAAGCAGCTTAGTCCTGCTGGCCACATGACCCGGAAGCTGTACGCCGGCTCCCTCGGCCAATAAAGCGAGATGAGCGCCGCAACCCCAGGGTTGGCCACGACTGGACCTAATGGTCAGGGGCCCCTTTAACTTTACCTTAATATGCAATACTATCTATCTATCATAACACGGGTACGAAACTTCAGAGGTGCCTTTAGTTCTGGGATCTTCTGGGAACATTTATGCTTCTCAAGGCGGGGAGGGGCATATTAAAATACACCTCCCTCCAAGAGAGAGAGAGAGAGAGGGAGAAGAAATAAGGGGTCCTGGTGACAGCTGCGTCTTTCTAGCCTGTCTTGAAAGAGTTCTGCCATCAGACGCGAATCTCGAGTTTCCATCGCAAACCGTGAGTTTGCAGCCCTAGAATCTGCGAAGCGAAGCTTGGCGAATGGCGCCTTTGAACATGGAAAGAGTAGATTCCCCCTCACCAAACTGCGAGATGGCAGATAGATGCTTCTGGGGTTGATGGGTCTCAGAAGCGGGGGGTGGGACAGCACTGGATCCGGGTTTCAAAGAGCCCTTGGGCAAGGATTCCAGTACAGTGGTACCTCGGGTTAAGTACTTAATTCGTTCTGGAGGTCTGTTCTTAACCTGAAACTGTTCTTAACCTGAAGCACCACTTTAGCTAATGGGGCCTCCTGCTGCCACTGCACTACTAGAGCATGATTTCTGTTCTCATCCTGAAGCAAAGTTCTTAACCCGAGGTACTATTTCTGGGTTAGCGGAGTCTGTAACCTGAAGCGTATGTAACCCGAGGTACCACTGTATTCCCACTGAGCGATGACGGTTTTCTGCTTCATTGGAGAAATCCGTCCTTCGTGGGTGGTTTTTAAGCAACTGCTAAGATATGTTCGTGGGACGCGGGTGGCGCTGTGGGTTAAACCCAGAGCTTAGGACTTGCTGATCAGACGGTCGGCGGTTCGTATCCCCACAACGGGGTGAGCTCCCGTTCCTCGGTCCCTGCTCCTGCCAACCTAGCAGTTCGAAAGCACGTCAAAGTGCAAGTAGATAAATAGGTACCACTCCAGCAGGAAGGTAAATGGTGTTTCCGTGTGCTGCTCTGGTTCGCCAGAAGCGGCTTAGTCCTGCTGGCCACATGACCGGGAAGCTGTACGCCGGCTCCCTCGGCCAGTAAAGCGAGATGAGCGCCACAACCCCAGAGTCGGCCACGACTGGACCTAATGGTCAGGGGTCTCTTCACCTTTAAGATACAGTGGTACCTCGGGTTACACACGCTTCAGGTTACATCCACTTCAGGTTACAGACTCCGCTAACCCAGAAATAGTACCTCGGGTTAAGAACTTTGCTTCAGGATGAGAACAGAAATCGTGCTCCGGCGGCGTGGCGGCAGCAGCAGGCCCCATTAGCTAAAGTGGTGCTTCAGGTTAAGAACAATTTCAGGTCAAGAACGGACCTCCGGAATGAATTAAATTCTTAACCGGAGGTACCACTGTATAACCCTGTCTTAACATGGGACAACATCCCATTTTGCACCCCCCCCAAAAGTACATTCCAAGCCTGCCTTACACGTTGCAAATTATTTCCATTAAAGAACACCACCCAGCTGACTTTTAGATATGTGCTCAAGTCTCTTAAATGAATTTCCCCTCAAAACATACAACTGGGCGCCTTCGTTTGCCCCAGCTGCAACAAAACATGTCTCTCCTGCATCGGTCTCGACAGCCACAGCAGGCACACTGCTGCTGTCCAGCAGCGGGACCTCACCCCCCACAAAAGCGTGCTCCTCCGTTGTCTCCCGAGGAAGACGGATGCCAAACGACGACTTGCGTCTAAACGTTCGAGACCTGTGTCCCCTGCTGAATTCGGCAGAAATCTAATCTCTCATTACCCGAGAGGTGCAGATCGGTTTGTTTGCTTCGGGATTCGCAGAGGTCCAAGTCTTTCTGGCAACTCCAGAAAGAGGAGTGGCGCTCCTGCGTTCAAATCCCAGCTCAAGCAACAGTTGGGTGGGATGGCAAGGCAAAGGGCCCCCACAAACCTACGTCAGAGGCTCTGTGCTTAAAGGCTAAACCGAGGAGAGGATACAAAGAGCGAGAGAAGGCCAAGAGATGTAATCCGAACCCACCCTTCCACAGCCAGACGCAAGCCGCCCACTCCCATCTCCCGGCCGAAAACCTTGATGATTCGAGCGAGCCTGCTGCCTGGGTGGAAAGGAAATCTCCACCATCTCTCGTTGAAGCCCTGTGACACATTTCACCTCCACCAAGGGAGAAAAAGTCTGGAAAGCAAGGATGGCTAACCCACAGTTCACGTTTTCATCTAACCGAAAACTGAGTTGTTTCCATCTTGAGTGGGGAGCTGGTGTTTCTAAAGGAGTTTTTGCACCACAGAGAATCGCGACAGGTTCTACAAAGGCCGCTTCACAGGTGGCAGAAAAGGTTATATTTACCGTATTTTTCGCTCCATAAGACGCACCAGACCATAAGACGCACCTAGTTTTTGGAGGAGGAAAACAAGAGGGGGAAAAATCTGAATCCCAGAAGCCAGAACAGCAAGAGGGATCGCTGCGCGGCGAAAGCAGCGATCCCTCTTGCTGTTCTGGCTTCTGGGATAGCTGCGCAGCCTGCATTCGCTCCATAAGACGCTCACACATTTCCCCTTACTTTTTAGGAGGGGAAAAGTGAGTCTTATAGAGCAAAAAATACGGCATGTAAGCCACGACTGTGGCCCGTATTCTGTTAGCCCCCAAATGGAAAACGAGCGAGGTCCCAACCAAAGAAGAGTGGCAGCTTCAACGGACGGAATATGCGCAGCTTGCGGACGCAACGCACAGAATAAGAGAACAAGAAGAACATACATTTAAAGAAGATTGGGATATGTTTAAGGGGGGGAAATTGAAAACGTTGGCAACTTTATGATAAATTCAACAGCGTAAATAAGTTTTGATGGCTGCAGTAATGGAATACCGAATGGTTTAGTTTATATAAAATTTGCGGGGGTTTATGTTATGCAAAATGAACCATGGATAGAGAAGAAGGGAAGTTTTTGGTATTTTAAGGTTGTTTAAATGAATATTCGAAATTGTAGAACAGAAAATTTAATTATATATGTAGAAAAGCCACTTCAGCGGCAGCCAAGAGACACGTCACGTAGGACGTGTTTCAAAGTCGCAGAGACTCCCCACTCCTGGCAGAGAAAAGCTCTGGTATCAACCCACGATGCGCTGGCAAAGCGGCAACTGTCTGCGACTTCTGTGAGTTTTGTATACAAAGCAAAACACACACACACACACAAACACACATGCACAGACCACAAGGAGGAAAAATGCCTTCCTTAGTCCCAATTGTCATAGCTCAGCCTGTGTGTCCAAAATAAACAGAATGCCCCACCTGCCTGTGTCTCCATTTCCCTTCCCTCCCTCTGCTTCCCCCATGCCAAATTTTTAACTGGAAGCACCTTGGGGCAGGGATCTGCTCTACAGTATTCTGCAAAGCAGAAATTGTTCCGCCTGGCCTTTGGCTCGGAGTCAATTTGATTTCCTCCCCCTCTTTCTTTTTTCCTTTCTCCTCCTGTGATGAGGCTGCATTTTAATGTTTCAATGTTTTAATGATGTACTTTAATCTTGTTTTCAAGTTGTATTCATTCAACTTGTTTTTATTCTTGCTTGTTAGCCGCCCTGAGCCCGGCCTTGGCTGGGGAGGGCGGGTATAAATATAATTTATTATTATTATGTTATTAAAGCACCACGCAGCAAGGATGGGTGCCGTGTAAAGCAAAAACTACAAATCACTGCACGTCGCAATCCCCATAAAGGTTCCCCACCCCTTCCCACTATGCATGCGCCCAGTGGGAATGAGAGTTTGCCGCACATCAGATGCACAGGAAGACGGAAGCCAAATCTACATTTCCTTGTGAGTTTTGAAACAACAGGCACACCACAAATTTAAAGCATAGGCGCCAACTCCCTGGGGCCCTGGGAGCACCCACAAAATTCCCCATGACAACAAATTTCAGAGCCAAGGCCAAGCATACTGCACCCTAGGAACTGTAGCTTGCTCCTTACAGAGCTGCAACTCCCAACACCTTTAACAAATGATGGTTCCCCCAGGATGGAAGTCACGTGCTTTAAATGGAAGCTGTGGCTGTGACTGATCACTGATCTTCTGGGAAGCACTCCAATGCCTAGGTTAAAAAGGTAAAGGGACCCCTGGCCGTTAGGTCCAGCTTCATCTAATTTGGTAGAAAAAAAGACAGTCGCGGAACCGAGAAATTACACAAAACAAATGAAATACCGTGAAAATCCCTGGTAATCGACTAGAAATATTATCTTATAGAATTAAACTAAATAACAAAAAGTAGTTCGGTGAAACGAGGTTTGTAGCCGGCAGCCCGTTAAGGTTTTGTTCAATTCTAGGTTTTTCTAATTTTCCCCTTAAACTTTTTGATTTTTGTTATTTAGTTTAATTCTATAAGATAGTATTTCTAGTCGACTGCTTCTCGTTTCAGGGATTTTAATGGTATTTCATTTGCTTTGTGTAATTCATCTAATTTAGTGGCACAGGCTGGACCAGGCACAGACACAGAGGCAGGGATGGAACCTCACAAAACCAGGGCTTGGCGACTGAGAAAGTGAGCACAGTGTGTTTGTTTTGTTTTTAATAAGGTGGAGACCTAAAAGATTGTGAACACACGACAGCAAGCTCCAAGTAAAGGTCTTGGGAGGGATGGAGATGCAGCTGGAACACAAATCCTGCCATCCCTGACCTGAGACTGGGGGCTGATGGGAGTTGTATATTGACTGGGGGCTGATGGGAGTCCAACATAACAATGGAGGAGGGAGGCATCAGGTTCCTCATCCTTGACTTACAAGTCCATTCACTTTACACAGTTTTGTTTTGTTTTAATGTTCAGACAATGAAAGGAGACGGGGGATACCAAAAACGACAATTATGACTGCTTTACTAATTGAAAAGTCAGTACAGTAGATTCAAGGGATCTAGGAACCCCCAGAGGGGATCTAGGAGTCCACTGATGACAGTATGTTTGAGCCCCATTACAATGTGAATCTTCTAGCCTTCTGTAGTCAAGAAATGCTGTCAGACAGTTGCATAACTATGATAGATAGAAAGCAGCAAACTATGGCAAGTTCTTAAAGAAATGGGAGTGCCTGATCACATCATCTGTCTCCTGAGAAATCTCTATGTGGGACAAGAAGCTACAGTTTGAACTGGATGTGGAACAAATAATTGGTTCAAAATTGGGAAAGGAGTACGACAAGGCTGTATATTGTCTCTCTGCTTATTTAACATATATGCAGAATTCATCATGCGAAAGGCTGGGCTGGATGAATCCCAAACCAGGATTAAGATTGCTGGAAGAAATATCAACAACCTCAGATATGCAGATAACACAACTTTGATGGCAGAAAGTGAGGTGGAATTAAAGAACCTCAGCACAAATATGGTCTAAAGCTCAACATCAAAGAAACGAAGATCATGGCCACTGGTCCCATCACCTCCTGGCAAATAGAAGGGGAAGAAATGGAGGCAGTGAGAGATTTTACTTTCTTGGGCTCCATGATCACTGCAGATTGACAGCAGCCACAAAATTAAGAGACGCCTGCTTCTTGGCAGAAAAGCGATGACAAACCTAGACAGCATCGTAAAAAGCAGAGATATCACCTTGCCAACAAACGTCCGTATAGTTAAAGCTATAGTTTTCCCAGTAGTGATGTATGGAAGTGAGAGCTGGACCATAAAGAAGGCTGATCGCTGAAGAATTGATGCTTTTGAATTATGGTGCTGGAGGAGACTCTTGAGAGTCCCATGGACTGCAAGATGATCAAACCTATCCATTCTGAAGGAAATCAGCCCCGAGTGCTCACTGGAAGGACAGATCCTGAAGCTGAGGCTCCAAGACTTTGGCTACCTCATGAGAAGAGAAGACTCCCTGGAAAAGACCCTGATGTTGGGAAAGATGGAGGGCACAAGGAGAAGGGGACGACAGAGGACGAGATGGTGGGACAGTGTTCTCGAAGCTACCAGCATGAGTTTGACCAAACTGCGGGAGGCAGGGGAAGACAGGAGTGCCTGGTGTTCTCTGGTCCAGGGGGTCACGAAGAGTGAGACACAACTAAACAACTCAACAACAACAACAACAAGAATTGAGGGCACAGGCTGAATGAAGTACAGTGTCCTGGGGGGGTTAGAATTTTTGGCTAAAACCTTACAGAGAATTCATATCCCTTACTCATGATCTTGAGACGGGCTCAGTCTCTCAGCATGACCTACACCACATGGTTGTTGTGCAGGTAAAATGGGAGGCAAACATTACACTCACCACCACCTCGAGCTCTTTTGAAGGAAGGGCAAGATAAAGGCATAATTTAATCAACGACGTTTTCAGGCATCTCATGCCTGGCATGCAAGAATACCAACTTTATATGGTGAACAGATTGCGAAAGAAAATGAAGGAGGAGATTGAAAGAAAGTGGCTTAAGTGTAAACAATGGACACTAGGTCTTTAATTTATCAGCAATATGATTAACTATCACTGTTTATATTTCTTAATCGCTTTCCTCACAGAGTTACCCAAAGCAACTTACGTTAAAACCAATTAAGAACATCCAGGAGCAATGTAAAAAAGCAGATAAACAGGAAAAAACAAAAACAAATTCAGGACTTAATAGATCCCACCCCACGAAAAGAGGTGGAATTTTGCTCAAATTAAGGAGCAAAAAAGCCCAGATAAAGAAAAGAGTCTTTGAATTACAAGATCATATGAAAGAGCACAGGCAGTCAAGACAGCTCTGGAACCTGTTTCTAAAGAGCAGTGCTTTTTGCATGTTGCACATGCAAAGAAACCCTAAAGACAGGCGTGCGCTGGGCCAGGTGCAGAAACCCTCCCCGTGAAGAAAACTGCACACACGCAGGATTCAAAGGTCTCTGCTAGCAGGCTCCTCTCATTTCAGAAGTTCGCTTGCGATCCTAAGAGCACTCGCAGGCTCCCGGTTTTTCAAACTGGCCCACCAAGGCAGAGATCAGTTCTCTCTGGCAATTTTTTCTTTTCCATTAATAGATCTGTGCTTTGGTGCCCCTACGAAACAGGGCAGGGCTGCCTGTGCCCCGTCAGGAGTTGGTGAGGGCCGGTGCAGTTGAAATCCTGGAGAGAAACCGGTTCCTCATCCATGATGAGGAAAGGAATGAGAGGAACGAACCCCCTTTTCATTCGTGCTCCTCTCCAAAACAAAATCCAAACTATGTTTCCCTCGCTTTCCCTCCATCCCACTGTAAGTTTTTGAAGGGGGAAAACAATGTCTGGGAAGATGATGCTTCGGAAGGGAGCGCAAGCGAGGTAAATTAGGTCGTTTCTTAATAAAATGCAAGCAGAATCTATTTCCTACCCACCCTGCCCTTGGAGGTCCCATTCCTAATAAATAATAATACGTAAAATCAAGCAGATGATGGGAGACTCTTAGCAATTGCGGAGAGATGAGCGCCGCAACCCCAGAATCGGTCACGACTGGACCTAATGGTCAGGGGTCCCTTTACCTTTTAACATCCTTGGAAAATCAGCAGGCCCCCCCGTAATGGCACAGAGGCCTGCCACACAAGCTTAGAACTCCTTTAAACTGGCTCGGTCCATGTGAAAACCATGGCAGCAGGCTCTTTTAACAGCCTGGGGTCCAAATGGAAGCCCCCAGGAGAACGTTTCACCAGGGCAAGGAAGGCGCCGACTTCCTTTCCCGCACGTTCCAGCGTCGCGAAACCAGCAAGCTGGCCCCACCATCACAGGAAACCACACAGAGGAACTGCCCCCACCGCCTTCCTTGCAGAGAGAGAAATGTCACCAGAAAAAGGATGGGGGACGGGCTGGGCGGAAATGTTTTCAGCAGCTCCTAATCCGTTTCTGAGCCTTCCCTGGCTCCCCTGGTTCAGTGGGGGTTTCAGTTGCCGCATGTTGAAAGCAGGATCAGGGCGGCTGGGGAAGAGAGGCACCCGCCAAAACTTCTCCCAAACTCCCGTCGCAAACTTGAGAGAGAATCTCTCCCTTTTCAAATCTCTCAAACACTAGGGAACCTTCTGCTGTGTATTCATAAGCGATCTCTCATATGCAAACAAGGACTTGCCCAACATCCTGCTGTATATTTACAGCACAACCCCCTACCCAAGAAACCTGGGAAATGTTTACCCCTCACGGAGGTACAGTTCCACAGAGGCAAAACACCTTTAACTACAGATTTCAAGTTTATTGGGGTGCGATGGGGAGATGTGCTTTAAATGTGTAGGGATGTACACAACCTACATTTCCAACGGCAGCCCATCACAGGCTTAAATGCTACTTATTTTTAATAACAGGGACGCGGGTGGCGCTGTGGGTTGAACCACAGAGCCTAGGACTTGCTGATCAGAAGGTCGGCGGTTCGAATCCCCGCGACGGGGTGAGCTCCCGTTGTTCGGTCCCAGCTCCTGCCAACCTAGCAGTTCGAAAGCACAAAGTGCAAGTAGATAAATAGGTACCGCTCCAGCGGGAAGGTAAACAGTGTTTCCGTGTGCTGCTCTGGTTCGCCAGAAGTGGCTTAGTCATGCTGGCCACATGACCCGGAAGCTGTCTGCGGACAAACGCCGGCTCCCTAGGCCAATAAAGCGAGATGAGCGCCGCAACCCCAGAGTCGGTCACGACTGGACCTAATGGTCAGGGGTCCCTTTACCTTTACCTTTATTTTTAATAACACGCTGTTCTAGAAAAGAACATGCAAGTTTACCTAAATGCATTTGGCAGCAAATGTTCCTTTAACCGGGCAACATCCCTGCTGAAATCTCTTCCGTTTATGCAACTTGATAAAGGCATGGAGGGAACTGTCTGCTCCTCAGCAACTCATTAGAAACGGGCTGCCTCTGGACTTGGGAGATTCCATTTCACCATCATGGCTAAAAGGCCACTGATAGATCTGATACCTCGGTCGGTTGAAGCGTGGTGCTGCAAACACCCAAGGTTGCAGGTTCGATCCCGGCCTTCGTATGTGTGTTTCTGAAACTATTTATTTCTACCTTGCTTTCCATTTAAAAATAAGACCTTCTGCTTTTGGAAGACTGACCCCTCAACCCATGGCATCACTTCATAAAGATGTACGCAGCTCATGCAAATGGCATGGAGATTCAGCTTCACTCTCAGTGACCAACATGTGCCTGGGCTGTTTGCAGGTGAGGGCCAATATGCTATCAAACTCTCTGGATCAGGCAGACCGGAAGACAATAAGTCCCGCCAATGAGATTTATGAACTGGGAAGTTCAGATTACTTAGCATCATTCTGCCCGAAAGACCTTAGATCTGAGCTCTGCGACAGCTCAGATAACTTGTCAATGTTCTGCTTGCAGTACCTTAGATCTGAGCAACAGCAGCTCAGATTATTTAAGCCAGGTTTGCATTTATGAAGGGAACAGAAGTCTCATCAAGGATTCTGATTTAACGTAGAAACCAAAGCTCTGTATTTATTTGATTTCCCGCCAGTCCTTTTGACATAAAATCCCAGGGCGAGTTAAAACAATATATCTGATTTCATGCCTATCGATCCAGGGCAGCCCAAACTTGAAAAAGTCAGCTGCTTTGCTGATGTGAATTTGGGCTAAGGTCCACTCCAAGTCGAGGCGCCGAGAGATACGGCAGAACAATTAGAGGGCAGGCTCAAAGTGTCCCAGCACAAAGACGGAAAGGAAGACATGGTTTTGCGTATCCGAAATACAATCTCCAATCAGGAGAGGTTCTGCTCTCTGAGCAGCAAGCCCTGGCACGCCAACCAGACTGAAATCAACTCCAGAAGGAATGTTAGCCAGACTTTAACTGCGCTGGCATTTGAGACTTGAGAGGGGAGTGGACGTTTTAAATATATCTTGGCAGCCATCGGAAAGAAACCCTTCGCTGAACAGGAAGATAAAGCCAGCCCACCCAGCTGCATATCTTGCCGCTTGTAAAATGCCGTTGGGTCTGGAGTAGATTTGACGACGGAGGAGCCTGAAGACCGAAATGTTTAATCAATGAGTTCTGAAAGGAGGGCAGAGCTATTAAAGTTTTGTAAATTCCTCCCCCGCGATCCCTCTCCCGCCCTGCAAACGGCAGCAAAAGAAAGTGGTTTTATTTACCGTATTTTTCGCTCTATAGGACGCACCAGACCACAAGACGCACCTAGTTTTTGGAGGAGGAAAACAAGAAAAAAATATTCTGAATCTCAGAAGCCAGAACAGCAAGAGGGATCGCTGCGCAGTGAAAGCAGCAATCCCTCTTGCTGTTCTGGGTTCTGTGATAGCTGCGCAGCCTGCATTCGCTCCATAAGACGCGCACACATTTCCCCTTACTTTTTAGGAGGGGAAAAGTGAGTCTTATAGAGCAAAAAATACGGTATTTCACACACGCAGGTTTGGCCTCTGATGCAAACTCCAAAATCCGCACCAAGGAAGTAGTTTTATGCTCGCTGAATAATTCATCGTGTTTCTACGGTTTGTTACTTTTAGAAGGAAATGGCATTTTCTGGCAAGCAGCGCCGGGATGCTGACGATAGCTACTAACGCAATTTGTAATCCAGGGTGTAGCAGGCTGCAAATGTCTCAGTTAAGTAGACCCTGCAAGTTGATTCATATCCCTCAAAAGCAGGGATGGGGAGGGGGCGGATAAATTCTAATAATTTGAAGCAGCCACCCAGGAATTTGAAACATTCATTCAGGCCTGGAGCTTGGAAATCTGGCGATGGCGCCTAGGAATTTGAAAGGTTTTTTTCTCTTTCCTCCTCCCCATTCGTCCCTGATGAAGGAGAACGATAATTGGACATTTTGTGCGATGCTTATATCTGTGTAAGTCGATTGCTATGGAAACGACCTGGTCCTTACCCTGTTACTGCAAAGGTTTAAACTCCATGACGTTAACTAGAATTTCTCTTGGATTCTGCTTAGCCTTACCTCGCCTTGCATTAAAACTGTCACACTGTTCTGCGAAGCAAGAATCCGATCTGAAAAGGATCTTTAAACATGCAAGCAAGAAACCTATTTGGGGGGGGACGGGACTGATTCAGTCTGATCTTTAATATATATTTAATAAAGCTTTAATATTCAACAAGGAACTATAAATCAGTAAACAGAAGACAACCTCTGCTCCCAAGCCTATACACCTCCAGTTCAGCCACGACCCCCGATTGCCGCAAGCAAAGAGAAACGAGAAGAGATAAGTCAAGGCAAGTGAGCCAAGCCACACACAGTTTTGTGAAAATAAAGCTGTTCTTCTGGATCGCTCCAGCTGGAATTAACTAAACAAGGCACACAGACATGAGAGCATTACGATTCCAGACCTGCGAAAGTCCAGGTTGTCGTGGCCGTTGCTTTTGTAAACGACAGAGCAATTTTTAGGCTGTTTATAAATAAATGGGTGGAAAGTTTATCGGAGGATTATCGGAGAAAGCGAGGGGGAAAGACTGAAAGTAAAAGTTAAAGGAACACAACTCTTCCTTTAGTTTTTCTTTTCCAAAGTTGCTGGCTTTGAAGCTCTTTTCAACATTTTGCAAACCACTTTGGGAAACCTTATACCTGAAAAGCAGGGGTGGCAAAGATTTAAAAGAGAGATGGATAACGGTACAGAGGCTGCTGTAAAGAACGGGACAGAATAGAAGACGAGATCAAAGAGAAATTGCAGTAGCTGACATCCATGGAGAGCAATTTTTTTTTTTTGCAATGCCGGTTGCTGAACTGTTGTTGCAAAGGAAAAGCAATTACTGACAGGTGTGGGGTGTGTGGGGAACGCATGTCTAGCCTTGCCAAAGAGTGGCCTTCCCATAGCTGACTACTCAGGCAGATTGGGAGCCAAAGGATGACAGGGCAGACCCTCGCTTAATCTGGATTTCGTGGGGCCACCATTTATTTATTGGAGTTTCCTGGGGTTTCAGGTCTCTGCCGCATTCGCCCTCCTCCAAAAAATAAATAAATAAAATAAAAGTACAGCCAACTTCTTACTGCACTCATCTGGAATTGCCTAAGATTCCACACACACACACACACACAAACCAATCCGGAGTCACACCAAATCGGAGTCGTTGCTGCAGAAGCGGGTTGCTCTGGAGCGCCGCCGAACCTGAATCGCTCTCTTTCTTCTTGCAGTTCGGTGGCCGAGCGCACGGACTGCATGCAGGAGGTTCCAGGTTCGAGTCCAGGACGCTGCCAGCCAGTGCAGGCAATTGTGAGCCTCAGGTGGAGAAATGGAGCTCTTGTTCTGGACAGATCGGCTTCTTCTAGTTGCAAACCGCACCTTCCTGCCCTTTTCTTTGAGTCCAGAGTTGCCTGGGGCAACCGGGCTCCCGTTAGCGGCTTCACCCCTAACTCATCCCCCCGAATCCGGAGCCACTCCGAATCAAAAACCCATCTTTACAACAGAACAGAGCGCCACTCGGCTTGCTCTCATCCGAAACCGGGCTCACTCCAGTTCCCATTTCCCCCAGCGGGAACGCTAAGAATAAAAAACTTTCCCCGAAGTTCCCTTCCCTCCAAACTCGACGTCACTCCGGATTCGCCGCCTGCTGCAAAGGCGACCCCCCCCCCACACACTTTCCCTTTCTCTCAAGCGCGCACACGCCCACCCCCAGCTCCCTTCTGGTGGGCTCCCCCACCCCTCCCCGCCTCCCGCCCATCCCCCGATCCGGAGTCACTCCGGATTCCCCCGCTCCTCCGAAGAGGCGCCCTCCGCCGCTCGCGAAACTCGTCACCGCGGCGTCACTCCGGCTCCTCCTTCCCGTCCGGGGAGCGGGGAGAGCTCTCCCTCCGCCCCCCGCTAATCCGGAGTGACTCCGGAGTAGAACCGGGGCGAGGGGGGAAAGGAGCTCCCCCCCCCCGGGCAGGCTTACCTGGGTGACTCCCCGGCGCCTCCAGGCTCCCCTCAGGGCTGCGCGGGGCTCCGGCTGCGTGAGGCGGCGGCGGCGGCGGCGGCTCCCGTTGGCAAGTAACCGTCTCCAGGGCTACAGTCACTATGGCGCCTCCTCGCGCGGGGTTTCGAGGCAACTGTTGCTAGCCTCCCGCGTGACGTCGGCGCCCGGGCCACGCCCACGCCGCCCGCGCCCCGCCCCCTCGAGGCCGCGGAGGGCGGAGCTATCCTCCCCCTCCCTCCCTTGCTCTCTCTCTCTCTCTCTCTCTCTCTCTCTCTCTCGAGGCCTACCCTGGCGCTGATTGGGCAGCCGCGGCGGCCAATGGGAGCGGCGCTCCTCGGGGAGGAGGAGGAGGAGGAGGAGCGGGGAGGGGCGGCGGGCTTCTGAGCGCGTGCAGAGCGCCAACCGCTTCCACGCTATTTATTTCGTTTTCCTTTCTCCACCTACCCTCCCATCCCTTCCAGGCTTTTTGCTTTATTTTATTTCCTCCCCTACTTTCCATGTCATTTATCTTATCTTATCTTATCTTCCACCCTTCCCTACCTTCCATGCTATATTTTTTTTATTTTTTATTTTTTTTATTTTATTTTATTTTATTTTATTTTATTTATTTTATTTATTTTAATTTTTTTTATTATTTTATTTTATTTTATTTTATTTTATCTACCACTTCCATAGGGACGCGGGTGGCGCTGTGGGTTAAACCACAGAGCCTAGGACTTGCCAATCAGAAGGTCGGCGGTTCGAATCCCCGCGATGACAGGGTGAGCACCCGTTGCTCGGTCCCTGTTCCTGCCAACCTAGCAGTTTGAAAGCACGTCAGAGTGCAAGTAGATCAATAGGTACCACTCCGGCGGGAAGGTAAACGGCGTTTCCGTGCGCTGCTCTGGTTCGCCAGAAGCGGCTTAGTCCTGCTGGCCACATGACCCGGAAACTGTACACCGGCTCCCTCGGCCAGTAAAGCGAGATGAGCACCGCAACCCCAGAATCGGCCACGACTGGACCTAATGGTCTGGGGTCCCTTTACCTTTACCTTTACCACTTCCATGCTATTTATGCATTTTGTTTTGTTTTATTTTAGTTCCTCTCCCACCCTCCCCCTACCTTCCATGCTATTTATACATTTCTTTTATCTTTTTAAAAAATATTTATTAAATTTTATTAAGTACAAAACAGAAAAAATATACAAAGAAATAAAGAAAATACATGTAATCAAGGAGAAAATAGAAAACATTTTACCACTTCTCATGCTTATAATTATTTACACCTCTATAAAGCAATTTTATCTTATCTTATGGCCTCTCCCACCCTCCCCTACCTTCCATGCTTTTTATTTTATTTTATTTCCTTTCCCACCTTCCCCTACCTTCCACGCTATTTATTCGTGTTATTTCCAGAATACTGGAAAAGGTAGCCCCACCTTGTGCCGAACAACCCACAATAAATGAGATAAATGAGACAAAGGCCATTGGCTACAAGTTATATAGAGAGAGCCTCCACATTCAGAGGCACTCTACCCATGAAAGCCGTAGGAGAGGGGGAAGAAGGCAAGGATAAAGGGGGAAAACCTGGAGTTTTACCGGACATTTGAGAGGGGCTCCAGGCAACGTATTTAATTTCCTGTACAGAGTCCCAAGGCATTGTGGGAATTCATGTCGCAGCTGGGCCAAGGTGCTCCGCGTTGCTCAGCGCATCAAGGCCACGAGGCTGGAGGCTTGCGCATGAACAGGAAGGAAGGAAGGATAGATTAGTCAAGAGTGCAACTTGCTGAGCCGGCATGTAGCTTACGGGGCAGACATTGTCAGCTGCAGCAAAAGCAAGATCCTTAAGTCCTCTTTAAAAAGATCAATGCATTTATTATGGCTTAAGCTTTGCAGATCAGAGCATTCGCCTTTATCTGTGGCCCTGGAAATAATTGCATTAAATCATCCCATGCGCTCTGCCATGGGTAGGCAAACTAAGATTTATTTTTTTTGGAAGCCGCCCAGAGTGGCTGGGGAGGCCCAGCCAGATGGGTGGGGTATAAATAATAAATTATTATTATTATTATTATTATTATTATTATTATTAGGCCCCGGGGGCCAGATCCGGACCAACCACCGTCTAAATCCAGCCCGCGAACGGTCTGGGAATCAGCATGTTTTTACATGGGTAGACTGTCCTTTTATTTAAAATGCATCTCTGGGTTATTTGTGGGGCATAGGAATTCGTTCATCTCCCCCCCCCCAAAAAAAATATGGTCCAGCCCCCCACAAGGTCTGAGGCACAGTGGACCAGCCCCCTGCTGAAAAAGTTTGCTGAACCCTGCTCTTTGTGAATCAAGACTGCAGGCCGGCGTCCCTGCACTCCGGTTGAAAGCAAGGGACTGTTGTGTGTGAACGTCTGCCAGTGTGTGTTCGGTAGATATAAACAGGGATTTTTGTGCGTCTGTACTCACTGGGACACCCCGCAATGACGGGGTGAGCTCCCGTTGCTCGGTCCCTGCTCCTGCCAACCTAGCAGTTCGAACGCACGTCAAAGTGCAAGTAGATAAATAGGTACCACTCCGGCGGGAAGGTAAACGGCGTTTCCGTTCGCTGCTCTGGTTCGCCAGAAGCGGCTCAGTCATGCTGGCCAGATGACCCGGAAGCTGTAGTTCGGCTCCCTCGGCCAGTAAAGCGAGATGAGCGCCGCAACCCCAGAGTCGGTCACAACTGGACCTAGCGGTCAGGGGTCCCTTTACCCTTTACTCACTGGTACAAAGTAAAGTCCCCTCTTTTTCTTCCGCAAATGGCAGCCATTTTGCATTGGCACCCATATCTCCATTCATTATAGACAAGCACCAACAACAGCAACAGAAAGGACTTGAGCGATTTACTATGCGTTTTTGGAAAGCAGCGCGCTTGGACATCTCTTGAAAGGCCACCACCAAACCTGGCGAGAGAACAGCAGTTCTCGATGTTTGGATGGGGTGGCAGCTGTCGTTTCAAACCAAGGTGCTAATCCGAAACATGACTTGGATGCGACTTACGTCTGATTTTTGACGCAACGGGTCCAAATTGCGCCAATTTCGAACTCAGCAGGAGGGTTCCTCGTGGAATTTGTGTTGACGTTGATCCAGTGGCCGCCATTTTGAATCAAGATGGCGGACCAAAACCTGTGCTTGGTACGAATTTCACCAGTTGGCATGACAGGCCCTAATTGCGCCAACATGTAGGCCTCTAAAGATATCCCCGCACATTTTGACATCACCGCACCCATTTTAGGTCCAAACTGCGCCAAATTGGAGCATTCTGAAGGTGTGGTTGCCCAGTTTGACACGATGGGTCGCAATTGTGTTGGTTTTGGATGCTTCTTAAGATATTGTTGCCCAAGTTGCCACAACAGTTCCCAAGATCGAGGCAGTGGTCTTTGTCCACGTTTGGGTGCCATTTTGAATCAAGATGGTGGACCTAAAGATGACTTTGGTCCAGAAGCTATTTGCGTTCTGCCCTGTTCTCTGTTCGGCTCAAGGGAAGTAAAGTGTCAGGGAACTGACATCGGAGCCAGAGGCGGAGGCAAGGCTCCCAAGTGATGCTGGAGAAGGGCCCAGCAGGGAGAGAGGCAGCTCATCAGCTGGGGAAGGAAATCAGCGTAACACCAGGGATAAAGGGGGGCAGATGGGGGAATCAGCGAGGGGGCTCCAGGACTCCTCGCTGGAGACCAGCGGGGAGAGCACGGGTCCTCCGCTACCCACACCCTCCCTGCGCAGAAGACTTCCGCGCAGGGAGAGTAGGAGGAGACTTGGCGTCAAACAGCTTTTATGCTGGAAAAGGTTTAAGAGACGCCCACTGACGGATTCTGCTAGCGACTGAAACAGCCACGAAGTGAAGGGCTGTCCGGACAGGAAAGGTTTAACCAAGGAACCTAGCCAGGAGTGGCGGCAACTTACGCACGAGCAACCCCTATTATTATTACATAAATCTATTGAAATGCAAAGTACTGATAAAATAGCCAATTAAAACTTCACACCCACAATGCAGCAAATGTTTCATTTAAAAAAAAAACAACAGCCCAGACAACTTAAGTCCAAGGTGTTTGCTTACTAAGAAGCAGTACCCTTTAAAACCGGAGAAGACGCACTAAGGAGCAGTATTATTTAGGAGAAGAACGAAAGCGAAAAACAAAGGCCAAGACTTGAGATATTCAGAAATTTTATTAAACACTCATTCCAACAGGGCAGGAGAGGTGTACATAAACCTTCGGCTCATAGCAAACATTGTCTTTTTTTGAGGGGGTACAAAAGGACCCTCTCCCGCCCCGCTAATTTAACCCCAATACATTCAATTGCAAACATGATTTAACCGTAACACCAAATACCCAGTGCCATTTACATTCCGGAAGTATTTTCTTTGGACGTCAACAGCTCCTCGCTTTACCCCCAAACACCTCCTTCTATCCCTGCACGGGCACAACTCACTCTCTCTAAAAAACCAAAACAAAACAAAACCCAAACACCCTACAACAATATACCCCCATAGGCTATTATTTCTCAACTCTGCGGCACACCAGAACATATTGTGTCCCTCCATGACGAGGTTTAACAGCTTCAGCAAAAACAAGAGGCATTGGGGAGCAAATATCTCCCAGAATTATTTTGCTTACATCTGTAGTCAAGTTAGCAAGCACAGGAAAAAAGGAGAGGGAAATAAAACTATAAACAACAGGAACCAGCCCCAGAAAGCTACACGGATGTTCCCTCAACCTGGCAACGCTTGTGGCATGATTGAATGGGCACAACTTTCAGATAAAGAGTTTTAGAGTCTGTTCTCGCATGCCAGGAAGTCCCATGTGCTCATTTCCCCCAGAGGGCAAAAAGCATGTTCACAGGCAAGGATTTTCCAAGAGCCCACAACCTTCCAACGTTTCCTCGGTGGCGCAGGAGGAACCGCTAAAATCTGGTTGCCAGGAGGACAGGGGAAACATTCGTAAGAGTCGCTGCTGCCTGTGTTTCTGTGGAAAAGGCTCCACGCGAACGGATTCTACAGCCAAGCCTCACCAAGTGAACAGACTCCAAAGTATAAATAATAATAATAATAATAAGGATTTTAGTGAGTGCACCGGATTTCCTTTTATCCACACGTGAAAGACATCTGTGGTTGTTTCTCGGTGGGTCGTGGGTCTCTGTGGGAGAGGGTGGGGGAAAGCTCACACAACTATAAAGTTGTGCCGCGTTTCACCAACGAAGAAAGGAAGTCGGTTCAGTGGGGAGATGGTTTCACTGCAACTCCCGCCAGCCGCTTGCTAGAATAGAATTCTGTTTAGACCGTGGGGACAGGCGATGCTGCCATTATTTGCACGTCTAAACCACAGGGTTCCTCCCCCACCCCTGCAAGGCACAGTTAGGGGACAAAAACCACACTTTCTGTACATTCAATTTCAAGAAAGGGTGAGGGTGGGTTGTGGAAGACACAGACGTGGCAGAAAAGGCCGAGGGACCTTGCCCGGGTGCAAAGCCACAAGAGCAGGCAGGAGCCCTGTGCCAAAATGGGGTTCCAAAACCAAGCCCAGGAAGAGTGAGGGAGAGACAGAAAAGCAGAGAAGGCCACTGGTGTTTTGCAGCCAAAATACTTGGCTTTGGAAGGGGTGGGAGGGACAGGGAGCAACTGGCGAGGAGAGAAACCAAGCTGAATTCGGGGAGCTGCCTTTATTGAAACCTTGTTTTTCAATAAGGGTAGAGGAAAGAGGAGCGAGAGACGGCGGCGCTTCTCTTTCCATATGAAGACGGTCCGTGCAGCGAAGATTGGACTTCTGATAGAGGCAGGCCGGCGGGTATGCATTCCTCCGGCGATCGTTAGGTGTTCGTTTAGTCCGCGTAAAGCTGGTCTATTTGCTGTTTGTACATCTTGGCGACCACGGGCCTCTTTAGTTTCATCGTGGGGCCTGGAAACAAGAGAAAGAGTGTTAGGATCTGTCCAGAAAGGCTGGAGAAAACACGAGGCTTCTCCGAAGAAAGTCCAGGTTCGATTCCTGGCACCGTCTCCAAGGAGCTTCCTGGATAGCTCAGGTGGTTCAAATTGTTGCTGATAAGGCCAAGGTTGCAAAGGGACACGGATGGCACTGTGGGTTAAACCACAGAGCCTAGGACTTGCCGATCAGAAGGTCGGCGGTTCGAATCCCCGCGACGGGGTAAGCTCCCGTTGCTCGGTCCCTGTTCCTGCCCACCTAGCAGTTTGAAAGCACGTCAAAGTGCAAGTAGATAAATAGGTACCACTCCGGCGGGAAGGTCAACGGCGTTTCCGTGCGCTGCTCTGGTTCGCCAGAAGCGGCTCAGTCATGCTGGGTACATGACCCGGAAGCTGTACGCCGGCTCCCTCGGCCAATAAAGCGAGATGAGCGCCGCAACCCCAGAGTCAGCCACGACTGGACCTAATGGTCAAGGCGTCCCTCTACCTTTTTTAAGGCCAAGGTTGCAGGTTCGATCCCCGGAAGGGACAAGCTTGCATATTTCTTGGGGTTGGACTGGATGATCGTGAGGGTCCCGTTTTAAACCCTGGGCAGCGGCTGCTACTCAGTGAAGACCAGGGGCTGCCAACCCCACTCCACCCAAAAACTACTTGGGAAGTTTGCTGATGCGTCTTGGAGGACCATTCCTTCATTTACCCATTTCAGAATTTTTAACCTTCTGTAGTGTTTTTTCATAGTATCAGGACCCCCGAGGGTAATCCAATCCAGCCCATTGCAAAGCAAAACAGTAACTAAAGATTTATTTACGCATGCAACAGCAGCAGCCAGAACCTTGCATATGCAGAACTGGAAAGAAGAGAAAACACCAACAAAAGAAGAATGGATTTTAAAGCAGAAACTAAGAGCATAAAAAGGGAAGCGGGTGGCGTTGTGGGTTAAACCACAGAGCCTAGGACTTGCCAATCAGAAGGTCGGCGGTTCGAATCCCCGCAATGACGGGGTGAGCTCCCGTTGCTCGGTGCCTGCTCCTGCCCACCTAGCAGTTCGAAAGCACGTCAAAGTGCAAGTAGATAAATAGGTACCACTCCGGCGGGAAGGTAAACAGTGTTTCCGTGCGCTGCTCTGGTTCGCCAGAAGTGGCTCAGTCATGCTGGGTACATGACCCGGAAGCTGTACGCCGGCTCCCTCGGCCAGTAAAGCGAGATGAGCGCCGCAACCCCAGAGTCAGCCACGACTAGACCTAATGGTCAGGGGTCCCTTTACCTTTAAGAAAACTACAGAGCATAAATAAGAAACCAACACGATGGACTATGCATGGAAGAATGAAAGCCCCTTTTGGAATATCTGAAAAAATACCGTAATCAGATGAAATCACGAGTAGGATTTGAAATACTGATAACATATGAAATAGAGGGATATTTCTTAGGGGAAATGTTTACAAGAAGGCAGGATGTAAATGGGTTGAGAGGTAAAAGGTAAAGGACCCCGGACGGTTAAGTCCAGTCAAAGGCGACTTTGGGGTTGCGGTGCTCATCTCGCTTTCAGGTTGAGGGAGACAGCGTTTGTCTGCAGACAGCTTTCTGGGTCATGTGGCCAGCAGGACTAAACCACTTCTGGTGCAATGGGACACCGGGACGGAAACCAGAGCACACGGAAATGCCGTTTACCTTCCTGTCACAGCAGTACCTATTTATCTACTTGTACTGGCGCGCTTTCAAACTGCTCAGGGGTCAGCAAACTTTTTCAGCAGGGGGCCAGTCCACTGTCCCTCAGACCTTGTGGGGGGCTGGACTATAATTTTTTGTTTTTTTGGGGGGATGAACGAATTCCTATGGCCCACAAATAACCCAAAGATGCATTTTCAATAAAAACACACTTTCCATTCATGTAAAAACATCAGGCAGGCCCCACAAATAACCCAGAGATGAATTTTAAATCAAAGGACACATTCTACTCATGTAAAAACACGCTGATTCCCGGACCATCCGCGGGCCGGATTTAGAAGGCTATTGGGCCGGATCTGGCCCCCAGGCCTTAGGTTGCCTACTCCTGTGCTAGGTTGGCAGGAGCTGGAACAGAGCAACGGGAGCTCACTCCGTCGCGGGGACTCGAACCGCCGACCTTCTGATCGGCAAGCCCAAGAGGCTCAGTGGTTTAGACCATAGGGCCATCTGCGTCAGGGATAGGAAGTAAGAACAGCCTGGAGTGCTTAAGTTTAAAGAGAAACATAACAAATGTGGAACTTGGAATACGTATGGTAAGATTTTAAAGTTCAATAAAAACGCGACTACTGAAGGAAAAGGATACCAGCTTCACCCACTCACCCAGTTCTCCGCCTGCGATGGAAAAATCTTTGTCTAGCAGCACCCACTTTTGGATTTTTTGAGCGTTCGAAGTGGCTCGTTCGTTGACGGACGTGACCCCTTTCTGAATGGCGCTGTACACCGCCGGGTCTTTGTTGTTCACAATGTCGGACACTTTGGTGGCCTTGCTGCCCAGTTTATGGCAGAACTCGATGGCTTGAGGCGTCAGCGCATCTTCCGGGTCTCCGGTTTCTAGGTTCACCATGCACTGGAACGGGAGAATTCAAAAGGAGCGGCGCAGGTGCGTCAGCCAACACAGGAGGCCACAACGTGGACCAAGGTCCTTTCCACGCATCTTTCCAACCCAAGTTCTGCTGAATTACTGGACTGAAGAAGTTAGGCCACATTCTCCCCCTCTCAGAGGGAGAAGACAAGGGAGCAGAATGAGGAGGAGGAAGTTGAAAGAGTGACAGGGCTTCGGGAGAAGGGAGAGTCTGTGGCAGAGAGCAGTGCAGAAATCAGGCTGGAGGAAAGGGGAGCCAGGAGACAAGAGATGAAAGCCAGGCGGTCTCCCCCTCCTGCTCCCTTCCCTGCTAGTCTCCCAGAACCAGAAGAGGTGTGAAGAGGGTGTAGTACAGACAGACACGCTGGCAGAATCTCAGATCGCTTGGGAAGGACCCAGGAGAAGCACAGCCAGTTGTGGGAAGACACAGTCGCTGCAACTTGTTAGGATTCCTGCTCTACGACTGCAGTCATGGGATTCTTGTCTATCACATGACGGTGTATGTTTTGACTCCACAGCGTGGGAAGTGACGGAGACAGGATGTTTGTGTTACTGTGTTCCGTGAAGTGGGACTCTTGTCCTTTGTTCTTTTTCTCTTTGCTGTCTGATGCTAGAGAGAGAGGGAGCCATGTTGCAGTGCTCCGTGTGTGTTTATATGTAAATAAAGTAGATCAGCCAAAACGCTGAGTTGCTGAGGTCTGTTACGAAACTCTGCGGATCCCTAAGTGTGCCGGTGTCGGTTGGCATCGGTCGCTGTGATGTTCGGGCTGAAGAAAGCTTATGAAGCTCCCAAACGATTGACCAGGAGGGAGAGAACATGCCAGTTCGGCATGTGTCTCTGCCAGGGGCCTACTCGAGTGTAGGCTGAACTCCTGACACAACTGCCTTGGGGAGGGGGGAGGCAAGATCTACAGGAAAGAGTTGCTGCGCTCTCTATGTCTGCGCTGTGCTGAATAAAGAGTCAACTTCATGAACAGCTTGCTATAAGAATTTTAAGGTCTCAAATATAGAATAAGTATTCATAAATGCACACACATATCTAAATATATGAACCACGTGTCTGAAATAGTACAGAAGAGCCATCCTGAAGCCATTTTGACTCTCCCAGTGACCTCAAATATTCCTCTGCAGAAAGGGAGGCAAATGGGGAAAGCCTTCCCATTGCCTTTTCGCTTGCAAATCCTGTCTTAAGGGCGTATTTGTGTATGAACAGGGTGAGCCTGTGACCTGGACTCAAGAATGGCCGGGCTGCCCAGTTAATGCCATCAGTGACCATTATCAGGTATCCTGGCAGGCAGGATTTCTGCTGTAGACTGCTCCCTTCTGTGATGTATGTATGATGTGTGTATTTTTTGGGGGGGTGGTGGTCTTGGGGAAACAATTTCAAGAGTCTATACAAGGGCTTGCACACCATTGTTCTGAGTTCCTCCTCCCTCCTGCGTGTGGTGAGTGGGGACCTTGTTGCAAAAGCTTTAATAAAGATCAGGTTTACTAGCTGCTTTGCTTCTCAATATTCTCTGGTTGGCCTCTGTTATTTCCTCCTACTGATAGGGAATCCACTTGCGGACTCTATATGGGCTCCGGAATACCCCGTAAGGGTATCCCTAATCTGGCACACCGGTCAGTTTAATCTGCCCCTAATAATAATAATAATAATAATAATAATAATAATAATAATTTATTATTTATACCCTCCCCATCTGGCTGAGTTTCCCCAACCACTCTGGGCGGCTCCCAATCAAGTATTAAACAGTACAGTGTTAAATATTTAAAACTTCCCTGAACAGGGCTGCCTTCAGATGTCTTTTAAAGATAGGACAGCTGCTTATTTCCTTCACATCTGAAGGGAGGGTGTTCCACAGGGAGGGCGCCACTACCAAGAAGGCCCTCTGCCTGGTTCCCTGCATCTTCACTTCTCGCAATGAGGGAACCGCCAGAAGGCCCTCTGTTCTGGATCTCAGTGGCTGAACGATGGGGATGGAGACGCTCCTTCAGGTCTACTGGGCTGAGGCCATTTAGGGCTTTAAAGGTCAGCACCAACACTTTGAATTGTGCTCGGAAACGTACTGGGAGCCAATGCAGATCTCTCAGAACCGGTGTTATGTGGTCCCGGCGGCCGCTCCCAGTCACCTGTCTAGCTGCCACATTCTGGATTAATTGCAGTTTCCGGGTCACCTTCAAAGTTTATTTCCTGGGGTAAAATCCTAAAAAAAACACCTCAACAACTTCAATCCTAAAAAAAAGGTCAACTTTGGTCAGCCCTCCCGGCCCTTCACTTCATCCAATCTGGCCCTCTTTGAAAAAAGTTTGGACACCACTGCTGAAAGGGAGCAGTTTTTTCTTATAACAAGCTCTGCGGCTGCTCTGCTCCCAATAACTGCCCTGACACGGAAACACACGCCAAGATTGGGGAAGGAGACACCGACGATTGAAGAATGGAGGATGAAGTTAATGGACTATGCAGAACTAGATAAACTAACCGGAAGGATTCGAAACCGGCGGGACCAGAAATTCACGGAAGACTGGAGTAAATTTACGGACTATTTGAAAAGTATTTGTGAAGATCAGACAACGTTTGTAGGTTTGCAAGAAGTTTTGTGAGGAGTATTATTGGAAGTATTGCAAAAATGGAGAAGGGGAAGGATGATTAGTTAAGAGACTTAAAGGCAATATAAAGTTAAGAAATGCATAAGAAGTGGTTAAAACGGTGGATCTCAGAGGTGCTGATGGAAGTCTAAAAAGATTGTATAAGTGATAAAGTTTTGTGGTACATTTTATAATTTATATGTTAAAATCAATAAAAATTATTTTAAAAAAAAAGATTGAGGAAGGAGACAGGAAATAGCAGGACTTACCTTCAGAGTCATGAGCATCGCAAGGAATTTGGCCTTGTCTCCTATCAACATGACGTTGCTGAGGATGGGGATGGCCTCTTTGATGGCATCCTCGATAGGGACTGGAGGGATGTTTTCGCCACCGGCTGTGATGATTAGCTCTGGAAGGAGACGACACGGCATAAGCCATCAGGAACCTAAACACACACACTCTTCAACACACATTTAGTAGTACAGTGGTACCTCGAGTTAGGGACGCGGATGGCGCTGTGGGTTAAACCACAGAGCCTAGGACTTGCCGATCGGAAGGTCGGCGGTTTGAATCCCCGCGATGGGGTGAGCTCCCGTTGTTCGGTCCCTGCTCCTGCCAACCTAGCAGTTCGAAAGCACCTCAAAGTGCAAGTAGATAAATAGGGACCGCTCTATGGCGGGAAGGTAAACGGCGTTTCCATGCGCTGCTCTGGTTCGCCAGAAGCGGCTTAGTCGACTGGACCTGATGGTCAGGGGTACCTTTACCTTTTACCTTGAGTTAAGTACTTACAGTGGTACCTCAGGTTACAGACTCCACTAACCCAGAAATACCTCGGGTTAAGAACTTTGCTTCAGGAGGAGAACAGAAATCGTGCTCCGGCGGCAGCAGGAGGCCCCATGAGCTAAAGTGGTGCTTCAGGTTAAGAACAGTTTCAGGTTAAGAACGAACCTCTGGAATGCATTAAGTTCTTAACCCGAGGTACCACTGTACTTAGAACCAAAGGGTCTTTAGTTTCTGGGTGGGATTTAGGTTGTTTTCAATTAATTTTGTTTATTTGTTATAGTAGTTCTGTGTATGTTTGTTTACTGACTGAGGGAAGCATAATTATATCTGCTTACTTCCAACGATAACTTACTCTGCTTTATGTATTTGAAAACCTAATAAAAAATATTTAATCGTAACAATATAAATGTATTATTATTACTAATTGCTAGGAAATAAGTACTTAACCCGAGGTACCACTGTAATTCGTTCCGGAGGTCCGTTCTTAACCTGAAACTGTTCTTAACCTGAAGCACCACTCCTGCTGCTGCCACGCTGCCGCTGCGGGATTTCTGTTCTCATCCTGAAGCAAAGTTCTTAACCTGAAGCACTATTTCTGGGTTAGCGGAGTCTGTAACCTGAAGCATCTGTAACCTGAAGTGCCTGTAACCAAAGGTACCACTGTATATAAAATTTGTATATAATTTTTGTATACATGTTGGAAATTATATTATAGTAAGTCCTGTAATGTAATATGACAACGTCTACCAATGTAATATAAGAACGTTAATAAATAAAATGCAAATTCCAAAAAAAAAGAAAAAAAAGAAAGGATTCTGGTTCTTCCAAGGACCGTGAGAAGGGGGCCTTTTTTACCTTTGATTCTTCCCGTGATGTAGAGGAACCCGTCTGTGTCGTGCTTGCCAAGGTCCCCTGAATGAAGCCAGCCCTCATCATCGATGGCCTCTTTGGTCTTGTCTTCCATGTTCAGGTAACCCATAAAGACATGGCGCCCAGCGAAGCAAATTTCACCGACGCCTTCAGAGTCCGGCTTGAAGAGCATCGTTCTGCAGCCCGTGATCTCTTTGCCGGAACTGGGGGAAATGCAGAAAAAGCAGCTTGTGAGCAGTCGAGACTTGCCCCTTTCCCGAAAGGAAAACAGCTCGCATGCTCTGTCTGATATGATGGGGCTTCCCCAATTGATTTCTATCCCCTTCCATCTTTACAAGATTATCACCCCTCTTTTATTGTCCATTCCGGGTCGCCCAACCACTGCCCCAGTGTCCTCTCTCTCGGCAGATCAAGATGAGCAGGCGACAGCAAAGGTGGCAAGGTTTTTAGCTGGGGCAATCAGAATAACACCCACTATTGGACTACTGATTCCAACAAAAGTTGCAGGATCACCCCCTCTCCCAAAATAAATACAAATTACGCCCCTACCTTCCCAGTTTGTACGAACTCAGGAACGAAGCCGTGTGAGGCCCTGAGCTCTCACTCATTCCGTACAGCTCATATATACAAATGTCGAGGCTCAGGAAATATTCCAGGGTGTCTCTTGTGATAGGAGCGGCTCCTGTGTAACATTTGGTGCAGCGGTCTAGGCCCAGCTGTTTACGCACTTTCTTGAAGACAAAGCTCCTGGCCAGGCGGAAATTCAGAGGCAGCTCGTCGGACCTACGAAAATTAGACAGACAGCAATTTACCGAAAAGAACCTACGTTCAGTCCATGGCTAGAACTCTCTCAGTGAGTGTCAACAATTCGTTCTGCTTGCGTGGTTGTGTCGCGCCGGTTGAGACTTTTGATCTCAGGGTCTTGGATTCGAGCCCCACACCGGGTAAAAATATTCCTGCATTGCAGGTAGTTGGACTTAAGATGCCCCACAGAGCCTAGGAATTGCCGATCAGAAAGCCGGTGGTTCGAATCCCCGCGACGGGGTGAGCTCCTGTTGCTCGGTCCCTGCTCCTGCCAACCTAGCAGTTCGAAAGCACGTCAGAGTGCAAGTAGATAAATAGGTACCACTCCGGCGGGAAGGTAAACGGCGTTTCCGTGCACTGCTCTGGTTCGCCAGAAGTAACTTAGTCATGCTGGCCACATGACCTGGAAAAACTGTCTGCGGACAAACACCGGCTCCCTTGGCCAGTAAAGCGAGATGAGCGCCGCAACCCCAGAGTCGGCCATGACTGGACCTAATGGTCAGGGGTCCCTTTACCTTTTACCAATGCTACAATTATATGATAGGAGATCAACCACTCCCAATATATTATTACTGTTTCATTTATTTTTTACGGGGTTTTTTGAACAACATTTCAGATTTAGCAATCCATCATTCCACCTACGACTCCCCCTTCCTCCTTCCATGGTTCCCTCAAAATTTCAATTTCTGCTACATATTAGAGTTACGCTATACCTTCACCTAATCTCACAGGAAAAACGAAGATTTCACTCCCCGCTGCTGCTCTCACTTCAAATCCAATTTGCACCCTAACATTTTGACACTGAGTTTTTAAGTAAGGGTTGCCAAATGTTCGGAGATTCCCAAGACATAGCTGGGATTTGGCCGTCAGGGAAGAAATTGCTAAAATGATCGCTTGGGGGGGGGGGGGGAACCAAACCAATATCCTGCAAACAATTTCTTCTTTAAAATCAGTATTTATTTCAATTGTTGAGTTTGCCTCTTGTGCCCTTCCTCCCAGACTAGACCAGGGCAGCAACCAGCAAGTAGTGAAATAATAAGAATTTGATCGTTGCAGGTTCGATCGACAACTGTACAGTCCAGCATTGCAGGGGATTGGACTAGATGATTTTCAGGGTCCCCTTTCCAACTCTATTCTATGATTCTATATTAAAAACAGTTACAGCCTTTTACAGCAGGGCTTCAAACTCCTGTCGATAAAGAGGCACCACAACAACAGCAACAACTGGGGTGTGTGTTTGTGTGCTTCTCAACAGTGCAGGTTTAACCGTACAAACTTCTTTAAAAAGTTATACCTGTCTTCTTCCCTTGAGCGTTGTGAGCCTCCAGTTTTAAGTCTGAATGGGGGGAAGAAAGAAGAAAAGGCCCCCTCATCTTATCAGGAGTTTCACAAGTTTGTGAAGCTCTTGAGTTTTGCAGGGTCCAAGCGGAACGCTGCCATACTATAATAATAATGGTAGCTGCCATACTATAATAATAATGGTATTGATAATGATAATAATCTATTTATACCCCGCCCATCTGGCTGGTGGCTTCCAACAAAAGATTAAAAATACATTAAAACATCAGTCATTAAAAACTTTCCTAAACAGGGCTGCCTTCAGATGTCTTCTAAACATCAGATAGTTGTTTATTTCTTTGACATCTGATGGGAGGGCGTTCACAGGGTGGGCGCCACCACCAAGAAGGCCCCCTGCCTGGTTCCCTGTAACCTCACTTCTCGCAGGGAAGACTGGTGACTGGGAGCAGCCGCTGAGACCACCCTATCTGCATAACCTAGCAATTCTGAAATGTAGACACGCTTTTACTCTTGTAAGATTGAATGTCTTGCCCTTGGCGGGACTTGAGGGATAATTGCAACAGATTCCACACGAAAAACGCTTCTGTCCCTGTGGAGATGGCAGTACCGGCTTGCACTCTTTATAAAGACTTGAGGAATGAGATTATCACCCCTCTTTTATTCCCCATTCCGGGTCGCCCAACCACTGCCACAGTGTCCTCTCTCTCGGCAGATCAAGATGAGCAGGCGACAGCAAAGGTGGCAAGGTTTTTAGCTGGGGCAATCAAAATAAGATCCACTATTTGACTATTGATTCAAAACCCTAAAATTTATATAATTGACTTTTTGTTTCTATTCTTTGTATATCGTATTGTTGTTTTATTGCTATGACCAATGGCTGACGCAAATAAAGATTCGTTCATTCATTCAGCAATGATACGTGGAGGAGGAGGAGGAGGAGTTTGGACTTGATACTCACCTTAAGGAATCTCAAAGTAGCCAACAATCTCCTTTCCCTTCCTCCCCCACAACAAACACTCTGTGAGGTGAGTGGGGCTGAGAGACTTCAGAGAAGTGTGACTGGCCCAAGGTCACCCAGCAGCTGCATGTAGAGGAGCGGGGAAGCGAACCCAGTTCACCAGATTACGAGTCCACCGCTCTTAACAACTACACCACGCTATAGGTCATAATACTGAAATGGCATCTTGGGAGAAATTATGGATCACAGATATGAAATTTACAGCACGCTATACATTAGGTCCCACCTGTTCTACCCCTGGGGCTCCGGGACCCAATACAATGCCACCACTTTCTTCCTACCCATTGATTCGTCTCAGGTTGGTCTCCAGCCCGACAACTTTTGCCCAGGCGGCGATCCGCTTCTTCAAGGCGGAGAACTTCATCCCGGCGGCTTTCATCCTCTCCTGCATCTTCTCCCAGACGCGAGGGACCCCCAGGAACGCCGTGGGCCGCACTTCCTTGAGGGTCTCCACCAAAGTGCCCTGGCGGGACATAAAATTTCGAGAGAGGGAGTTGAAGGTCAGGTGGGAGCAAAGGGGTCCCAGGTTCATTCCGCAGGGGGAGACCTGGAGTTTAGATGAGTAAAAATGTATGTGCTGTAAACGGGACACGGGTGGCGCTGTGGGTTAAACCACAGAGCCTAGGGCTTGCTGATCAGAAGGTCAGCGGTTCGAATCCTGCGACGGGGTGAGCTCCCGTTGCTCGGTCCCTGCTCCTGACCACCTAGCAGTTCAAAAGCATGCCAGTGCAAGAAGATAAAAAGGTACTGCTCCAGCAGGAACGTAAACGGCGTTTCCGTTCGCTGCTCTGGTTCGCCAGAAGCGGCTTAGTCCTGCTGGCCACATGACCCGGAAGCTGTACGCCGGCTCCCTCGGCCAATAAAGCGAGATGAGCGCCGCAACCCCAGAGTCGGCCACGACTGGACCTAATGGTCAGGGGTCCATTTACCTTTTTATGTGCTGTAAACACATCTGATAAAATGGGAAACATCAGAAAAGGGAGGGTGGGAAGTCAAGAGGAAACGTTGTGGAACTGGGTGAGGATACGAGAATTCTGGGACATAAAATACAACGAACTTAATACAGTTTTCAAATTCTCCTTCTCAAAAAAACCCCAGAAGCCTTTCTGTTAGGTATCATGTCCACTGAAAGGACTGGAATAAATTTAAAGAATATTTAGCTAAATATTGTGGTATTGTGGTATAAGATAAATATGGTATAAGATAAATATGTGGTATAAGATAAATATTTATAAGATAAATATTGTGGTATAAGATAAGATAAATAGAAAATCCTTGGAAGTATCAAATAGGCTTAGGGGTAGAATAGGAATAGTATTTAGTAAGTATTAAGTATTAGAATAATAGTAAAGTAGAAGAGGTTAGTAAACGAAATGAGTTAATATTATTAGAAATATGAATTTGGAGAACTGTTATAAAAGTGATATAATGAAATTCAGTTAGAGGGGATTTGAGGAAGTCACATATTAATGTGAAGAAATTGGGTACCAGAAGGAATAATTTTTTTTCTGTGTTTAGTTTATTGCTGTGTTTTCTTTGTTGAGTGTTTTTATGTTTTTATGTGTTTATGTGATGTTTTAAAGGTTGAAAATCAATAAAAAATTTGAGGGGAAAATAGGCAATATGTCCACTGAAATACAAAAAAAATTAGAACCATCTTTATGTATGTGACTATAGTGGCTAGAATCCTAATAGCAAAAAACTGGAAAACCTGTGACTTAATTCCCACAAAGCTTGACTGCCAAGATGATAGAATACTTGGAACTTGCAAAAATGACTGGGAGAACAAGAGGAAATGCAAATCAGAAAGTGAGTAAAGAATGGATAATATTTAAAGAAGATATAAAACAATACTGTGAAAATGCAGGTCTCCTGACAGGTTTAGATTGAATCTTGAATATGAAGGATTGCTAGAAATTTTATTTTTTTTGTGATATGTAACAGATATAACAGGAAGTGTGTATAGGTTAAAAGGTAAAGGTAAAGGGCAGAATCCGAGACCAGGGAGAAGAGTTGGTGGAAGAAGATTGGAAGAAATTTAAAGACTACTTACAGAAATATTGTAAAATTAATGAATGTTAGAATGATGACGGATTGAAGTTAAGCGGTTTCTAGCGGTAATGGTATAAAAAAATATGGAAAAATTGGTTTTTAATATGTAAAAATTTAATGTTATAATTTATCAAGATTAAAGATCAGGATTAAAAAGGAGGGAAAGGAATTGCTGGATGAACATATTGAATTGGAATACAAAAGAGGGAGGTATGAGGAGGTCCAGGAAACAAGTAAATGTAAAAGAAGTGATGAAAAGATGGAATTGTTTTTAACTGTTTTTTCTTTTTTGTATTTTGTATTTTTCCTTTTTATTGTTAATTTTCTTATTAATGTGATTTTTTTCTTTTGAAATTTTAATAAATATTATTTAAAAATAAAAAATAAAAGGTAAAGGTAAAGGGACCCCTGACCATTAGGTCCAGTAGTGACCGACTCTGGGGTTGCGCGCTCATCTCAGTCTATAGGCCGAGGGAGCCGGCGTTGGTCCGCAGACAGCTTCCGGGTCATGTGGCCAGCATGACTAAGCCGCTTCTGGCGAACCAGAGCAGCACACGGAGACGCCGTTTACCTTCCTGCTGGACGGTACCTATTTATCTACTTGCACTTTGATGTGCTTTCAAACTGCTAGGTTGGCAGGAGCAGGGACCGAGCAACGGGAGCTCACCCCGTCGCGGGGATTCGAACCGCCGACCTTCTGATCGGCAAGCCCTAGGCTCTGTGGTTTAACCCACAGCGCCACCCGCGTCCCTTCGTGTATAGGTTAAGAATGTGTAAAAAGCACAGTAAGATGATTCAGAAGTCAAAAGTGTGTGTGAAGTTAGAAGATTTGTTAGTGTGTGTGCAGTTGTTACTGATGTACCGTTGTTTTATGTAAATTGTTTTGCAATAAAAAATTATTTAATAAAGAAGAAGAAACTGTGTGTGTCTGTTTTTTAAAAAAGAAGTTGTGTATGATGATTAATTTTTTGGGAATCTTTTTGGAGATTTAATAAAAATGACATGAGGAATGGAAAAAAACACTCAAGTGCTTCTGTGTGTTCTTGCGGGGCTGTGGGTTCTGGGTTTTGGTTTTGTTTTTAAATTTTCCCAAATGTCACCTTCAAAGCATCCGGTTGTGCAAAGCAGGTGTGGACTCCAAAAGTGATTGGCAGCCAGATGTCAATCATCTGTGCAGCCACGTGGCTGAGAGGCAGGTAGCTGACCACCACCTCCTGACGCTCCGTCGCTTTGCTCAAGCCGACATAGTTGCCTCCTGCCCGGGCCGTCCAGGTGATCTGCAAAGGCACAACACTTCAGCGACAACTCAACACACACACACATTATTATTATTATTATTATTATTATTTATTATTCATACCCCGCCCATCTGGCTGGGTTTCCCCAGGCAGTCCGGGCGCCTTCCAGGAAAATATTGTGTTTGATCTCCCCACTCCCCTAATTAGAGTGGTACAGTGAACCAGTGAAGGCGGTGAAGGTCCTGTGTGAGTGTCTGGAGGCGGTTGGAGGATGGATGGTGGCTAACAGATTGAGGTTGAATCCTGACAAGACAGAAGTACTGTTTTGGGGGGACAGGAGGTGGGCGGGTGTGGGGGACTCCCTGGTCCTGAATGGGGTACCTGTGCCCCTGAAGGACCAGGAGCACAGCCTGGGAGTCATTTTGGACTCACAGCTGTCCATCGAGGCGCAGGTCAATTCTGTGTCCAGGGCAGCTGTCTACCAGCTCCATCTGGTATGCAGGATGAGACCCTCCCTGTCCGCAGACTGTCTCGCCAGAGTGGTGCATGCTCTGTTTATCTCCCGCTTGGACTACTGCAATGCGCTCTATGTGGGGCTACCTTTGAAGGTGACCCGGAAACTGCAATTAATCCAGAGTGAGAGGCAGCTAGATTGGGGACTGGGGCGGCCGCCGGGACCACATAACACCGGTCCTGAGAGATCTGCATTGGCTCCCAGTACGTTTCCAAGCACAATTCAAAGTGTTGGTGCTGACCTTTAAAACCCTAAACGGCCTCGGTCCTGTATACCTGAAGGAGCGTCTCCACCCCCATTGTTCTGCCCAGAAGCTGAGGTCCAGCGCCGAGGGCCTTCTGGCGGTTCCCTCACTGCGAGAAGCAAAGCTACAGGGAACCAGGCAGAGGGCCTTCTCAGTAGTGGCGCCCGGCCTGTGGAACGCCCTCCCACCAGATGTCAAAGAGATAAACAACTACCTGACATTTAGGAGACATCTGAAGGCAGACATGTTTAGGGAAGCTTTTAATAACTGATGTTTTAATGTATTTTTAATCTTGTTGGAAGCCGCCCACAGTGGCTGGGAAAACGCAGCCAGATAGGCGGGGTACAAACAAACTATTATTACTATTATTATTATTATTATTTTGCCCTTCCCCACCAGAGGCACCCATATGCCCCCAGTTTCAAAATGGGCTTAATTATAACTGCATTCCTCCTTTTTCACCCATGGCGATTTCTTGCACAACCCAAGTGGCCGGTATCTGATACGGGAGACCAGTTTGAGAGAGATAAGATTTCATCCCCAGGGCTGCAACTCTCCTGAAAGTTTCCCAAAGCGGCGAATCTCACTCACGTTGTCGTGGCTCAACATAACTCCCTTGGGCTGACCCGTCGTCCCCGATGTATAGATCAGGGTGCAACATTGGTTGGGCTTCTGGGACGCGATGATTTTGTCAAGCTGGTCATCCGAGACGCTGGCCCCAAGCGCCATGAACTCGCTCCACTGCATGAACGAAAGAGACACAAGGGTAAAGGTAAAGGACTCCTGGACGGTTCAGTCCAGTCCAAGGCGACTATGGGGTTGCGGCGCTCATCTCGCTTTCAGGCCGAGGGAGCCGGCGTTTGTCCACAGACAGCTTTCGGGGTCATGTGGCCAGCAGGACTAAACCGCTTCTGGCACAACGGGACACCATGACGGAAAACAGTGCACAGAAGCGCTGTTTAGCTTCCCGTCGCAGTGGTACCTATTTATCTGCTTGCGCTGGTGCGCTTTCGAGCTGCTAGGTTGGCAGGAGCTGGGACAGAGCAATGGGAGCTCACCCCGTTGTGGGGATTCGAACCACCAACCTTCTGATCGGCAAGCCCCAAAAGACAGAACCACAGAAGGGAAGAACTTGATTAAGAAGGGTCTACATTTCTATTTATTCTATTTATTTAAACAAGATTTAAACAAGGTGATTTGAGAATGTAACACCAATTCCAGCCCAACTGTACTGGCTGCCAGCGAGTTTCTGGGTCCAGTCCGAAGTGCTGGTGTTGACCTATAAAGTCTTACATAGCTCAGGACCCCATGAGGGCTGGGTGATATATCGATATATCATCCCAAACCAGTTTTAAGTCCATATCATGATCTTGGTTTCTTAATTTATGACCTGGCAGTATACCGTAATCGCCTGAATACAAGCCTCACTTTTTTTCTTTCAAATTCCAACAGTGAAAAGTTAAAGTGCGGCTTAAATTCGGAACCTGACAAAAATGGGCTTTTACGATATTGCTGCTGAAACAGTAAAATGGAACGGGTGTGAGTGCCTGTGGAATTTAAGGCAGCGGCTTATATTTGGGTATTTTCATTTTCTTTCTTTTTTTAAAAAAGTCAGTTCTTATTAGTTTTCATACATATATCATACATTATTCAACTTAACCAAAGAATCGCTTTATAAATTCCCCTCTCCCCTTGGCTTCCATCCATTTCCGTTTCTGGTTTATTAAACCACTTGTTGCATTCTGCTGTTTATATATAATAGTATATTATCACATTGTACTCTTTCTTGTTCTCTCTAGTTACATTATATATGTTCATTTAAACCCTGCCAAAGAGTCCATACTTTACACGGTTGCTGCAAATATGTTACAAAAGGTTCCCATTCTTTTCCAAAGTCACTATTACCTTTTCCACGCAATTTATCTGTCAATTTTGCTAATTCTACATATTCCATCAACTTTTCATGCCATTGTTCTTTGGATGGTATTTCTCCCGTCTTCCAGTTTTGTGCTACTAAAATTCTTGCTGCTGTCGTCGCATACATAAATAGTATCCTCAATTCTTTCTTCACATCTTGTCCTAAAATACCCAACAGAAAATACCCGAATTTTCTGTTGGATATTCGGGTATTCCCCCCCATCCTGAATTTTAAAGGTGCGACTTATATTCGGGTCAATACGGTATTGCGAATCAGGGTGTGCGTTTGTGTGAGTGTTATGCAAAAATCACGGCGCAGGGAAAAAGTGATGCTTCATCATTGTTCCAGAAATTGTGATATATTGGTATATTGTGATGTATAGTTGGCAATAATATCACAAAGTTGAAAACCAGTTGAAAACCCTGGGAAATTGCTATGAATTGGGAAAAAAACGTTTAAACATACTTCCCCCCCCCCCAGTCCTTTCTGTTGGCGATAATTCAGACTTAAATTCCCAGGTGTCAGAAAAGGTTATTTATGGATGCAACAACTGCAGTCCGTGTTTTGTTAGCCCAAAAATGGAAAACGAGTGAGGTCCCAACCAAAGAAGATTGGCAACTTAATTTGTCAGAATATGCACAACTTGCAGATTTAACATATAGAATAAGAGAAGAAGAACATGCATTAAAGAAGACTGGAAAAAGTTTACTGAATATATGGGAAATAATGGTGTACAGCTGAAAATGCTGACAGCAATAAGAAATTCAACAGTGTAAATAAGTTTTGATGGGGGCAATAATGGAAAATCGATTGATACAGTCGTGCCTTGGTTGTCGAACGACCTGGAACTCATACATTTTAGCTCCCGAAAACCAGAAGTGAGTGTTCCGGTTTTTGAATGATTTTCGGAAGCTGAACGTCCAGCGCCGACACTCCTGCAGCCAATCGGAAGCCGCGTCTTGGTTTTCAAACAGTTCCGGAAATTGAACAGACTCTAACGCCTTCTGTTCGAGAACCAAGGCACGACTGTATCGTTTTTGTAAAATATGCAGGGATTTAAGATACTCAAAAAGAGCAGAAGGGAAGTCACGGATATCTTAAGGATGTAAGAATGTTTATTTGAAATGGTAAAACAGAAAAAAATTAGTAAAAATTATATAAGGAAAGGAAAGCAGATATTGCTAGTCACCTGGGCAAGGGAAATGCAGGAGAAGGCAAGCAAGGTTTCAAAACAGAAAAAAGGGAGAAAAAGAAGTTGCCGGGAAGTTGTAATTCCACCTCTAGAACTCAATGAAGCACTCAGGGGAGGTTTAGAGAGGGTGGAACGGAAGGAAAAGAGGAGATACTCACCGTGTACAGATTTGGCCTTTTCTCCTTGAGCTCTTCACCATACTGGATGATTGCCTTCACAAGAGGCAACTGGCTCTTAACCTAGAGCAAGAAAGACCACAGAACTGAGAGGGGGAACCTCAGAGGTCATCCATCCCAGCCCCCTAACTCAATGCAGAAATCTCGCAGCTTTGCAGTCATTTCCACGAAGAAATCCCTGTGGTCTGATGGCTTAATACACTACAGTGGTACCTTGGTTCTCAAACGCCTTGATTCTCAAACGCCGAAAACCCGGAAGTAAGTGTTCCGGTTTTCAAACGTTTTTCAGAAGCCGAACATCCGATGCGGCTGTGGGCTATTGTTTCTGGGGCGCCTGCAGCAACCTTGGTTTTTGAACATTTTGGAAGTCAAACGGACTTCCGGAACGGATTAAGTTGGGCGGTTTTGTTTCTGATATTTTGCGTTTTTGTTTTTGAGGCTTTTTCGGTTCATTTGTTTTTGTGACCGTGTGGAACCCAGTTCAGCTAATGATTGTGTGACTGTGGAAATGGATAAAAGCCCATCGAAACCATGACTATCATCAGCGCAGGTAAGAAAAAAATAATTTTTATTTTTATCATCTACAATACTGCCTTATTTATTTTATAATACAGTACACTGATTATTGCTTCCATTTTATGGATCAATGGTCTTGTTAGATAGCAAAATTCATGTTAAATTGCAATTTTAGGGGTTGTTTTCAAAAGTCTGGAACGGATCAATCAGTTTTGCATTGCTTTCTATGGGAAAGCGCGCCTTGGTTTTGGAACGGACGTCTGGAACAGATTAAGTTCAAGAACCAAGGTACCACTGCAAATTCAACTTAATGTTGTGATCGCAGTTTCCCTTTGACACAGTAGGGTTTTAGGAGTCTGATTTCAACCTCGATTACCGAATCTGGGCTTTGCGCCCCCTTTACAGCCCTAAAAGTATAATTCTGCAAGCTAGCGTATACCCGAACACTCAAATGCCCACAGGATTGCAGCAAGGCCAAGCGTGCCCAAGCCACATCCCACGACACCACGTCACCTCCAAGATTTTCTGAAGTTGCCGGTCGTTCTCCACCACGATGATATTGGCTCCGCAGTTCTCTGCAACGTACTGGCAGGCCTCCGGGGAGTTGGTTGTGTAAATGCCAACAGCAAAACCTCTGCGTGTGTGGGAAAAAAAGAGAGATCCTGTAATCCGGGTGCAACAGACATCTGAGATGTGGTTTGAACACAGAGGAACCAGGCTGCAAACTTTGCCACAGACCAAAGCCCTGGGCCCTCTTTCCCAGCCCTCCAAATGACGAGCAACAGGCGGTTTTGAACATTTTTGGGGGTGCACAATTCAAATGCTTCCTTCTGAGGTTGTTCTGGAGTGCTGCAAGCAGTGCTGAATTTACGTATAAGCTAAACAAGCTATGTGGGATGCGGGTGGCGCTGTGGGTTAAACCACAGAGCCTAGGACTTGCCGATCAGAAGGTCGGCGGTTCGAATCCCAGTGATGGGGTGAGCTCCCGTTGCTTGGTCCCTGCTCCTGCCAACCTAGCAGTTCGAAAGCACGTCAAAGTGCAAGTAGATAAATAGGTACCGCTCCGACGGGAAGGTAAACGGCGTTTCCATGTGCTGCTCTGGTTCGCCAGAAGTGGCTTAGTCCTGCTGGCCACATGACCCAGAAGCTGTACGCCGGCTCCCTCGGCCAATAAAGCAAGATGAGCGCTGCAATCCCAGAGTCGGTCATGACTGGACCTAATGGTGAGGGGTCCCTTTACCTTTACTTTAAACAAGCTATAGCTTAGGGCCCCCAAAAAATGTAATGGGGGGAAAACTGGATGTGCATTTCCAAAATGTAAGATAAAAAACAATTATCATTTCATGTTATAGCAAGTTTCTAGACTGAGACTAGACTATGAGTCTTTGCATATTGTGTTTCTAAAGGAACTTTTGTTATTGCCAAATGCCAATGCGTTTGCATTATTAAGTGTGTTACGAATAAAAAATCATTTAAAGTTAGAGCTTAATTATTTCACTATTCATGTACTACTTAATTGTATTTCATTATTAATATACTTTTTAATTGTGTTTCAATTCAACAATTCCTTTGATTAAATACATATTCTGTTATGTGCAAATGGCTAGAGATATTATTAGGTTCATAAATTGTAGTTGTTGTTTCGTCGTTTAGTCGTGTCCTCCTCTTCGTGACCCCCTGGACCAGAGCACGCCAGGCACTCCTGTCTTCCACTGCCTCCATAAATTACCATGGAGCATATATTCAACACAAAAAACAGTGACAATCTGCTGTTGACAAAGGACAGCTGGACATATAAGGGGCCCCGTTTCCTTCGGTAGCTCAGGGCCTCAAACCTAAATCCGGCCCTGGCTGCAAGGATTTAAATGGAGACTTTGCGAGGATTTAAACGGAGACTCCTGCTTTGCACGCAGGTGCCAGGTTCAATTTCAGATGCCTCCAGGTAAGGCTGGAAAAGGCATTGATCCTTCCTTACTCTGAAACCCCCAGAACACTGCTGCAAGTCGGCGTAGGCAGCAATGTTGGACAGGGGGACCACTGTGGTCTGGGCTCAGCGCAAGGCATGTTATTTCAGCGAACTGCCCTGAAATCTGGTCTTCCCAAAGGGAATGCTACAAATTTAGTTGGGCATCCCAAGTGGCCCATCTTAAGGCAGCAGGCATCCTTCGACGGGTCAAGGGATTAGAAGCCAGCAGGTTTCTCAAGTTGATGGGGCCATGCCATCAAATGGCAACAATGACCGGACAAATCAGAAATCAGGAAGACCAAAACTTTAATAAGGAATGGGAGGATTATAATCCAGGCATAGGCAAACTCGGCCCTCCAGATGTTTTGGGACTACAACTCCCAGGGATGATGGGAGCTAGGGATGATGGGAGTTGTAGTCCCAAAACAGCTGGAGGGCCGAGTTTGCCTATGCCTATCTTAAAAAGCATTGTAAATAGCTAAAACCGTTAGTGGGGTTGGAATAAGTTTAATGGTGAATTTTGGGTATCATGGAGATGTAAAAGATTTGGATTGTATTATAAAAGGTCCGTATAGTTAAAGCTATGGTTTTCCCAGTAGTGATGTATGGAAGTGAGAGCTGGACCATAAAGAAGGCTGATCGCCGAAGAATGGATGCTTTTGAATTCTGGTGCTGGAGGAGACTCTTGAGAGTCCCATGGACTGCAAGAACATCAAACCTCTCCATTCTTAAGGAAATTAGCCCTGAGTGCTCACGGGAAGGACAGATCCTGAAGCTGAGGCTCCAATACTTTGGCCATCTCATGAGAAAAGAAGACTCCCTGGAAAAGACCCTGATGCTGGGAAAGATGGAGGGCACAAGGAGAAGGGGACGACAGAGGAGAAGATGGTAGGACAGTGTTGTCGAATCTACCAGCATGAGTTTGACCAAACTGCGGGGGGCAGTGGAAGACAGAAGTGCCTGGTGTGCTCTGGTCCAGGGGGTCACGAAGAGTCGGACACGACTAAATGACTAAACAACAACAACAATAAAAGATGCAGGAGGAAGCGATTAACAATAGGACCCACAAAGGGGAAGAGGGAAGCCCTGGAGATTCTATGGAACCTTTTTTTTATTGTATGTTGATACGTGACTTTCAAAGTTTAATTTGAAAAACCAAATAAATAAATTTACAACAAAAGGAAAGAAACAGCGAGCGGGTTCCGGTCCAGTTTGGAGTTACGCTTCCTTTTTCGGAACGGTCAAACTCACCCAGCCAGAATCGCTCCTATGTCCGCTATGAACCATTCGGCAGAATTGAATCCCAGGATTCCAACCCCGTGAAAGCGTTCTAGGCCCAACTGCAACATAAAGAGGAGAGACTCGGGTAAGAAGGCATCTTCCAAAATGCACCCATTTTTTGGGCAAAGATGTTTAGGAAGGAAAATAACAGTTGCTGGAGATGTAAGGAAAAGGAAGGAACATTTTATCATATGTGGTGGGAATGCAAATGCATTAAAAAGATTGGGAAATGATATACAATGAATTGAAAAAAATGTTCAAAATGAATTTTGTTCAACATCCTGAAACCTTTCTGTTGGGTATCTCAAATCAAGAGCTACCAAAAGGAAAATGGACATTATTTATGCTACAACAGCGGCAAGAATCTTGATTGCACAATACTGGAAGACGGAAGAAATACCATCAAAGGAACAATGGCCAGAAAAACGGATGAACTATGCAGAACTGGCTAAGCTAACAGACAAACTATGAGAGAAGGACAAAAACGACTAAACAACAACAATAGTCCAAAGGCTATTCATCAGGAAATAAGGATTTGTTTTAAGTTTTTTATGTGTGCTAAAACTCAGTCTAAGGTTTTTTGCTTTTTTTTTTAAACCGCATCAAACGTTTAACCTTTGGACTATAATGTAACTTAAATAGAAAACTATCTTTAGAAAGATTTTTCCTCCCAAAGCATTTTATTTTAAAATCCAATTTAAATTTTAAAAAATCCAATTTAAATTTTAAAAATCCATTTAAAAAAAAAATCTTTGATTTTTATCCACCTTGCAATGAACTGGGGAAAAAAATATGTTTGAAATAACTTTTGTTAAAAAAACAGAAGCCTTTTTGTTAGGAATTGTAGGTGCAGAGATAGCGAAGGAACTGAAAAGACTGTTTGCGTGGCGATTCCCGCCCCCTCCCGCAGATGGAATAAATAAAGACACATGGACAGCAAAATTTATGTTAATGGGCGAAAAATGGCCCTTTATTGATTACAGGTAAGAGCGGTATTGGCTTTAGGCATTGGTCCGATCAGACTATCCGGGATAAACCCAGAAGGGGTTAAGCACCAACAGGGGGAGCCCCGGAGATGCACATCCCTAGGCGCTCCCCGAGGGGTTACCGCTCCGGAGCGCGCTTTAGGCCCTAGCCTCCTTAGGTTTCGGACGAGGCGACGCCCCCCGGAGTCCTTTAACGAACTACCCTTCATCATTTGGGGGAGGTGATGGCGTTCCTCCCCCCCAACTCATTTGCATAATAATACCCCTGCCAGACATAACATAATGATGGCTGACTGGGAACAGTTATGGACCACAGGTATGAAATTTACGGCATGTAATGTCCTAAGAGAAAATTTTATGAAAATGATTTATAGGTGGTACATGACACCAGTCAAGCTTGCAAAAATTTATCACTTGCCCGACAATAAATGTTGGAAATGTAATGAGACTGAAGGTACATTCTTTCACCTTTGGTGGACATGCCCAAAGATTAAGACATTCTGGGAGATGATCTATAACGAAATGAAAAAGGTATTTAAATATACCTTTCTGAAGAAACCAGAGGCCTTTCTCCTGGGCATGGTTGGCCAATTGGTATCAAAGAAGGATAAAAAATTTTTATGTATGCAACAACAGCAGCAAGAATACTCATCGCGAAGTATTGGAAGACACAAGATTTACCCACCCGGGAAGAATGGCAGATGAAGTTGATGGACTATATGGAATTGGCCGAAATGACTGGCAGAATCCGAGACCAGGGAGAAGAGTCGGTGGAAGAAGACTGGAAAAAGTTTAAAGACTATTTACAGAAATACTGTAAAATTAATGAATGTTAGGAAAACGTTGGAATGAAGTTATCTGGCTTTAGTAGAAATGTTATAAGGAATTAAGTATAAATAGATTAATAGAGTATTAAAGGGAAAAATAAGGTTAGAATGCGTTAAGATAATTAAAGGATAGAAAGCAGAGGAAGATGGAAAGGAATTGCTGAAACAATTAACAGAAGTGGAATACAAACAGGGAGGTGTGAGGAGGTCGTGGAAATAAGTGAATGAAAGATAAGATATTGAAACTGATGTGTTTTAAACTGTTTTTGATTTGTTTTGTTAGTTTAATGTGTTAGTGTTATGTATTGTTTTTGTATTGTATTGTATTGTTTATTTTTTTTTTGTAGTGTTTAAATTGTTGGAAAAGTAATAAATATTATTTAAAAAATAATAATACTACCCCTGCCAATGCCTAACCGCCACTCGAGCCAGGCTCGCCGCCAATACCCTCAGACCTGTAACCAATCCCTGATCCCCTGGAAAATGTCGGCTAGCCAAATATCGTTACCAGCATCAGAGAGATGCACGCCATCCCCGCGGTAGAAGGCCTCCTTGCTAAACTGGATGTCTGGGTGCTCCATCACCCGCCCACCCAGCGCAGCCACTCTACGTGCCACTGAGCGCTCCAGGATCTATTCCTGGCTCTATTCACAACCACAGGATTTTTGGGCTGCCCCGACCTTAAATGAACTCTACTAAGCCCGCCCCCGCCGCCAGCCGATTGGCTGGTGCAGTAAATGATGAATAATAAAGTGTCCTGGGATTCCCAAGTCTCGCGGGGCTGCAAGTGGGGTGTGAGCCCGCAACCCCCCCGTCCTTATGTCGGGAGTGGCTTTATGTACACTACAACAGCTTCAAGGATGCTTCTTGCCCAGAGTTGCAAAGACGACAAGATATCTACTAGAGCGGACTGGCAGATGAAATTACTGGACTACGGAGAGATGGCAAGACTAACCAGGAAAACCACAAACCAGGAGGATCAAAACTTCAATAAAGAATGGGACAAATTTACATTATATTTGAAAGACCACTGTAAACACTTGAACTCTTTGGCAGGTTTTAAGTAACTCTTGCAATGATTCACAGATTTTGGATACAATGGAGGATTGTAAATCAGATGGACTAATAATACGCAGTTTTTAAAAAACAGTTATTCAAAGAACCCACGGAAGGGAGAAGGGAAGTCTTCAGATATGGAAGAATCTTGTGTAATTTCTATTATTTGTGATTATGAGTGTGAACGAAGTTGTAAAATCAAATAAAAATTATATAGAGAGAAGAGAATATACGGTTTCTGCCCTCAAAAGGGGCCGCCGGTTTGTGGTGGCTTAAATATGCTATAAGAGCAATTGTATTATTTATAACATAAATTATAATATAATATATTATATAATATTATAATATAATATATTATAATATAGTCATACCGCTTGTTACATTTGCTTCAGGTTAAATCTTTTCAGGTGCGTCCTGCGGCGACCTGGAAGTACCGGAAAGGCTTACTTCCGGGTTTCGCCGCTCGCGCAGACGCTCAAAATGACGTCACGCGCATGTGCAGAAGCGGCGAATCACGACCCACGCATGCGCAGACACGGGTTGCATTCTGCTCATGTTGCGAACGGGGCTCCGGAACGGATCCCGTCCGCATCCAGAGGTACTACTGTATAATATAATATATATAAGATATAAGATATACAGGTGAAACTCGAAAAATTAGAATATCGTGGAAAAGTTCATTGATTTCAGGAATTCAACTTGCATGGTAAAACTAATATATGAGATCGACTCGTGACATGCAAAGCGAGATGTGCTTCGACTTCTTAGCGGTCCAATCTTGCTCGATTTGCAATCCTTGTTTTGCTGATTTCCTTGAATATTCTAATTTTCTGAGATGGTTAATTTGGGGTTTTCACCAGCTGTACGCCATGATCATGGCAATGATAACGAATCGAGGCTTGACATATCTCGCTTTGCATGTCACGAGTCTGTCTCATATATTAGTTTCACCTTTGAAGTTGAATTCCTGAAATCAAGGAACTTTCCCATGATATTCTAATTTTTCGAGTTTCACCTGTAAAATAATGTGGCGGGGTTTCCCCCAACTAAACCGAGACTGGGAAGCTCTAGGTCCCAAATTCCCAGAGAGTTGGGCAAGACTTTGGCCATGTATCTATCTCTTAGCCAGGCCTACTGCGTAGGGTCCCTCTGTGAAGGTCAAGGGAAGAAGATGGGGGTCAAAAAAGAGCTGCCTTGTCCCCACGGACCCCCGAACCTTTAGAAAGCTCTTGGCGGCTCCACGGCACTCCTGGTAGTACTGCCTGAAAGTGAGTTTCGTCCACTTGCCGTCTTTCTTGGAAGACAGGGCAGGATAGTCGCCGAATTGACTGACGGAGTTCAGAAGAAGTTCGTGAACGGTGATGGGGGTCTCGGACCCGATTCCACTTTCATCCATCCTCAGAAGGACTTCCCCATCCCTCTTCGAGGTCCATAGTCCTACAGAAGGCGGAGCTGGGGTGTCCATGGGAGAGAGAACAAGATGGGGGGGGGGAAACAGGGGCCATTAAAAAGTCTTAAATAGGCAGCCTAAATAAGTGCTTCAAGCATTAAAACAGGCATCGTAGGAATACCGGCCAACGGATCATCAACTGTTCTCACTTGCGGATTTTTATATATAGTGGTACCTTGCTTCTCAAACTTACCCTATTTTTTGCTCTATAAGACTCACTTTTCCCCTCCTAAAAAGTAAGGGGAAATGTGTGTGCGTCTTATGGAGCGAATGCAGGCTGCGCAGCTATCCCAGAAGCCAGAACAGCAAGAGGGATTGCTGCTTTCACTGCGCAGCGATCCCTCTTGCTGTTCTGGCTTCTGAAATTCAGAATATATTTTTTCTTGTTCTCCTCCTCCAAAAACTAGGTGCGTCTTGTGGTATGGTGCGTCTTATAGAGCGAAAAATACGGTAATCCGTTCCGGAAGTCCGCTCCAAAACCAAAGCGTTCCAAAACCGAGGCACGCTTTCCCATAGAAAGTAATGCAAAACGGATTAAACCGTTCCAGACTTTTAAAAACAACCCCTAAAGCAGCAATTTGACGTGAATTTTACTATCTAATGAGACCACTGAACCCTAAAATGAAAGCAATAATCAATGTGCTGCAGCCACACAACCCATCAGTAGCTGAACTGGGTTCCACTCTACGTGGGGCTACAAAGAAAGAGCCGCAAAAACAAAAACGCAAAATAAATAGCGAAAACAGACAGTCCTGAGCGCAACACTCAAAATGGAGCATGTTTGGCTTCCGAAAAAGTTTGCAAACCGGAACACTTACTTCCGGGTTTGAAGTGTTTGGGTTTCAAGTTGTTGAGTACCGAGGCGTTTGAGAACCAAGGTAAAAAGGTAAAGGTAAAGGGACCCCTGACCATTAGGTCCAGTCGTGACCGACTCTGGGGTTGTGGCACTCATCTCGCTTTCAGGCCGAGGGAGCCGGCGTACAGCTTCCGGGTCATGTGGCCAGCAGGACTAAGCCGCTTCTGGCGAACCAGAGCATCGCATGGAAATGCTGTTGACCTTCCCGCCAGAGTGGTACCTATTTATCTACCTGCACTTTGACGTGCTTTCAAACTGCTAGGTTGGCAGGAGCAGGGACCGAGCAACAGGAGCTCACCCCGTTGTGGGGATTCGAACTGCCGACCTTCTGATTGGCAAGTCCTTGGCTCTGTGGTTTAACCCACAGCGCCACCCGCGTCCAAGGTACCACTGTATTATTATTATTATCAATTTCATTTCTATGCCGCTTTGTTTTTAAGGTGGGGGAAAAAATCTCAAAGCGGTTTGCATCCTACAGGAAGAGATCAAATGAAACATTCCGAAATAAAACATGACAGGAAGAAACCAGATATACTACGCAAAGCGACGTAACCAACAGGAAACTATCAAGGCGTTATCTTAAAGGTTTCAAAATGAATCATTACTAAAGGAGGTTAAATACGGAACGTGCATTTTACAGGCCTAGTTCTGGAGTTGCTTCTTGTTACCGGTTTTGTTATTTTGGAAATGTTCCTGGAGCACTGATACACAACGGTTCCAAATATTACAGGACAAATCTCAAAGACCCCACGCGCCTTCTGAAAGGGCTACAGCCACCCCCGGGTTAAGTGTTGGACTCCTTCAACGTCTTGTTGCTCAGGGACCTCAAGGATGCCAGTGCGAATCCTGCCGGTGTGAGGATTTGCCCTTTCAGATCTCTCTCTCTCTCGCTCACACATCAGTGACGTAGCGAGGGTTGCTGGTGCCCGGGGCGGGGAAAGTGTTTCAGTCCCCTGGTGGACTGGGCAGCTGGGCTGGAGCTGCATGCTGGGGGGCAGGGGCACGTAGGATGCACAACATGGTGGGTGTGGGGGACTCCCTGGTCCTGAATGGGCTCACTGTGCCCCTGAAGAACCAGGTGCACAGCCTGGGAGTCGTTTTGGACTCACAGCTGTCCATGGAGGTGCAGGTCAATTCTGTGTCCAGGGCGGCTGTCTACCAGCTCCATCTGGTATGCAGGAGGAGATCCTCCCTGCCCGCAGACTGTCTCGCCAGAGTGGTGCATGCTCTGGTTATCTCCCGCTTGGACTACTGCAATGCGCTCTATGTGGGGCTACCTTTGAAGGTGACCCGGAAACTGCAATTAATCCAGAATGCGGCAGCTAGACTGGTGACTGGGAGTGGCAGCCAGGACCTGAGAGATCTGCATTGGCTCCCAGTACGTTTCCGAGCACAATTCAAAGTGTTGGTGCTGACCTTGAAAGCCCTAAACGGCCTCAGTCCTGTATACCTGAAGGAGCGTCTCCACCTCCATCGTTCAGCCCGGACACTGAGGTCCAGCGCCGAGGGCCTTCTGGCAGTTCCCTCATTGTGAGAAGTGAGGTTACAGGGAACCAGGCAGAGGGCCTTCTCGGTAGTGGCGCCCACTATGTGGAACACCCTCCCTTCAGATGTGAAGGAAATAAGCAGTTATCCTATCTTTAAAAGACATCTGAAGGCAGCCCTGTTTAGGGAAGTTTTTAATATTTAATGCTGTACTGTTCTTAACACTTGATTGGAAGCTACCCAGAGTGGCTGGGGAGACTCAGCCGGATGGGCGGGGTATAAATAATAAAATTATTATTATTGGGATGATGCTTGAGTGCCCCTCTCAGAATTCTGCACTCACGTCACTGTCTCAAACGCTCCCCAACATGCAAACAAAAACCGCCAGCAACTTTTGCCTACCTTTGGACCGGAACATCTCTGCCGCTGGCGAATCTGCTTCTTTTGCTGTTTCTGGGTGGTGGTTTTCAACACTGCGGAGGGGATGAGACAAAACAGATCACTGCAGCAATGCGACCCAACGCAGATTAAGTTGTTTTTCACCGCAACCCCCAGACAGTATCCCCCCAACCCCGGGGCACTCTATTTAATCTTTCGCAAAAGACGGATTTCAGGCACGGTCCTCTGTGTCGGAGGATGCCTTTCTGTAAAAAAAAAGCAAAGCAGAGAGATTTGATCTAATTCACTGATAGCGAGCAGGACCCACAACCTCCCCAATCTAGTTTCTAGAAGCAAAGCAGCAATATAAAGATGGTAAATCTTCAAAAAGGTGTGTATGTGTGTTTTTAAGTCAAAGGAACCAATAAGCTTCCTTTAATACTTTTTTTTTGAAAAGCCAGGCTGCATCCAGGAGGCAACCACCTTCAACATTAAAATAATAATTTATTAGTTGCCATTAATTTGGTTTAAACTGATTTTATAATGAATTGATTTTAGAATGCTGTATTATTTTACTGTTGTTCGCCGCTCTGAGCCGGGCTTCGGCTAGGGAGGGCGGGATCTGAATAAAAATTATTATTATTATTGTTATTATTATTATTATTAATACCCCACCCATCTGGCTGGGTTTCCCCAGCCACTCTGGGAGACACCCAACAAAATATTAAAAATACAATAGTCCGTTAAACATTAAAAGCTTCCCTGAACAGGGCTGCCTTCAGATGTCTTCTAAAAGTCTGGTAGTAGTTGTTCTCTTTGACATCTGGCAGGAGGGCGCTCCATAGGGTGGGCACCACCACCAAGAAGGCCCTCTGCCTGGTTCCCTGTAACTTGGCTTCTCGCAGCGAGGGAACCACCAGAAGGCCCTCGGTGCTGGACCTCAGTGTCCAGGCAGAACAATGGGGGTGGAGACGCTCCCCCAGGTAAATTAATTAAATAAACAAACAAACAAACAAACAAATAAATAAATAAATGTAGATTAAATAAATAATTAAAATAAAATAAAATTAAAAAATATTATTTTATCTGGCTAGGCCTCCCCAGCCACTCTGGGCGGCTTCCAACACGATATTAGTAAAGGTAAAGGGACCCCTGACCATTAGGTCCAGTCGTGGCCGACTCTGGGGTTGCGGCGCTCATCTCGCTTTATTGGCCGAGGGAGCCGGCGTTCAGCTTCTGGGTCATGTGGCCAGCATGACTAAGCCGCTTCTGGTGAACCAGAGCAGCGCACGGAAAAGCCGTTTACCTTCCCGCCGGAGCCGTACCTATTTATCTACTTGCACTTTGACGTGCTTTTGAACTGCTAGGTTGTCAGGAGCAGGGACCGAGCAACAGGAGCTCACCTAGTTGCGGGGATTCGAACTGCCGACCTTCTGATCGGCAAGAAGAAGAAGAAGAGTTTGGATTTGATATCCCGCCTTTCACTCCCCTTCAGGAGTCTCAAAGCGGCTAACACTCTCCTCTCCCTTCCTCCCCCACAACAAACACTCTGTGAGGTGAGTGGGGCTGAGAGACTTCAGAGAAGTGTGACTAGCCCAAGGTCACCCAGCAGCTGCATGTGGAGGAGCGGGGAAGCGAACCCGGTTCCCCAGATTACGAATCTACCACTCTTAATCACAAGGCCCTAGGCTTTGTGGTTTAACCCACAGCGCCACCTGCGTCCCCTAACAGGATATTAAACACACAATAGAACATCATTAAAAACACAATAAAACATCATTTGCATACATTGCAAAGCTACAGCGACTGGCCGCCACGCAGCTCAGGTTTTGCAAAGCCACCCCTTTTGCATGACCTGAAGCGCACGTGTTGCAAAAGAAATGTTGCACAGAACATGATGTCTCAAACTGTGCAAGCAAAAGAAACCGGGGGGGGAGAGATAGAGAGAGACTGAGCACCCCAGTGTTTAGCCACAGACGCACCCTGCCTCCTCGCTGCTCCCGACTCTCCAAAATGGAAGCTGGGTGATGTCGTGCCTTCAAGCGCCTTCTTCCCATGTCAATATGGCATTATTATTTTTTCTCTTTCAGGCTGCGGGGAGGGAACAAGTGCCGCGGGGGTATTTCCTCCCTCTGTTCTGTCCTGGCACCGGCCTTTGCAAAACTTGCCCCCTCCCCCTGCCCGCTCCCCCCAGGGTGTTTCTCCAGCAGAGATCTTCCTGCCACTGCAGGCCAAAGGGGAGACCCCCCCTTCTAGAACGCCGCGCTTGTGATGTCGCTGCCACAACTACAGCCTCATGCGCGTCCCAGAGTTCCAGACTTCGTGGGTCCTGCGGCAAAGACGACCTAGCGGTGCAGTCCAAAGCCGCAAGGCAACGCATTTGAAAGCAGGGACCGATTGGCGAAACGGGAGCATGCGTCGCCGGGGAGAGGGTACCAGCAAACGTAAGGTAGTCGTGTCCTGACATAGCTCACGTCGGTAAAGCACGAGCCTGTTATGTACTGAAGTTCTCACCCTGGGCCAGCAGGGGGATACTGTAGATAGTTATGCAAATAAGGGATCGAAAGTGACGTTCAGTGATTGGATAGTTTTAGAAAATTGTTACAGTTACGTTGTACTGGAGCTCTATATAAGCAGGCTGACTGAACCCTTCAGTTCAGTTCTGTCCTGGCCTATGAATAAACAAGAGCTGTTGAAGAATCGCTGTGTCGTCTGATATGTTCACCCACAACTTAACAGAGCCACCCGCTGTCAGGGGCGAGGGTTCAAGACCCATGCTGTGTGAGTGTCTGGAGGGTGTTGGAGGATGGATGGCGGCTAACAGATTGAGGTTGAATCCTGTCAAGACTAGGGGTCAGCAACCTTTTTCAACTGTGGGCCGGTCCACCATCCCTCAGACCCTGTGGGGGCCCAGACTATATTTTGGGGGTGGGGGAAATGAACGAATTCCTATGCCCCACAAATAATCCAGAGATGCATTTTAAATAAATTTCTACTCTTGTAAAAACATGCTGATTCCCGGACCGTCCGCCGGCCGGATTCAGAAGGCGATTGGGCTGGATCTGGCCCCCGGGCCTTAGGTTGCCTACCCCTGGTCAAGACGGAAGTCTAGTGGATGCATCATGTTCGCAACCTGCAGTGGCGTGTCTGCGCACACATGGGTTGCGATTTGGTTCTTCTGCGCATGCGCAAAGCACGATTTAGCGCTTCTGCCGAAGCCAAAACCCAGAAGTAACCCATTCCAGTACTTCCAGGTTTTGGCGGTCCGTAACCCAAAAAAACGCAACCTGAAGCATCTGTAACCTGAGGCATGACTGTACTGTTTTTTGGGGCTGGAGTGGGCAGGTGTGGGGGACTCCCTGGCCCTGAATGGGGTAACTGTAGCCCTGAAGTACCAGGTGCGCAGCCTGGGAATCATTTTGGACTCATAGCTGTCCATGGAGGCGCAGGTCAATTCTGCGTCCAGGGCAGCTGTCTACCAGCTCCATCTGGTACGCAGGCTGAGACCCTCCCTGCCCGCAGACTGTCTCGCCAGAGTGGTGCATGCTCTGGTTATCTCCCGCTTGGACTACTGCCATGCGCTCTACGTGGGGCTACCTTTGAAGGTGACCCAGAAACTACAACGAATCCAGAATGTGGCAGTAGTCCCAGGAAGAATGTATACAAAAACTTACGGAATATGCAGAAATAGCGAAACTTACTGGAAGATTAAGAAATCAATATAAACTTTTTATAAAAGAATGGAAATGTTTTTTTGAGTATTTACAGATAAATTGTAAGCAGGTGAGAACATTGGCAGGATCACTGCAATAGCCTGCAGTTTCATAAGAGTATATATTTAAAGAAGATGAATAAAGGAGCAAATTAAGTTAATCTGGATATGCAGAAGATATTGAAAATAAATTTAAGGAACCGCAGAAAGAGGGGAAAGGAAGTCAATTTTGAAATGTCAAAACGATTGTAGAATTAGTGAAACGTATAAACCAGAAAATCAAAATATTATACATGTAAAAAAAGCGCTGGAGAACCAAGTTTGGGAAAATGAGCTAGGAGGACCAATTGGCTTGACGTTCCACAAAGCAGCCTTCCTGTGTTCCGAAGTAAAACCATTATTTCCACCCACCCATTACGTGCCTTTCCACCGTCATCTGACAAATCGACCCGGTCCCACAAATAGCTCAAAGCCACAAAAATGTTGCTGAAGGTTTTCAAGTAGGACAAGATTCCTTTGTTGCCTTCATCAGTCCCTCAGATCTCAAGAGAAGGGAACATTGAGAAATTGAGCTGGTTTATGGTGCGTTGAAGAGAAGAAAGGCTAGCCAGTTTTTTCCAAGATGGCACCAAGCACACACAAGCTTCCTGGAAAACGTTGATTGAACCCTAGCGGCACAGGAACGCAGTTAAGTCTTGCTTCTTGGGATTGAAAGAATTCTCTCCTCTTAAAAAGATGAATGGACCGTGTCACCATTAAGAAAAAGAGGTCAGACCAGGCCAATATGTCCTTGGATCAAGGGTCTTTTCTTCTTTAAGTTCTCAAAGCTCTTAACCGATCTCAAGGTTGTCTTCTGAATGAGCCAGACGTTTAACTGAGAATCGATCACCATCAGTCCATCCTTTGAAAAATAAGACTTTAGAGCCATCTTGCCCAGAAATGGCAACTAGACATTCCTTTTTGGCAACTGTAACCTTGGTTTGGAAGGGACGCGGGTGGCGCTGTGGGTTAAACCAGAGCCTAGGACTTGCCGATCAGAAGGTTGGCGGTTTGAATCCCCGTGACGGGGTGAGCTCCCGTTGCTCGGTCCCTGCTCCTGCCAAACTAGCAGTTCAAAAGCACATCAAAGTGCAAGTAGATAAATAGGTACCGCTCCGGCGGAAAGGTAAACAGCGTTTCCGTGCGCTGCTCTGGTTCGCCAGAAGCAGCTTCGTCATGCTGGCCACATGACCCGGAAGCTGTACGCCGGCTCCCTCGGCCAGTAAAGCGAGATGAGCACCGCAACCCCAGAGTCGGCCACGACTGGACCTAATGGTCAGGGGTCCCTTTACCTTTAACCTTGGTTTAAGGAGACATTTGGTGTCTAGCTTTTATATATATAGTAATATATATATAGTAATAATAATTTATAATTCATACCCCACCCATCTGGCTAGGCTTCCCCAGGCACTCTGGGCGGCTCCCAACAAAATATTAAAAATACAATACAACATCAAACATTAAAAGCTTGCCTAAGCAGGGTTGCCTTCAGATGTCTTCTAAAAGTCAGATAGTTGTTTATTTCCTTGACATCTGATGGGAGGGCGTTCCACAGGGCGGGCGCCACCACCGAGAAGGCCCTCTGCCTGGTTCCCGGTAACCTCGCTTATCGCAGGGAGGGAACCGCCAGAAGGCCCTCGGAGCTGGACCTCAGTGTCTAGGATGGATGATGGGGGTGGAGATGCTCCTTCAGGTATACTGGGCCATTTGGGGCTTTAAAGGTCAGCACCAACACTTTGAATTGTGCTTCGAAACGTCCTGGGAGCCAATGTAGGTCTTTCAGGACTGGTGTTATGTGGTCTCAGCATCCACTCCCAGTCGCCAGTCTAGCTGCCGCGTTCTGGATTAGTTGCAGTTTCTGGGTCACCTTCCAAGGTAGCCCCACATAGAGCGCATGGCAGTAGTCCAAGCGGGAGATAACCAGAGCATGCACCACTCTGGCGAGACAGTCTGCGGGCAGGGAGGGTCTGCTTGCCAGATGGAGCTAACACAGGTTCCAGGGTCCATGTCTCCTTTTGGGAATGAGGCACAGTGGAGAGTGTCTTATCTTTAGTATATATGATTTCCTGACACATATATACAACCTGAGACTAAGATAGAGGTGCTCACAGCATTAGCACCCCAAGAGGGTATTGCTTCTCCCATAGTCACAGCCTGGGATTCCCACCAAAATCAGGCATGGCTCGGTTTCTCTGCTTCAACTCTGGCTTTTGTTTTTCCAAACACCTGCTAGCCAGGGGATGCGGGGACGCCCATTTGTTTTCTGACACAGAGCCAGTTCCTTTGTTATCTTAATGACCCATACTTAGGCCATTCCCAATTAACTTGTCTGATTTTTTTTTTAAATAATATTTATTAAAGTTTCACAAAAAAAGAATCACATTAATAAGAAAGAAAAATTTAAGAATAAAAAAAAATACACAATACAAAATACAAAATACAAAAAGATAAAAGAAAAAACAGTTAAAAACAATTCCGTCTTTTCATAACTTCTTTTACATTTACTTGTTTCCCGGACCTCCTCATACCTCCCTCTTTTGTATTCCAATTTAGTTTGTTAGTCCAGCAATTTCTTTCCCTCCTTTTTAATCCCAATCCTTAATCTTAATATATTATAACATTAAGTTTTTACCTATTAAAAACCAATTTTTCCATTCTTTTAACCTTTTTAATCCTAATCCTTAATCTTAATATATTTATAACTTTAAAGCCTGTACAGCTAGAAGCCACTTAACTTCAGTCCAACATCACTCTAACATTCATTAATTTTGCAATATTTCTGTAAATAATCTTTGAATTTCTTCCAATCTTCTTCCACCGACTCTTCTCCCTGGTCACGGATTCTGCCAGTCATTTCCGCCAATTCCATATAGTCCATCAATTTCATCTGCCATTCCTCCAGTGTGGGTAGCTCTTGTGTCTTCCAATACTTTGCAATGAGTATTCTTGCTGCTGTTGTAGCATACATAAAGAAAGTTCTGTCCTTCTTTAACACCGATTGGCCGACTATGCCCAGGAGAAACTTGTCTGATTGCTCCAGCAATTGGATCATTGTTGTTTCCGGGAATTAAAAGGCACTCAGGCGTACAGCCTAACAGCAACCCTCACCCAGTAAACGTACAACAATATTTAAGATTGCTTGTTTGGAAACCCAACTTTTGTTTGTCCTGAGTGCGCCATGGCTACGGACTTAGAAGAAATGTGATCATAGAATCACAGACTTGGAGGGTCATGTAGTCCAACGCCCTGCAATGCAGGAACGCCTCAGCTAAAGCATCCATAACAGATGTCCATCTAACCTCTGCTTAAAAATCTCCAGGGAAGGAGAGCCCACAGCCTCCTGAGGGAGACCGTTCCACTGTGATTGTGGAGGGCATGTGTGCCAAAAATCACACAAACCTGAGCTACGTACACTTCTCAGGTCAAGGGGGAAGAAACCTCAAAAGCTTGCAAAAATCTACCATTTGCCTGATAATAAATGTTGGAAATGTAAAGAAACTGAAGGTACATTTTTTCACCTTTGGTGGACGTGCCCAAAGATTAAGGCTTTCTGGGAAATGATATATAATGAATTAAAAAAGGTATTTAAATATACCTTCTTGAAGAAACCAGAGGCCTTTCTCCTGGGCATAGTCAGCCAACCGGTGTTAAAAAAGGATAGAACTTTCTTTATGTATACTACAACAGCAGCAAGAATACTCATCGCAAAGTATTGGAAGACACAAGAACTTCCCACGCTGGAGGAATGGCAGATGAAAATGATGGACTACATGGAATTGGTGGAAATGACTGGCAGAATCCGTGACCAGGGAGACGAGTCGGTGGAAGAAGATTGGAAGAAATTCAAAGATTATTTACAGAAATATTGCAAAATTAATGAATGTTAGAGTGATGTTGGATTGAAATTAAGTGGCTTCTAGCTGTACAGGCTTTAAAGTTATAAATATATCAAGATTAAGGATTAGGATTAAAAAGGTTAAAAGAATGGAAAAATTGGTTTTTAATAGGTAAAAATTTAATGTTATATTATATTAAGATTAAGGATTGGGATTAAAAAGGAGGGAAAGGAAATTCTGGTCTAACAAACTGAATTGGAATACAAAAGAGGAAGGTATGAGGAGGTCCGGGAAACAAGTAAATGTAAAAGTAGTGATGAAAAGAGGGAATTGTTTTTAACCGTTTTTTCTTTTTTCTTTTTGTATTTTGCATTGTGTATTTTTCTTTTTATTCTTGAATTTTTCTTTTTTGTTGATGTGATTCTTTCTTTGTGAAACTTTAATATCATTTAAAAAACAACAACAAAAAAACAAAAAAACCTCCCAACGAGAACCAAGCATGCTGAATTGTCACAGAACGTTTATAGCTAAAGCCTCTCTAGATCACCTTCAAGGGCAGCCAACTCTGGTAACCTCAAGGTTAGATTACTGCAATGCGTTACACGTAGGGCTGCCTCGGAAGAAGGTTCGGAAACTTCAGCCAGTGCAGAATTCAGCGGACAGGTTGCTCACCGGACGGCAAGACGGTTTGGGCGTATTGCACCGATCCTGGTCCGACTGCACTGGCTACAAATTAGTTACTGGACCTAATTCAAAGTGCTGGTTCTGACCTATAAAGCTTTAAATGGATCACAATACCTCAAGGACTGCCTCTTTCTGTATGAACCTACCCGGACTGTGAGATCATGTTCCGAGGCCCTCCTTCCTGTGCCTCCTCCTTGAGAGGTCCGGAGGGTGGCAACACGAGAACGGGGCCTTCTCTGCAGTGGCTCCCCGTCTGTGGAATGCTCTCCCCAAGGAAGTTCGCCTGACACCTTCATTATACACCTTTAGGCGCCAGGCAAAAACGTTCCATTTAAACAGGCCTTTGGTTGATCCAATTTACATCCTATGCCCTTTTAAAATGTGGTGGTTTTTTAGGATAAAAGATTCTCCAATTTGTTGATATCAGACAGAAGCAGAATCTCATTAGCGGCTGGAGAGGTGTTAAAAAACCTGGGACGGTTCCCTAGAATCCATGTGGGCACTGTGTTGCACTTTTAATTTGGAAATCCACCCTGATGGAAGTCAAGACCGGGCTGCAAAACTACAAATAGTCATAGGGGGAGGTGAGCCTTAAATATGTCATTATATTTGTATTTCCTGTTTGATTCGGTAAATCTCCCCTGGAAAGGCTAACGTTTGATGCAACCGGTCTGGGAAGATTACTGAGCAGACGCTTAGACTTGATTTCATCAGAACTGAGTGAAGATGGCAGCTGCCAGCAGCAAAAAGACCTTTGGATTGATTTGACAGAAACACCAGCGTGTGAGGAGATGCTGCAAACTTATAGAGGTGAATAATATATACCTTCGGGTATATAAAACTCAAACAAAACAAAACTTGCATGCACAGACATGCAAGGGAGAGAAAGGGTTAACCAACCTGGGGGAAGTGGCCACAATGACATCATCGATGGACACACTGCAGGGCTGTTGGACAGGAGACTGCATGGAGACCCCAAGAGAGCCGTTCGCCATCGCCACTTGAGCTGCCATCTTGCACAGCACCTCCCTGTAAGGAAAGTCGCCCATTTAGATTAAGGAGGACTCTTGTGGAACTGCAAGGGATGCGGGTGGCGCTGTGGGTTAAACCACAGAGCCTAGGACTTGCTGATCAGAAGGTCGGCGGAGTGAGCTCCCATTGCTCAATTCCTGCCAACCTAGCAGTTCGAAAGCACATCAAAGTGCAAGTAGATAAATAGGTACCACTCCGGTGGAAAGGTAAACGGCATTTCCATGCGCTGCTCTGGTTCGCCAGAAGCGGCTTAGTCCTGCTGGCCACATGACCCGGAAGCTGTACGCCAGCTCCCTCGGCCAGTAAAGCGAGATGAGCGCCGCAACCCCAGAGTCGTCCATGACTGGACCTAATGGTCAGGGGTCCCTTTACCTTTACTTGTGGAACTGCAACTGTGCCCCATCAGAGAGAGATGGGAGAAACTGGCTTCCATGTGCATTTCCTGCCTTGCCACCCTTGGCCGACCCTCCTCTATTCTCCCCCCAGCTTTTATGGATGTAGAACTGCCCGTCCCCCAGCTAATTTCATCTCCCAGCTCAGCATTCAATGGAAGCAATTTCCATTTATGCAAAGAGAATTGCAACACCAGAGAACCTCCTCTGCCTGTTCATGGGAAATTCAGTTGCGGCTGAGAAACCTCCCGGGCGGAACATGATGCAAAAATCCATACAAAGAAAATTCTTTGCATATCAGGTCTGAGCAAAAAAAGAGAGAGACAGACAGACAGATCGGACATATTTAAGAAGGAACATCAGAGTTCACACAGTCGCAGGAAAGCGTGCAGTTTCAACAGTCCTGTTTGTCTAATTTGCTCACTTGTCTGATTACCTGGTTAAAAATTAAGGAGCACTTTCAGAGTTTCGGCAAGAGGTGGTTTGTGAGGGGGAGCAGACCTAAACCTGTCAGGACCCAAAATGAACAGACCCAAGTCACAACACAGTTCCGTTTTAAGATTTTGCAACCCACACAAAGCCAGCGCAAGAGATTTGCACCCCCCCCCCCGTCACAGTGAACTGTAGCTTTGGAAAGAAAGGGTTCGGATTAGCAATGCTCCCTTTCGCATCAGCAGACTTTGGGAAACTCCCGAGGCTTGCGGAAGTACAAAAAAATAACTTTAGAAGAAGAAACGGAAACACTATGTGTGGGGAAATCCCCCAAAACAGCCCAATAAAGGGACCGCTTGTGCTTTGTGGCCACAAAATGCCACTGGTCTATTTCAAGGAACTGGAATGGAGTAACCTGGGACAGGGCACCCCGAGCGAGGATCACTCCGCGCTCCAACTTGGCCCATGTTTTTGTCTCGTTTCCGTGATGAGGATAAGAGCTGGCCAGTTAATGGATTACGCCGAAATGGCAGAAACTAACTGTGGAAAGCTCAGAAATCAAGATGACAAGATTTTTTTTAAAAAAAAATGGGAAATGTTTATTATGTATTTGCAAAAGTATAGTTAATAACATTGGCAGGATTTTAAGAGCACTTGTAATTTTAGAGACGGCCCAGGAAACTTGAGGTTAAAAATAATTTGGAGTAGAAACGATATGGAGATGAAAAAGGAAATTTAAGGGAGGGAAGTCACGGGATTCGGAGAATCCCATTTTATGGATTTGATGTTGGTTTTTTTGTATCCTTTGTTGTTTATTTTTATCACTTTTGTTGAAAATGTAATTTAAAAATATTATAAAAAAGGAGGAAACAAAGAGCTGGCCGCTTATTCGCAATTTATTAGCTTCTCAATCTTCCATTGAGAAGATTCCAGCTGGAAATGCAAAGCTCTTTCCCACATGAACTGAAGTATATAGAGTTTCTCTCCTTCCTTCCTAGCTGACACTACGAGAGAGAGAGAGAGAGAGAGAGAGAGAGAGAGAAGCGCGTTGCTCAGCACAGACTTCGCTGCACCTGCTGCCTTCTCACTTCCAGCCGCCCTAGGGCGGCCAAAATCATCCAAGCCGTTTCAGCCAATGAGAGGGCTGCCTAGCATCATCCCAGCTCCCGTCATGTGAAGTCGGGTCCCCAGACGCAGCGGCAAGCTGGGGTTACTACAGCGCATTCACCTACTAGCAGCGGTGAGCTCAGCAGCCGTGACTCCTCGCCTGAGCCACAGTCAGCAGATCTGACTCATTTTTGCACTTTGCACTGCAGTTGTTGTTGGTTTTGGGGCATGCATGCAAAATAGCACCTTCCAAAACACATATACAGTGGTACCTCAGGTTACATAGGCTTCAGGTTTCAGACTCTGCTAACCCAGAAATAGTACCTCGGGTTAAGAACTTTGCTTCAGGATGAGAACAGAAATTGTGCTCCGGCGGTGCGGCAGCAGCAGGAGGCCCCATTAGCTAAAGTGGTGCTTCAGGTTAAGAACAGTTTCAGGTTAAGAACGGACCTCCAGAATGAATTACAGTGGTACCTCGGGTTACATACGCTTCAGGTTACATACTCCTCTAACCTGGAAATAGTACCTCAGGTTAAGAACTTTGCTTCAGGATGAGAACAGAAATCGCGTGGCGGCCGTGCGAGGCCCCATGAGCTAAAGTGATGCTTCAGGTTAAGAACAGTTTCAGGTTAAGAACGGACCTCCGGAACGAATTAAGTACTTAAACTGAGGTACCACTTGAAGCAGGTGCATTCCCACATTTTAAGGTAAAGGTAAAGGGACCCCTGACCATTAGGTCCAGTCGTGACCGACTCTGGAGTTGCGGCGCTCATCTCACTTTATTGGCCGAGGGAGCCAGCGTACAGCTTCCGGGTCATGCGGCCAGCAGGACTAAGCCGCTTCTGGCGAACCAGAGCAGCACACGGAAACGCCGTTTACCTCCCCGCCGGAGCGTCCCACATTATAAGTACACATAAAAACCTCAGCACCGTCACCACTGTGGAAATAAAACGTGTGTTTGCTTCTCCACATAATGAGGACTGCAACCTTGCTTTGTCAGCCTGCTAGCCTACCTGGAATTCTTGTCACCTACAGCTAGCAGGTGGGCCAGTATGGAGCACCTGAAGGCTGGAAGCTTCCCAAACCCCTTAAAAGCTGAGGAGACCTGTGACCCAGATGTTGTCGATACAGACAGCTCTGTCCCAGGGATCCAGATGCCGGTTCTGGGTTGCCCTCCACCAGGCCTGACTCAGAACAGACCCATCCATGTCGCCACCAAGGGAACCCAGCCAACCAGTTTCAGTGGGTTTACTCGGAGTAGGACCAGCACTGGCTATGAGCCATTTTTATTACAGTGGTACCTCGCAAGACGAAATTAATCCGTTCCGCGAGTGTCTTCGTCTAGCGGTTTTTTCGTCTTGCGAAGCAACCCTATTAGCGGATTAGCGCTATTAGCGGTTTAGCGGCTATTAAAGGCTTATCGGCTTAGCGGATTAGCTGCTAAAAGGCTATTAAAGGCTTAGCGGCTTAGATAAAGGGGGGGGGAAATCGAAAAAAAAATCTCAAGACTCGCAAGACATTTTCGCCTTGCGAAGCAAGCCCATAGGGAAATTCGTCCTGCGAAGCAACTCCAAAACGGAAAACCCTTTCGTCTAGCGGTTTTTCCATCTTGCGAGGCATTCATCTTGCGGGGCACCACTGTATTTATTAACTTCACAGGGACGCGGGTGACGCTGTGGGTTAAACCACAGAGCCTAGGACTTGCCGATCAGAAGGTCAGCGGTTCGAATGCCCGCGATGGGGTGAGGTCCCATTGCTCGGTCCCTGCTCCTGCCAACCGAGCAGTTCAAAAGCACACCAGCGAAAGTAGATCAATAGGTACCGCTCCGGCAGGAAGGTAAATGTCGTTTCCGTGTGCTGCTCTGGTTCGCCAGAAGCGGCTTAGTCCTGCTGGCCACATGACCCGGAAGCTGTACGCCGGCTCCCTCGGCCAATAAAGCGAGATGAGCGCCGCAACCCCAGAGTCGGCCACGACTGGACCTAACGGTCAGGGGTCCCTTTACCTTTTAACTTCACATGCCACCCTTTCATTCAGAGATCACAGGGCAGTTTACAACATAAAAACACAGAACATAATGAATGAAGCAATAATCCTCGACTTCTTGGAATAACCAACAGAATGTTCTGTCTCCCTTTCAGTGACTATCGCAGTGGCAAGGGAATTTGTTGCAATCCAGTGACACATCAGAGATGAAAGCTCTGAAATCGTACATTAAATGCATGCTACTGTGTAATGGATTTAGATTAAGCCCATGTTATCCGGGCTGCCTTTCTTCCTTTCTTTTAAATAATTAGCTGCTTTTTCCTCTCAGCCTTAAATACCTCGCAGGGTTGTGCTGAGAGGGCAAAATGGGCAGAGGAAGGCGACGGGCGATGCTTGCCACCCTGAGCTACTCGGAGGAATACAAAGGTGATAAACGAAAAGTCTACAGTGCCATAAAACACAATGCATCTCTCAAGGGAGGGAATCCAGATTGGATGCTCCTTGGGGCAGAGTAATAATAATAATTTATTATTTATACCTGCCCATCTGGCTGGGTTTCCCCAGCCACTCTGGGCAGCTTCCAACAGAATACTAAAATACAATAACCTATTAAACATTAAAAGCTTCCCTGAACAGGGCTGCCTTCAGATGTCTTCTAAAGGTTTGGTACAGTGGTACCTCGGGTTACATAGGCTTCAGGTTACAGACTCCGCTAACCCAGAAATAGTACCTCGGGTTAAGAACTTTGCTTCAGGATGAGAGCAGAAATCGCGCAGTGGCGGCAGCGGGAGGCCCCATTAGCTAAAGCGGTACCTCAGGTTAAGAACAGTTTCAGGTTAAGAACGGACCTCCAGAACGAATTAAGTTCTTAACCCGAGGTACCACTGTAAACATAATCATAAGCTCCATTGCAAAAAAAAAAACCCACCAAAAATTAACAACCAGTTTCATTGGGGGTGGAAATGGCAAGTAGACAGTCTGTTGTGGCGACTACCACCCAGACTGGAGATTAGTTGTATTTCTGAGTTTCTAGGCCTTGCCGGCCCGACTTGGGGGGAGGGGTGGTGCCAAATATTGCATCTTCCAATGTAGATGTTTGACTACTGAGCTAATGGTTTATTTTTTTAGGAAGGGGTGGGGGAATTGATCCAGTTTCTGTGTTTCCGCTTCCTTATGCAAATACTCAAACAATGCCGCAATTTGTCAACAGAGATGGCTTACGCAACTGCGGTCGGTCGCTAGGGTGTTTTGGAGAGTTTTCACCTGCAGTTGGGGGGGGGGGATGCTATGGGGACACAAGAGTCCACGCTGCCCTTGCCAAACAGGTTAAAATAACAGATCTTTTGTCATGGAGCAAGACCGCCGCAACCTCCCACTGTTCCGAACAGCTTGCTCAAGGACAACCAATCAGTGTTAGAAACTCAGAAAGATAATGGCACCTTAAACTTAGGTTATGGTCACCGCAACAGAATGCTTGGGGGCCTTTTCTCCCCACAATAAAATTTATTTTTAATCTCATTTCTATACCGCTTTATTTTTTAAAGAAGAAAAATATCCAAGTGGTTCGCAACACATTGAAACGTCAAACAAATTCAAGCTTCCGGGTAAATAATTCACATCCTTCTCTAAGGGGCATTTTGCTTTCCCCATACCGATTTGTCTACTCGATTTAGAGAAATGCCGCATAGCAGGAGGACAGGCTGGTGTAGTGGTTAGAGCATGGTAGGCAAACTAAGGCCTGGGGGCCGGATCCGGCCCAATTGCCTTCTAAATCCGGCCCACAGACGGTCCAGGAATCAGCATGTTTTTACATGAGTAGAATGTGACCTTTGGTTTAAAATGCATCTCTGGGTTATTTGTTAGGCGTAGAAATTCATCGATTTCCCTCCCAAAAATATAGTCCGGTCCCCCACAAGGTCTGAGGGACAGTGGCCTGGCCCCTGCTGAAAAAGTTTGCTGACCCCTGGGTTGGAGCATCAGACTAGGACCTGGGAGATCAGGGTCTGAATCCCCACTCCATCATGAAACCTTGGAGTCAGTCGCAGCCTCTTCGCCTTCCTCACAGGGTCGTTGTAGGGATTAACTGAGGTGGGGGCTTCTTGGAGGAAAAGGCAAGAGATATATGCAATGAATAAGCTCTTCTACTGGCCAGCCAGATGGAGAGGTCAGTTGCAAACCTGGCATCCAGAGATCTCCACGGGGTTCGCAATTGGAACCCGCGCCAGTGGCAAAATACGCCTGGTGCCTGTAGAACTTTGGACGTTTTGCAAAGAGCTGTCTCGAGTCTCTGAGAGCCGCTGTCAGTGAAGACTGTTCTGAACTGTGTAAGTTCAGAATACAGTGGTACCTCGGGTTACATACGCTTCAGGTTACAGACGCCGCTAACCCAGAAATAGTACCTCAGGTTAAGAACTTTGCTTCAGGATAAGAACAGAAATTGTGCGGCAGCAGTGGGAGGCCCCATTAGCTAAAGTGGTGCTTCAGGTTAAGAACAGTTTCAGATTAAGAACGGACCTCCGGAACGAATTAAGTACTTAACTCGAGGTACCACTGTAACTGTATGACGCCATCAACTACGTACCCAGTTTTTTAATGGGTCAGAACAAGTTTAAGAGGGTCTGTATGCGGATCTGGGGCATTATTCCACGGTGATAGAACTCCACTGTTTGATGAGATATCGAATGTTAACAGTAAGACCAACATCTCCTCTCTTGGGAAATCTACCCTGCAAATGCATTGTTACCAGAATTCTGGAGAGAATCCTAGTGAGGTCTCCAGGGCGATTTCTCTCCCTCTTCTTGGTTACATTTTTGGCCTTGCTTTGTTTACCGCTCCAGGGAACTGGGGGGGAATTGCCATAAAGCTTTTTCATGGAAATGTACGGTTGGAAGGGTCTTCAAGTCCAGACCCCCTGCAAGGCAGCAATCTAAGCTTGACAATCTCTGGCAGGTGCCAATACAATCTCGACGTAAAAACCTCCAGTGAAGATCTCACCACCTTCTGAGGAAGTTTGCTGTCAAACAGCCTAAGCCGTTCTTCCTGATCTTCAGGGCCCCTTTCCAAGTCTACGAGCCTATGATTATACGACTCCCCTAGTTTAGGTGGAGAGTCCCATGGACTGCAAGAAGATCAAACCGATCCATTCTGAAGGAAATCAGCCCTGAGTGCTCACTGGAAAGACAGATCCTGAAGCTGAGGCTCCAAGACTTTGGCCACCTCATGAGAAGAGAAGTCTCCCTGGAAAAGACCCTGACGTTGGGAAAGATGGAGGGCGCAAGGAGAAGGGGGCGACAGAGGACGAGCTGGTGGGACAGTGTTCTCGAAGCTACCAGCATGAGTCTGACCAAACTGCGGGAGACAGTGGAAGACAGGAGTGCCTGGCGTGCTGTGGACCAGGGGGTCACAAAGAGTCAGACACAACTAAACGACTAAACAACAACAACAAAGTTTAGCTGGAATCCTTTTTGTTACTTGAAGCAATTGGCTCGGCGGGTCCTACCCTCTGGAGCTGCAGAAAATAAGATCGGTCCATCGTCCATGATGTTTACTGCCCTTCAAGCAGAATAATAGAATCACAGAACTGTAGAGATGGAAGGGGCCCCAGGGTAATAATAATAATAATATTTATTATTTATACCTGCCCATCTGGCTGGGTTTCCCCAGCCACTCTGGGCGGCTTCCAACAAAATTAAAATACAGTGGTACCTTTGGTTGCGAACAGGATCCGTTCTGGAGGCCCATTCGCAACCTGAAAAAAATGCAACCCGCGTCTGTGCTCGCGCGGGTCACGATTCACCGCTTCTGCACATGCACATGACGACATTTTGTCTGTCTGCGCATGCACGAGCAGCGAAACCCAGTAGTAACCCTTTCTGGTACTTCCGGGTCGCCGCGGGACGCAACCTGAAAATGTGCAACCTGAAGCAAACGTAACATGAGGTATGAAAGTACAGCAATCCATCAAACATTAAAAGCTCCCCTAAACAGGGCTGCCTTCAGATGTCTTCTAAAAGTCTGGTAGTTGTTGTTCTCTTTGACATCTGGTGGGAGGGCGTTCCACAGGGCAGGTGCCACTACCGAGAAGGCCCTCTGTCTGGTTCCCTGTAACTTCCCTTCTCGCAGGGAGGGAACTGCTTTCAAACTGCTAGGTGGGCAGGAGCAGGGACCGAGCAACGGGAGCTCACCCCATCGCGGGGATTCGAACCGCCGACCTTCTGATCGGCAAGTCCTAGGCTCTGTGGTTTGACCCACAGCGCCACCCGTGTCCCTTCGTAGGACCCTAGAATGGTTGAATTGAAAGAGGGATCCTTCTGGCAAAACCAGAGCAGTGCACGGAAACGCCGTTTACCTTCCCGCCGGAGTGGTACCTATTGATCTACTTGCCCTGGTGTGCTTTCGAACTGCTAGGTGGGCAGGAGCAGGGACCGAGCAACGGGAGCTCACCCCGTCGCTGGGATTCAAACCCCCGACCTTCCGATCGGCAAGTCCTAGGCTCAGTGGTTTAACCCACAGTGCCACCCGCATCCCCTTTTAGTGTTACAAAGCTGTTAATTGAAATCAGCTGCGCTGAGCAAATTAAGCTACAGGCACTGGGCACCAAAGATGAGCGATAGCCTGCCCAACACCCACCAACCTTCAGATTAATTTTTTTTTAAAGAATATGCTGTGCATTTGGAGTTCACCTTGTTGGAGACGCACCACTGATCAAAACAATCTTTCCACAAGCATCTACTTGGCCATAGTTAGGACAGAATGCTGGACTACAGGGGCCGCTGGCAAGCTTCTTATGCTAACCGACAAGTAACAAGGAATTACTAGGAGATGAGCGTGGGACGCAGGTGGCGCTGTGGGTTAAACCACAGAGCCTAGGACTTGCCGATCAGAAGGTCGGTGGTTCGAATCCCCATGACGGGGTGAGCTCCCATTGCTCGGTCCCTGCTCCTGCCAACCTAGCAGTTCGAAAGCATGCAGTACAAGTAGATAAATAGGTACCACTCCAGTGGGAAGGTAAACAGCGTTTCCATGCGCTGCTCTGGTTTCGCCAGAAGCAGCTTAGTCCTGCTGGCCACATGACCTGGAAGCTGTACGCCGGCTCCCTCGGCCAGTAAAGCAAGATGAGCGCTGCAACCCCAGAGTTATCCGCAACTGGACTTAACGGTCAGGGGTCCCTTTACCTTTTTACTAGCAGATGAATTGAGAAAAAGGAAGGCTTCCGTAGATCTACATTTTTGTCTGCAAGAAAGCCAGTTCCCGAGAGAGGAAGAGAAAAAGCAAGTTGTATTTTTGCATCGACACCAGCGACTTCTGCTTTGGAGACTAAAGCTGCAACAGTAGTCACAGAAGAGAGACACCCACACACCTCTCCTGGAGTTAAAAATGACAACACTTCCGGCCCTCTCGCAGGAAATGTGCTGAAGCAAAGGTAATTT